CAGTGATGGGAGCGTGGCTGTCATAGATAGCACTTATGACAATTTATTTTTAAAATGTTCAAAATTATACGTTAGAGAGTGTCCTTTAATCACATTTAGAGAAAAATTAATTTTAAAATATATGAAAATTAGTTTAAAAATATCCTTGTTGCTATATATATATATATACAATTCTAACAGTGATGGGAGCGTGGCTGTCATAGATACGAAGTCAACTAAAATTCTAATAGTGATTAACAAAGAACGTGAGAGACGAAGAAATTCAATTAGAATGCAAAACTATGGGTGAAGCCCGTAGATATTAATTAACAAAAAGAAAAATGTTCTTTAGAGTATACTATAATTCTTCTAATTTTTTAATCTTTCTATTGATGACTTCTTCTCTGCTTTTGAGTCTTTTTAAGCATCAACCTTGAAAGAGTGGAAAAAGTTGGTAGGATAAAATTAATTAATTAATTAATTAATTAATTAATAGTATAATATAAAAGATTAAGTAATGTTAGGACAATAGGGAGAATATTAGGCGTGGAATAATTGACTGCAAGGGGATGCGTGGGACCTTGCTAGCCTTTAATGAGCTTATTAACTCCAAGTCTTGCATTTGTTTTCGTCTATACTTTGCTCAAAGAGAAGATTGTTAAAGAGTACAATTAATCATATAAACTTCCTCGTCATCGTTATTAGGTAGATAAATCAATCTATTCTTATATAATACTTAAAGTTTTTAATCTGTTATTAAATTTCTAATTGCATCCGATTTGTTCTTAAAAAATTTAAAAATATTAATTTGTCATTTTGATTAATTTTTTAATCAAAATATTTATACTTGAAATGTAAAATAAAAAAGACAAAATAAAATAAATCCAAAGATTTTAAAAAGAGAACATACATGTCACGTGAGTTAAGTGTTTTTTTTTTAATTAAGGATATTTTGATTAAAAAAATTCATGATCAAAAAATTGATTGAAAGAACAGATTAAAGATTTTAAACATTTTAGAGATAGATGGAAAACAAACTCTTTAAACTCGTAACGTTATCATTTTATCCTTATTATTATTTTGATATTTACATATGGCAAGGTATTTTTTATGTCAATTTTTCTATTAACGGAGATTAAATCTATTATTTTCTTAATGATGTTAGCGTCATATCAAATTTTTAGAAATGGAACTCTTTAAACTGTAACGTTATCACTTTAAATTAGTTTTTGTATTAAAATTAAATCATTTTCTCAGCTAATTTATAACACGTTATCTACACTTGGAATTAACCGATTTATTAAATTAAATCAAGATAGTAAACAAGAGAATCTAAATCAAACTCTTTCTTGTTCTTATAAAAACAATCATAACATAAAATAATTTAAGACAAATTGTTTGCTAGAGATGTCACCTTCTAATTTGATTCGTAGCTATCGCCAACAACAAAAACGTGACATCTACTATTGGTGCACTTCATGACCTACAAATACAATCATTGATTCTTTTTGTTGCAATTATATGGGTATTTGTTTAAGCATGTTTATTCGATCATTAGCTGTTACGTGTAATTTAATAAATAAGATTAATTGAATATAAATTTGTTGTCTTAAAAAAAATCAACGATAAACAGTTCTTTTTTTTTTAAAAAAAAAAGACAATAAACTTAATTTTAAAATCTTAGATGGGATGATGTAAATCCACAAAAATTATTATATGACTGGTTGGTATAACAAATAAATAAATAAGAGTTTGAAATAAATAAAAAAGACTAAATAATTAGTTTTCCAAACAGAAAGACTAATTAATTCTTATTACGAAACCAGAGGGACTAACCTATAATTTATTCCAACGAACGATGACAAAATGGAAGTTCCATTTAAAATGAATACATTTATACATTTTACAAGTGAGCCCAGTAGCAATGAAGATTACATTTGCTTAATGATCCAGCCCAGTAGAAGTTTTCTTGGGCCTATCGTTATTGGCCCATCAAGCCCAAGAATACGATAAGACCAAATGTTTTGTCTAATGATAATATGTCAGCTAACTTAAAAGAATAAATGATTATATTTTTTTTCTCTTCTAAAATTATTATTATTATTATTTAACTATCTATTAAAAAAAAAAACACCAAAACTTGTAACCATGCAACTGGCATACACGTGTGTGTTTTTATCGGTCAATAAAACCACTTCAAAATTTAATATTTTTTTTTATCTTAAATACAATCTATATATATATGTGTGTGTTTTGATTTCATTCACTCTATGCCATTGCGTTCAGTGGATGTTCAATATACTTCTAAATTTAATTCTTTACAGCTTGTGATTTGGTTGAGCATTGCAATATTTTTTATGTTCTGGAGAAGTATTTTCTTTCACAGACACTTTTGGAAGAAGGTTACATGTGTTGCATGAAATTGGTGGATATTTCACCCTGTTTTCTACAAATAAATGCTGAGTTGTTTTGGACAGCAATACATTTTACAGGATTTATTGTGTTAGAGACTAGTATAAATTATATTATGGGGCCTCACCTATTAGCTTAAGCTTTTAGGTGAGATGGTTCTTTAACATGGTATCGAGCTTAGTTGACCTTGAGGTCCCGAGTTCAAGTCGTGAGATGGTCCTTTAACACATTGTCGGCCTGGAACCATCATAGATCTTCTACCCTAACTGCCACGAGCACAGGTTTCAGGTTGATTCTGCATTCTTAACACTGATTGCTAAAAGCTTGTCTTTGTTCCATGTCAATCTGCTTGTCAAAAGACTTGAGAGTTTTAACAAGTTGTATTGTTTGAATCTGTTTCTTTCTGTCTTCCGGCACTTTCATTAGTATTTAATTTTTAGTTCTTGGCTGCTGCAGACTGAAGGGCTACTTTTCTCAGGGTCACCACTTCCATGACCAAGTGTATAATACTTAAGTTTATTTTTTATGTACTTAAAATTTGATAATTATAAATTTAAAAATATTGTGTAAGTTATATAATCTTCTTTTATTTATGTTTAACAAAGTGTATTTTTTTTTTTGGTTTTAATTGATGTTTTTTACAAAAAAACAAGTAGAATAATTAAATTTAGAAGTTACAAAAACTAAAACACCAGAGACGATTGTTTATCTGTCCCTATGAACAAAAATTTTATCAAGATTCTAAAATTAAAGATGGTTTTAACCGTTCCAATTGACATTGTAATGGTAGTTAGTGAGAAATTTTATGATATATAAGCGAGTAACTAGTGATATATATATAGTGATTATTTCATGAATTCATTTCGAAGAGAAAAATATACATCATTGAATTATATTCGGATTCATCAAAAGCGATAAAAAAATTTTTAGTTCGCATAAAAAATGATAAGATGATTTTCACGTTCGCTTAATTTTTTTAATTTATTTATTTATTTATCTTTTTCTTCAAATTGAGCTCTATGAAATAACTATCGCATATATCATAATTATTTTTTTATGTATTATAATTTTTCGTAGTTTAATATCATGTTGAGACAGGTTAGCCGTAGAAAAAAAAAAAAGTCGCGACATTTCCTAGAAAAACCACCAAAAATGCAAGTGGCGACAATGCAGATGGTTTTAAGATGGTTGATGAAACCGCCGTTAGACTTGACGGTTTTAAGACAGTTGATGAATCGTTGTTAGACTTTGTAGTGGAAAAAAGACGTCGGAAGCTGTAGTTTGGTATAGTTCAGGTAGATGATATAAGGGAGACACCCTCTTCGCACTTGAAATTCATAGGGTGTCTAAATTAAAATTTTGGGTGAAATTACCGACTTATCCTCGGTTTAATCATTTTATATGAAGCTAGAAAAAGTATTTTTGTCTTTAAAAATATAATAATATTATTAACCTAATCAAATAGTATACCAGTTCACCAAAAAAAATTAAAAAAAAAAATAATATATATATATATATATATATATCCCAAATCACTCCAAGCCTGAAAGGTTTCCCTTTACAAGCTTTCGTTATTTCAAAAATAAAAAAGAAAACAAAAGCTGAAAGGAGATACCCACCTACTGGGCTCAATATATATATACATAAACAAGGTCATAAAATCTCTTCCTTTAGGGTTTTTATCTCTCGGTGAACCCAGCAGCCTCTCTCTCTCTCTCTCTCTCTCTCTCTCTCTCTCTGCATCCTTCAGGTACTCTAAACCTTAGTTTATTTGATATCTTTAATTCTTCTTTTGATAGTTTATATGTTTAGCTTAGCTTGTAAAGTTTGGTCTTTATAGTTGTGGTTCTTCGTCGTTATGTTTAGAGTTTCATCTTCAGTATCCAATTCTTAGTTTCTTTAATGGGTTTGCTTTATTTTAGCCAATGGATTGGGGATTGGTGTTTTCTGGTTAAACCCATTTTGGGATTTCGTCGGCTTGTTTGTTGAAAAGCTGTGTGTGTTAGTCTTTGCCTGTAAAGTTTGGTTTTTGTGGTTCTTGTTTGTTTTCTGTTTTGTGCTTCAAGTTAAGAACTTTATTATCTGATTCTGGTTTTTTGTCAAATGGGCTTTCTTTATTTAGTTTTGCTCAAGTGGGGTTGGTTTATTTTAGTTATTAGAATTGGGAATTCGAAGCAAAATTTAGCTTCTTTATGATTTGATTGGCTTCTGTTAATATGCAGTATGTATTAATTTTTGCTTCTTAGGGTTTGGTCTCTGTGGTTTTTGGGTTTTCAGTTGGTTCTGTTAGTTGAGAACTTTGTCATCCGATCCTCATTTGTCTCAAATTGGTTTTTTCAAGTGGGTTTTCTTTTTTCTTTTTAGCAATTTGAATTGGGTTTATGTTTTTGGTGGTTTGGTTAACTGAAAACCGAACTGATATAGTAAAAACCCCAACTGAAAAACTGAATGCTGACCTCTACTTTCTGAACTTCAATTTTAGGGCTTTTTAATTCCTAATTGTTTGTGTTAAGGTTTGATTGATTGAGTTTTAAAATTCAGAAGAAAGAGCTTTTCTTTCTTAACAATTTTGGTTGTGAATATCTTGTATCAGGTGAAAGAGAAACAAAATGACACTATCAGAAGAAGAAATCAAGAGGCTATTTAGAATTAGAAAGACAGTGATGCAAATGCTCAAGGATAGAGGTTATTTTGTCGGAGAATTTGAAATTAACATGACAAGAGAACAATTTGAATCCAAATATGGTAATAACATGAAAAGGGAAGATCTTGTTATTAACAAATGCAAGCAAAGCGATAGTTCTGATCAAGTAATTCCATTCACTTATTCATTTTATTGGAGCTGTTTATGTTTTAGTTGTTAATATATATATATATATATATATATATTATGTTTTTGTTTTGATTAATTGGTGGTTTTGGGTTTTGTGCAAACAGATTTATGTTTTCTTTCCCGAAGAAGCCAAAGTTGGTGTTAAAACAATGAAGACATACACTAATCGCATGAAATCTGAGAATGTTTTTAGAGCAATCTTGGTTGTTCAACAGAATTTGACCCCATTTGCTCGAACTTGTATCAATGAGATTTCTTCAAAATTCCACTTGGAGGTTTTTCAGGTAAAACAAAAAAAGGGTTTTCGTTTTATGCTTAACTGTTATTTGTTTAGTGTTCTCCTATCAAAATATAATCTTTAGCTATTTAATACAGGAGGCTGAGCTGTTGGTTAACATAAAAGAGCATGTTCTTGTTCCTGAACATCAAGTGCTTGCAAATGAAGAGAAGAAGAATTTGTTGGAGAGATACACTGTGAAAGAAACACAGGTCAGAATGACTTTAACTATCGATTTTCTAGAATGAATTTAAAACCTTGCATCTGCTTACATTCTTAGGCCTTTATTTTATAGTGCAGTTCATTTTCTAATAAACCAGCTCATGGACTTGTTATATTAAGTTATTTTGAGAAATTTACAAATGGACTCGTTATACTAAGTTATTTTTGATGAAAATATATATGCTTCCCCGTACTCAGTTACTCTTTATAAAAGATGCTCAAATTCTTGCCAATCATAAGTAATCACCTCAATGGGGACCACAAGTATTTTTTACAAAATAAATCACTACAGTTTGAAACTTTTTAATGATTATACAGAATTGTCTGTCTTAATCTTATTCAGTTTGTGTTTCCTCCTTGGTATTTTGGCCTTATAATGCATTTGTTTGCTAGCTTGCAAGTTTCACCTTACTAAAGGTTGGGAACATGGGGTGCCAACTTTGTGTTTGCCTATTTGCCATTCTGTTTAGTGCCAACAGTTTCTGACAATTTATGTTATTGCTTGTATGGACTGGATTCAGCTGCCTCGCATTCAGATTACAGATCCAATCGCAAGATACTATGGGCTGAAGCGTGGCCAAGTTGTTAAGATTATCAGGCCAAGCGAAACAGCAGGACGATATGTTACCTACCGATATGTCATATAAATGGTTTATCTGCACAAGGTTAATTCAGATCAGTGTTTGAAACCTGTTTGTCATATAAGTTTAATACTCATCCAATGGTTCATATTTTTTCGGTAAATGAATTTTGTAAATGGAGTGACATCTTTTTTTACCCTTTCGATGTAGGATTAAATTATTAATTAGTCACTCTAGTTTTACAAAATGAATCAAATACTTCCAAGTCAATTTTCTGGTTCTGGGAGTCCTTGTGTTACATGTTGAGCATAGAGCATGAACAAAGCAATAGAAGTTACAAACTGATTTGGGCTTTGAATCATTTATTTTTCACTAGAAGTCTTGAGTTCAATTCTGCAGTATAGCAATATTCAAAGACCAGTAGGGGATTGGGATGAAGAGTTTGGCTTTGCTGAAAGATTCCTTGCAGAAGAGATGTTTTGAGTCCCTAATTCTGAGAATAACATGGTGCAGCCGAATCGACTTTGTTTGGCAAGAAAGGAATAGAAAAGTTCATGATGCTAAAGCTCTCAACAAATGTGTTCTAGTAAAGCAAATAGTGCAGACTGTCCAATTTAGATTTTGCAAATACCAAATTGTTGCAGAAAGTTAAAAAGATATGTGGACTTGTAGAAACCAATGGAATCTATGAAGTGGAAATTTGATAGCTAGTTAGCTACCTGTATGTTTCTATGCTATAGTTTTCAGGACTCTCCTGATTGTGTTGCTTTTGTAGTAGGGTGAGCAGTAACTTTGGGCTTTTTGATAATGAAACTTTCATGCAGATGATTGCGTGAAACTTTCATTCAGATGATTGCGACTTGGTTATTTTACTATCATTATAAGCTGCAACCCACCCACAATTGTGATCGCTACCGCTATGAATAGGAGTACGGGTCCATCTGCATTTCTGGGTCCTTTCCCAGCCAAAAAACACATTTTTTGGTAGTCTGATGTTTTTGTATTTGGGGAGATCGAATAAGCTAGACCAAATCATTCGAAGGAATACTTTCCATGTTTTCACTAAGAACATCGTGGGTTTTATCATTATATTGGGACAAAATAACATAATCATGAGTTTGTTGAGTATGATTTTCACAATATTAAGACTGCACCTAGCTATTTGGACCAGTTGCTGGCACACCTCCAACCGGAAAAATGCAAAATTTTCCCTGAAACAAGGCCAAGATTACACTATAGATGAAACTGGCTTGCAGAATTGGCAACCACCATTAACATTTCGGCCAATTTTACCCAGGAAAGAACTTGTGAAACTTTCCATCAACTTCAACCATACTGAATCCAGCAGTTTTAACAATGCCTGTGTCACGCATCAGCTCTCTCCATTTCTTTGCTTCTTCCCATTGACCACACGATGCATACAAGTTAGAGAACATCATAAACTCCCCGTCACTGAGGTAATTAGCCCTTGAAGAAACAAGCTTCATAACTCTCTCACCTGTCTCAAGATCTTGATGAACTATACAAGCACTAAGCAAAGCACCCAAGATGGCTTCTCCTGGCTCAAATGGCATAGCTTCGATTAGCCGTAAAGCACGATCAAGATGTCTTGCTCTGCTAAGAAGATCAACCATGCACCCATAATGCTCTATTTTGGGAGATATTCCAAATTCCTTTTGCATGCTATAGAACAATTGGCTACCTTCTTGCACCAAACCTGAATGGCTACAAGCACTAAGCAAGCCTATGAAGGTAATATCATCAGGCTTTGTATGGTTCTTTCTCATCTTGTTGAATATTTTGAGAGCAGCATAGCCATGACCATGAAATGCGAGCCCGGAAATCATTGCATTCCAACAGTAAACATCCTTAACCTGCGACTTGTAGAAAACCTGCAAAGCTTGCTGTATGCTTCCACATTTGGCATACATATCTATCAAAGCTGTTGCTACATGGCGACTTGATGCAAGTCCATTATCAATGGCATATATGTGAACTTCAGTTCCTTTTTCCTGGGATCCCAAATGGGCACATGCAGATAAAACACCAGTTACTGTAAGATAATCAGGCAAGCAATTTGTAGTCTTCATTTCATCAAACAAATCAAGAACCTCACCGTGAAGTCGATTTTGTAAAAACCCTTTTACCATTGTATTCCATGTAATGATGTTCTTCTCAGGCATTTCCCTAAACAAATCACAAGCTCCCTCCATATCTCCTCCTTGGATATATGCCAATATCATTGAGTTCCAAGAGACAGTATCTTTCTCTGCCATGTTATTGAAGATACTTCTTGCAGACACTGTCTTTCCGATGCTCGAGTACCCAGAAATCATGATATTGAACGACGAGAAGTCCTTTAAAGGCATGGAATTGAACAAATTGAGAGCTTCATCCATCTGATTAGTAGAGGCATATGCATCTAAAATGGAATTCCAAGCGACCACATCTTTGACAGGCATCTTCTCAAACACTTTACAAGCATCGGCAATGCAGTGACGAGACCCATACATGTTCAACAGAGCAGTTTGGACGAAAACATGGCTGGAGAAACCAGCTTTTATCGTCTGGCCATGGAGGGCAAACCCAATACAAGGACTAGGCCAACTCCCAGCTGCTTTGAGCAAAATGGGGAATGTGTAGTTATCAGCATAAAAGCCAAGTCCTTGCACATTCACATATGTACACATAGCTTGGACTGCATCACCATTGAGCATGTGTTTCTTGATAATCTCATTCCATTTTCGCACTTCAGGGGAGGGTAAGATGCAGTTGCAGGCCAAGGCTGCCATTTTTTAAATTGACAAAACAATCTACCGCGGTTCAAAAGTTTTGCTTCTCATTCTCCTTTAGCCTTGTTCACTGCTCCTTTCAGTCACTTTTTTCAATCTAACAGATGGATTTTGTAAGGAGAACACAGGGACAGGCAACTTGTGAGGCCAAAAAACTTGTGGACCAAAAGATTCTCAAAAGGATAAGGTGAACATTCATATAAGCTAAACGACAGGAAAAAAGACATCTATGGAGAAAATTGGGTCCCTTAAATGATGGGCAAGTAACAAAATTTTCAACTGTGGTACATGAATTGAAATCTAATGTAAGAAACTGGAAAATGTAAAGACTCTTTTCTTGATCTCGAATGTCCCGAGAGAGAGACTTATTGGGCACTCGAGAAATACAAACGCTTTATGTTTCTAACATAACATGCAAATATCATGAGAAAACCTTGGAAAATATACAACTCAATTAAGTCATCTGTTTTTCTTCCTGGTCTGCTGCTGATGTGCGGTAATCTTTGATATCGAGAAAATTTCACTGAAATATGGAAAGCAAAAGGGTAGAATGGTTTGGTTTCGTGGGTTCCACAATGCTGCGCAGCTTCCCGTGATGGCTAAGGAGCACTTGCTCTAATTAAGAGAGCAAACTCTCACAAGCCTGAATATTAGAACCCTGTGTTGCCAACACTTCTTGCCCAGAAGGGTTTGAATTAATGCTCTTCATGGCACTGTCAAAGATGACTTTCCTGAACCTGTCATCTTCCACCTTGTCCAGAACTTCCTTCATGACCTCAAAGTCCAGACCCTGAGCCACGATCAAGTTCCCAAGAATCTCGCCAAAGTTATTTGGTGCTTTGGGTAAATCAATGCCAATATCATCCAACAAAGAGCCATAAAGCAGACAACCAGCTCCAATATCTCCAGCCGTTAGGACATTTTTAGCGAGCAAGAATTCAAGAAGCTTTATGACAGGTTCCACACATGGTGGGCTCTTCTCCAGTGCAAGAGCAATAGCTTCTTTAGCAACCTCGGGGTGAAAAGCTGGATCTTTCAACTCCTCCACACATTGTAGTGCTTCATCAAGAATTCGAACACTGAAATATTCTTCCAGAAGAGAAGTGGTTTTTCTGCAAAGATCGTCAGGATTTAATCTTGTGGTGGGAGCAAGTGGCTTCTGAGGAGAAGGAATTGCTGGCACAGCTGGAGCAGGCTTAGGAGATTGACCCACAGGTTCAGTTCTTGTTTCAAAACCAGGTCGAGAAGCAGTACCACCACCCTGCAATAAGGAGCTTGTTTTCCCGGCTATGATGCCACCACTTCCTTGAGGTAGAAGTCTTGTATTAATAGATGGTGATTTGTTGATCACGGAAGACGACACGCGCCCGGTGGACTGGGTTGGGCCAAAATTATTGCCCCTTGGCATTGATCGAGATCGAGGAACTTCCCAGTTGTCAGCATCAAGCCCAGGCATTCCAGGCATTTTCATCATCCCAGGCATTCCAGGCATCATACCTCCTGCACCAGGCCTGCCACCAATGGGGAAACCACCAGGGCCCACACCTGCAGTAGCATTCCGACTGTTTCTGATGACTGCAGTTGCACCTGGACGCAACCCAAGATTCTTCTCTGCTTCTGAATGGATTTCAGAGATGGTCTTTGCTTTAACCTGTAAAAAAGATCAGTATAAAAGCCTCAGTTTTTCAAGTACATTAGAATTTAACACGAGTCCTTTGATTGATTCAGTTCCTACAACATACAGAATTTCAAAATATTACCATCCTCTACATGAGTAAAGGAAGAAAACCCATGGGTTCCCCCACCCGAAAACAAGTACCAACAACCCCTGGTGCCCCCACCTCAAAACAACAAAGCAAACAAGAAAAGTAGGGAGTGCATAAAAAATTAACCTCTTCACGTCTGGGGACCCAGCTGTTGGCCCGGAGATCAAGAACATTTCGAACCATGAACCTAAAACGTGATGCAAGTTGTGGATTTGTTGTCAGATCCTTCAACCTGCTGAAATAAACATCATTAACTCGCCGAGCTTTTGGGTTTTCATCTAGTTGCTTGCCTATGGTGTTGAAAAATTGACATATTGCCTCAACATTCTCTTCAGCTGGGCATGTTTTATTGTCGTCCCCCAAAAGTTCCTGCATTGCACAAGATACACACATTGAGCAATCTAATCACTACCCAAAAAAAAATATATATATATATACTAGAAACAAATTGATTCCAAGCAGGACCTGAACAATATGATGGACGATTTTTTCAGGCACCATCTTCTGCTTCAAAAGTTCCCCAACAAGGCGTATGTTCCCCAGTGTTCGCAGCTTAACCAATCGCTCCTTATCCCTGCGTTCCATTTCTTGTTCAGGAGCAGTCATCTTGCTAATTTCTTCCCTCAGATTGTCAGCACCTTCAAATGCCTCCTGGCAGTTGTTCAAAAGAATCCGCTTAAAAGTGATTTCTTTCCCACCAGGCTCATCAGATGGGAATGGAGGGATCTTCTCATTCAGGTCAGAACATAAAAGAGCATACATAGGACAGAACGTGGGCTCCAGCACTGCCTTGTCAAATATTAGTGAGATAACACCCTGAAATACAAACAGTTCCAGTTCTATTATCGACTATAAAATTTCTAATTGCTGAGAATCTGAAGGACTGAAGACATGTATAATGGTAACCTTTAAAATATCAGGTGTTGTAATTCCAGAGTCAATCAGTTGCCCCTTGAGAACATCAAACTTCTCTGGTGTCAATTTGTTTAATATACTGCCCAGAAATAGAGCACTAGTCACTACATAAAGAACTACAAGAAGCTTCTCCATTGAACAAAATAAAAAATTGTTTCCAAGGTCAAAGCCTCAAAATCTGGGACGTTTTCTTGTACAAATGTTCAGATCAACTAGATGACTAATTACCCTTTCACTGTCTTCAAGACGCGTTCCTCCTCAGAGAGATTCCCTCTTCGAGTTGACCATGGCATGTCAGCCTTGATCAGAGCAGGAGCAGGCCCTACCTGGTTTGAACAAGATGTTAATACCACCCTTGTTTCAAAAAGATATTGAAATAATGCTAAACATGCATTAACAATGACAACCAAAATCATTTCCATATGACTTCAATTATTCTTTCTTTCGTAGCACCAAAAAATCTCATTCTCCTGTCGTGCCTAACTATGAGAGAGAGAATCTCCAACTTGTATCTAATAGTTGAATCAATATCTATTTAAATTTTTTACTTTACCATACAGACATACCTTTAGCTGGTCTTGCCGACTGGTGAACTCCTTATTTTCTCGAATTGCTTCCCAAGATCTCTCCTCTCCAAAAGCTGCTGACCTACCACGCCAATCACGGTTGTCTGGTTCAGAATAACGACTTTGAGATTGAGGTTGGGGCTACACAGTTGAAAAAATAGGTTAAAGTTATAATCTTTTGGTAGTATAAACATAAACATGAGAAGAGAAGACTTCTCCAAAGAAAGTTTGTCCCATCTACACAGAGGCACAGACAAAATGAAAAAAATAATAAATAAATAAATAAAAGGATAGAAAATTACAAAAATTGCATGTTGACAGCAACACCTAATTTGGACATGTACATCAACAGTACAAAGAGAACATGAAGAAAATAATCGGAAAACTTACGCTGCCATCTGCACGGCTCCAAGTTTGATCCTCACCAACAAACTCAGACTCAATTTCTTGTCTGATTTTCAGAATATCCTCTGGAACTTTTTCAACCTAGACCGAAAAAAGTGACCACATAAAATTAAGATATAGACCAATTTTTGCTATCATTAAATAGGTTTGATGAAGAAGCATTTGAGCAGTGACTCCCTATTATTAAATAGGTTCACTTGACAAAGGAAAAAACTATCCATAGTCCAAAGACAAATTATGAACAACAATTATGGCACTTTACCTGATTAAGTTGCAGCAGCTGGTCTCGTGTGTAGCGAATGCGCTCATGGTCTTCAAACCGCAAGTCACCAATCTATTCCACAATAACAATCAATCAGAAGAATCATAACACGTATCATATAGATTTCAATGAAAATAATTCCAAAACATACCCAAAAAGAATTGAATGCATAAGAAAATCAAGACGCCTCAAAGAAAAGCCAGCCAGGAACTCCAACTAATCAACAAACTAAACTAGCTACCAGATCAATTTAAAAATTCCAAATCTGCAACACAGATTAGATACAGTATCCCTCTAATTGTCTCTGATGGGGTGTCTTCATGTAATGTAGGTTCTTTATGGGCATCCCTAAACTCCTTGACAACCCACTAAAATCCCACATATAATTATTACTTTTTGTCCATATTTACAGGAGGTAACACAAAAACTTAAGTGCCCCACCAAGAATTAAGACAATCCTGATCATATTCTTACTTACAATTTTCAAATTACTTCAAAGATTACTTCTTTTTAACAAAATATCAATATTGGCAATACAAACTTGTAAAAAAAAAAAAAGATATCAAACTTTTAACACAATTACACAATAGAAATCACAAAAAAAGCTGACAACAACAATGAAAAGATCGAATCTTCTCGAAAACTTAGATCTAGGAACATGAAAATCAAATTAAAGATTAAACCTTTTTGGGTACCTTGAAAGAGAAAAAAGATTGAGACGCATCAGAAAGAGAAGCCGAAGCAGAGTCAAAACGAGGGGTGAAAAATCTGGTGCCACGGGGACCCCCACTGCCACCTCCTCCTGGTCTCAAGCTTATCACCGTCTGATCTGCCTGCATATCTCAAACTGCAATTGCCTTCTTGTTTTTAGAGAAAGACAGGGTTTTGAAATTAGGGATTTTCCTTTTAAATTAATCTAGGGACAAGAAGAAGAAGAGGGACTTTGGGTTTTCCCTCTCTGTCTGCGAGAGAGAAAGAGGAGGCTGGAGCTATGAGAAAAACCCTTTTTCTGGGACTCCTACTGGCTCTTTGCTGCTTCTGTTTTAATTTTTCTATTTTTTAATTTTGATATTTATTTTTACAAAAAATTAAAAATTAAATAATAACTCGAAATATACACATTTTTGTTTAGTTTTCAAATAATATTTTCGAATTAATTTTTTTAATATGTGACTACGAAAACCTTTTTATTCATAAAATTTCCTGTGAAATAAATTATAATTTTTTTATTTTTAGATTTGAATCGGAAATAATAATTATTAAATTTATTTTTGATATTATTAATTTGAAATTAATAAGAAATACATGAGATAATTTTAATGCATACGTCATTCCTCTTATGAATTTTTGCGCCTAGAACTTCAAAAGGCAATAATTAATTTGTGAAATTTGGTGGCAGAAATCCTAACTATTGTCATAAAAAAAAGATTTTTTCTTTTTATGGTACTCTAATATTTTGTATTAGGATTTACTATAGGTTAATGTTTTGGGCTTTTTTAGGCCCACTTCAGCTTTGGGCTTAGTTAAAAAGCAAGTTCTAGAGTGATTGGCCCAAAACACTCACCATTCTCCTGTTTTTATATGCTTGATTATTATAAAATTATCAGAGAAAAAAATTATTTACTTTGATGTATAGATTAATTCTTATATGGAATTTGATAATTTCTTTTGAATTTCTAAATTTTTGTGTCATTTTTTTTATTGAACTGTAGAGATGGATTTAATTTTGATATGTTATTTTGTTTGAAGAAAGTATATGAATATATGTAGTCCATTATTGGTTGATATGAATTAATTACATATTTAGAAATAAATTTTTCATGAATAAATATGGCCTTCATCGGTTAAATTTTAAATATACCATTTACAACCGCACTAGTAATTCATAACAAATAAGAAATTACTATTTTACTGTTGTTTTTCTATAAAAAAAAAATTAATGAATCATATAAAATTTAGTTCACTAGTTAAAAAAAAATTGTCTTTCTTCTATTTTATGGATTCAAATACATACAAATGAAATGAAAAAAAAAATCAAAAACTTGAAATCCATTATATGATTTATTTATTTATTTATTGAAAGGTAAAGAATATCTTCAGATCAAAATTAAATTATTTTTTTAAATTATCACTAAAACAAACTTTCTATATCATTCATTTACATTTAAAAAATTTAATAAGTTTTCTTGGATGGCCATCTCAAAATTTAAATTAAAAAAAAATAAACATATATATATATATATATATATATATATATATATATATATATATATATATATATATATATCTTAGCTACAAGTACAACTCATAAATTTCATAAATGGAAATTTTTATATATACATAAAAATCTATATCATTTGATGTGAGAGTACTTAAAGTGAACATAAAAAAAAAAAAATCAATGAATTCTCTAAAATTTAGTCTGCTAATTAAAAACTTTTGTCTTTTCTTTTGATTTTATGGATTTGAATCTTAGAATCGAAACTCACTTAAAATATTTAAATAAAAAAATTAATAATTTTTTTTTTAAATAGTGATATCAAGATTTAAATTTAGAAAAAGAAAAAAAAGAAAAGAAAAGGTAAACATACATCCTTATCTGCAAGTACAACTCATGAATTTCATATATGGAAATTTGTATACAAACAGGAAAAAACATACTAAAACCTTTATCATTTGATGTGATAGATAGCAAGATTTTGGGTTCGATAATATTTGGATTTGATAATGGGGATTTGCCTTAAAAAGTTCATGGTCAGCTTTTGGACATGGACTGCATCCATGTGACAAAAACAAGCAAGCAAACGAAAGACAGACCACGTGGAACGTTTACTTCTACACCACAGAAATCTCAAGTTCTAGTTCCAACTTCTAGTTCCAGTTACCATTCCATTACGACACAACCACAAAGCTTCTTCTCTCTCGAAACTCTCACCAGCTCCCCAAAACCCGCTGAGCAAAATGACTTCCTTACCTTTCTCTTCTTCATCTGTACTACTGGGTGTGAAAATCCAGCATAATAAAGCAAACTCTACAACAATGGCTTCCTTTGTCTCATCCATCAATTCCTCACTTGGGTCCTCTAAATCTGCTTTTTTGCAACATGGGTTTTCTTTACAATCTCCAAATCTTCCTCGGTTTGCCTCTAAAGCTCGTTCCTTTGGTGTTTTTGCTAGAGCTGCTACAGAGAAATCTCTTTATGACTTCACTGTGAAGGTAGTAGCTCTTTTGAGAAAGTTGTTGTTTTTTTAGCATTGGTTCGATTGTTCAGTTTATCGCCTTTTTGAGTCATAAACATTGGGTTTTGTTTTAATTTCTCTTAGTTGATTAACAAGTTTGGAGTTGATTGTTCATGTGTGTGTGTGTTTTTCTTGGCAGATATTAGGTTTCAACTTAGCAGATGGAAAATTGAATGTTTGCTGCTTAATTATGAATAAATTGAACTTTTGGATGGATTAGTATGTGTTTGAAACAAGCCAAATTGTTATCATATGCCGTTTGAATTGGTGAAAGTTTTGAAATTGAAATATTTTTGCATTGCTTGGATTGGTAGAGAGTGCATAAGAATCAAGAATCACCATATTGAGCTGCTTGTTTTCTTCTTTGTTTATTTATTGCGCACCCCCCCCCCCCCCCCTCCCTCCTCCGGGGGGTGGAATATAGAGTTTGTGGCTGTAAGATTTGAAGATCTTAGATTCTGATTCATAATTAGCCCTGAAATATATGCAGATTTAAAGTGAGGTATGACTTTATCCATTTACTTGATGCAGGATATTGTTGGGAAGGATGTTCCTCTTAGTAAATTTAAGGGGAAAGTTCTCTTGATTGTTAATGTTGCTTCGAAATGGTACTCTCTCGTTTAAGAATGCTTTGTTTTGTCATCGGTTTTGTTCTTTCATAGCTGCTTGATTAGCTTAGTTTATTATGTGGCTCGTATATGATGAATATATATTTTTAAATCGTACCAAATTTTAATTTTCATGGCACTTGAGATCTTATTGGAATTTTTTGCTCCGTCTCCCAGTGGTTTGACACCATCAAATTATTCAGAACTTACACATCTATATGAGAAGTACAAGAATCAAGGTAAGCTAAATTTTTGTGAGGAAAGGATTTTGATTTTTGGCTTTTTAGTACCTGCAACATGACTGTTTTGGAAAGAATTTCTGATTTATTAAGCTGAATAACGCTGAATAACTTAGCGATGAGGCTATCATTTGAATTGGTGTGATCTCTCTCTCTTTTTGATATCTTCTTACTTGCTTTTGGCACCCAAAGCCTTTGCATATCTAAAATAGGTGGCCCGATTTGTAAGTGGAAGTGATAGAAGTCTGGTATTTGAACTACTATTAGAATAGGGAGTTTGTGTCCAACTCATGCATGTTATATAGATTTAATATCTGCTACCCTTATTTAACGAGCAATCTAATGTTTTGTCATGCACCTAAAGCTCTTCTGACATTGTATTCGTGTGGTGTCCTTCGGCCAGTGGACATTGACAATTTGCAAGATCATGGCAGGCGCGTAGCTTTGTTAAGATTGTAACAGTAACAATATTGTCAGATCAAACAACCCGTTATGGACACCATATCAATATAAGGAAGAGAACATTCCTAGGGATATTCTGATATTCTGACCATTAAGTAGCCTATTTTTGTCATTTCTTTACTCGATTTGAACATCTTAAAGCTCAATGAAAATATTTCCTTTTTCTTAAATTGATGAAGCAAATATTGATTGTGAGTGCAGGATTTGAAATTCTGGCTTTTCCTTGCAATCAGTTTGGCGGGCAAGAACCTGGATCAAACCCTGAGATTAAACAATTTGCTTGTACCAGGTACAAAGCAGAATTTCCAATATTCGATAAGGTATGCAGAGTTATTTCTCTCCTCGTTTTGTAATATGTCTCTTGGAGAAAGAACAATCAATTACTCTTAGGTGTTGCATAACAGGTTGATGTGAATGGACCAACTACAGCTCCGGTCTATCAGTTTCTGAAATCAAGTGCTGGAGGATTTTTAGGTGATTTGATCAAGTGGAACTTTGAGAAGTTCTTGGTGGACAAGAATGGCAAGGTTGTGGAGAGATATCCACCAACAACATCGCCTTTCCAAATCGAGGTACATTTCCTCTTCTACTTTCAAGCTTTTTGATGTTCTTAGAATTCTTCTAATCGTCATGACTGATAGGAAGTGGAAACATCTGTCCTATAAATCATGCCATCTGCATGACAATCCTGTCTTCACAATTCAACTATCGATTGGTTTTCTTATATTTTTTCCTTCTCTTGTGCTGTTACAGAAGGACATCCAGAAACTCATCGCGGCATGAATGTACGTTGGCAGCTATGACATGTATGAGATGTATCATCAGTGCTAATGAAAGAAACACGAATCAACGCCTGTAAATTTGTGCACCAGTCGTTACAGTTTATGTACAAGTGTCTTCTGTAATAGGAATCTGAGAAAGATATTGGTGTTTAATTGCCAGAAATTTTTGAAGTTGTTCCTTTGTTCATATTATGGTGGTCGTCGGTCTTCTTTTTTCCGACCTGCCATTAAGTACTCTCAGCTGGATTGATTGATTTTGATTGACATATAATCTGCCTTTCAGATTCGAAAATTACTTCTTTTATGTTTCGTACTAAGCTGTGACTGATGAAAGCACAACATTTCAATGAAGGACATGGGAAATTAAAGCAAGTTGCACTACAGAACTAACGGAAGAAAATAAAATATTGGTCAGCTGATGAAGTCAGTCATGACAATATCTACATAAAGATTTGAAGATTTGTAAATAGGATCCTGCAGCCCACAGTAGCAAGGCATTTTGGCGAAGAAATGTACTGATATCCCGATTCTTATATATGTATATGTATATATATATATATATATATCCACACAGAGGAATGCAATTCCATGTGTCAACTTGTAAAAAAACAGTATCATTAATTGACAGGGTTCTGCTTGAAGATTCTCAAGGATTCATTGAAACAATAGTAATAATGAGACTCCTTTAGATAATTAGGGCAATACCCGAACTTAAAGCCCGGCTTTTCTTCCTGTTTTGTAGGGTTACATTGCGTTATACAGCATCTTTGGTAAGGCTTGAGAGGGCTGACTTAAAACCTGCAAGTTGCTGTCATCACGCAGTGAAAATTGGTCAAATACACGTCACAAGTTGTAATTTTTTATCCATGCCAGGATTTTGCATTTTTCTTATTCTTAAAGAGTCAAATTCACATTGTTAATGTCTTCATTCTCCACCCTAGTACTTTCAGATATACAGATTCTCCCAAGCCCTCAACATGGATCCTCTTGAAACCCAAGAGCTAGTGGAGAAATCTCTAGCAGATTCCTTGAAAAAAGATCATGATTGTCAGTCATCACAAGCATGTTCAAGAACAAGTCTTCTCTCCATCTTCATGGAGCCATTTCAATGGCTACAGATGCTTTCTTCCCAGCTAAACCCAACATTCATTTTTGGTGTAGTTCTGGTGTATGGTCTTAGCCAGGGCTTCTCTGGATCTTTCTTCAAGGTTGTCACAGACTACTACTGGAAAGATGTTCAAAAAGTTCAACCATCAGAAGTGCAGTTGTACATGGGCCTATATTACATCCCGTGGGTCATGAAACCAATCTGGGGTCTCTTTACTGATGTTTTTCCCGTCAGAGGATATAAAAGAAGGCCATACTTCGTTGTGGCTGGTGTTATTGGTTGTGTCTCGGCATTGACGGTAGCTCTTCTTGGTAAGGTGCCTATTGCTGTGGCATTGAGTTGCTTGGTAGGTATGACTGCTGGAGTTGCAATAGCTGATGTGACTATTGATGCTTGTATCGCTAAAAACAGTATTGAGATCAGATCTTTGGCAACAGACATGCAGTCTCTATGTGGGTTTTGTTCTTCAGTTGGGGCTTTGATTGGTTACTCTTGCAGTGGTTTTTCTGTTCACCATCTTGGACCTCAGGCAGGTTCAAGCTTTTCACTAAATTAATTTGTCCATTCTTTCTGTTCTTCGCTTGACAGGGAAGTTTTTTTTTGTTTTTGTAGGTATCATTGGTGCTTTTGGCAGTCCCACCAGCTTTATTGATAGTGCTGGGGTTTGTGATCTATGAAGTGAGATCTACAAGCCTCCAATCTGAGAAGAAGAAGGTAACAATCCACCTTATTTCATTCTGTGAATTGCTCTTTAGATTCTGCAGTTAATGAATTAGAACAACCTTCTCCCTTATTAACAAGTAACAGGATAAGGGCCTGGTTTTCCCATGTCAGGGACCATATGGCATGTGCCATTTTAGTTTATTTGCATTCAAGATGTGCTTACGGGCTATGTCCTTTGTTTGAGTTGAATTTTCTTTGGTTTGGTTGGTCATAAAAGCACCCACTTGAAGCTGAAAGTTGACCAAGCCAAGAGCCTGTTCACATGCCAATTTAAGCCTCTATAAATTGTTTGCAGATTAGCAGTCAAGCAAGTTGATTTCTTGCTTTACCTTTTCCTCAGCATGTAATGAAAGAAAGCTATTAAAAATCTTTATGGAAAACGTGTCACATTATATGTTTAATATGTTGATTTATCTCGCAAGTAATTTCTGGAAAGCTATCCCTTTGTTATTAGATGTATTAAACTAAGCATAAAATTCCAAGCCATAACATCAGAGTAAACATGTGTATGTTATTGTAATGCAATGACAGAGAACTTTGCTTTCAAATTCTACGGAACTATGCCGTCCAGCTATCGTTCCTTAGTTCTAGAAAAAAGCAAGGGTCCCATATGGATAATACTAAATTGTGTAAGTTGCTGCCTACCCTGAGTGTCACTTGCCGTCTAACAGATTCTTATTCCTTCCCCAGATAAGCAACTAGTAAGAAATTAAAGAATTATAAGTGATCTGATCTCTCTGACACGTTGAGGCTGCTCCCTAGAAGTCTCCTTAAATAATTATTATTTGCACAATCTCTTGGTTGGGAACTGGAGGGCTGAACCTTGCTGATTTAAGCAGGTGATAAATGGTTTACCTGTATTATTTACTGACAGTTAACAGTACTCGATTTGAAGCACTTTAAGCCAGTTCATGGTCGATTCTGTTTTCTTTTATTGCCATTAGTTATCAAATTACAGACAGTTCCTTACTCGGTAACTTGCTCGAAACCAAATTTGTATGACAAGAATTCCAATTGGAGTCATTTAGGAGGAGTGCATTATTCTTTTTAGCTATTTGGGCAATTTAAAACTCGGACTGTTTTCGTAAGGAATTACCTCTTGAATGCAAGTGGAAATATGACTGAAGAATTTTCCAACTTATGGTTGTATGTTTACTTACAAAAAATTGTCATCGTACGACTCCTTTCGTTTATCAAACAATAATTGCAAAGTAAGAGATCCATAACTTCAGAAGTAATATTTTTGCAGGCAGTGGAGGACTTACAAATAGCTTTGAGAGGCATGTCGAAAACTATAAAGATGCCGCAGGTGTGGAAGCCATCACTCTACATGTTTCTATCCCTGGCTCTCAGTATAAGTGCTCATGAAGGGCACTTCTATTGGTATACAGATCCTAAAGCTGGTCCTGCATTCTCACAGGTTCATACTACTTTCTATAAACTACTCGATCTTGAATCCTTTGGCAAGTGTTGAGATTATACATTAGATTAATCCAATGTTTTCCTGTTAACAGGAGTTTGTCGGGATCATTTATGCAGTTGGTGCATTGGCTTCTATAGTGGGGGTTCTGATATATCAGAAGACTCTGAAGGACTATCCATTCAGAAGCCTGCTCCTTTACGCACAACTCCTATATGGCGTGTCCGGAATGCTCGATCTCATGTTCGTCCTTAGATGGAACTTGGTCCTCAGAATTCCTGATTCCTTCTTTGTTATTGCGGAAGAATGTGTCACTCGAATCATAACCAGAATCCGGTGGATACCAATGATTGTGTTAAGCACTCGGCTATGCCCTCTAGGCATCGAAGGGACATTTTTTGCACTGTTAATGTGCATCGATAGTCTTGGCTCGCTCTCTTCCAAATGGGGTGGAGGAGTTGTACTCCATCTATTTCATGTCACAAGGACTGATTTCACTAACCTGTGGTTGGTCCTTCTCGTAAGAAATGTTCTGAGGTTTGCAACACTAGGTTTGATATTTCTTGTTCCTAAGGGTGATCAAACAGAAAACTTGATTCCCTCGGATATTTTGGCAGCAAATTCTGCTGCAAGTCTAGATGATGATGGCTTGGAACTTGTTCCTGTTAAGGAGACAAATGAAGAAGTCCAGCTGCTCATAGACGAAGAAAACTCATCGAAACTTCAATGATGTACAAAAATTTTGAATTGAGGTCCTGATGTAGATACTTTTGATTCTTTGAAACACCATTTGAGCATTTGATTGGTTATAGCATCAAAACCTGTGGACTGAATTAACTACTACTATAAACATAAAGGACTATTTGAATTTTTTTTAACAAGTCATTTTATGAATGAGTAAATTATGAATTAGCCCCTCTATTTTAAGAAACATATTAATTAATTTTTTCTTTTATTTTAAAATTAATTATTTCATTCTGCTTAATTTAATATTATTTTATTTTATAAAATATCATCTTTCATCAACAATCAATTCATATTTTTCACTTAATTTTTTTATATTTTTTTAAAAAAATTGAAAAAAATTAAAATTATAAGAAAAATTTAAAACATAAAAAAATACGTAACTAGTTTTTTAAATAATAAAAACTAATTAATTCATTTTTCAAATTAGTTGAATTAATTTATAATTTACTCTTATACTTAAGTAATTTACTGTGGAAATTAAAAAAGCATTGAAGCTGAAAAAGAAGAAATAACGTGGCGGCTTTCTAGTGGTTCTTTGATAATGAAGGACCCACAAAATAAGCTTTCTTCATTCCCATAGACTTTTCTTAAAGAAACACTCTTTTTCAATCCAAGAAAAAGGTCATAAACCCTTGACACCGGTCAATTTCCTCCTTCCCTCAAAGAATCCACTGCTTCCGCTTGCAATTCAAGCTATGGTACTCAAATTTCTTTTCTATTGTTCATTAGTTACTTAATCCCCAATTCATTTATATTCAAATCTCTGATTTTTTGGGTTAAATTCGCTTTCTGTTTCTAAGTTAGGGTTTCGAATGAACTTTAAGTTTTTGTTTGAGTAAATTGTTACTTAATGAACTTTTTAGTGTTAGTGGATATGGGTTTTTGGTATTTTTTTGATAAAGTTTCAAGCTTTGTGTTCTTTTAGTGTTTTTGACTGGTTTTGTTTGTGTTTTTGATGTGTAGGCTAATAGGCACACCATAGTTTTGATGCAGACCTCTCAAAATAGAGCTACCAGAACTTTCATGGATTATGACTCGATAAGCCAAGCTATGGATGGCATGTTTGCTATTTTTTGTTGTTTTTTTTTTTTTGGATGAATTGTTACTGAGAGATTTTTATTGTTTATTTTTTTAATGATTCCCTGTGCGAAATTTTGTTTTGTTTTTTGAATATTGGAGTAGATTTAGTAGCTTGTAAGGCTTGAAGGGTTTTTATTTTTTATTTATTTTATTTTATTTTCTGGGTTTCATATGATGATTTGTGTCCGGGTTCAAGTGGGATTTTTCTTTTTCGTACAATTATTGCTTTTTACGAAGTAACTGCATGGAGTGCGAAAGTATGGAATCGGCGTAATCTATTGTTTGTTAATGGTTATGCTGTGTGGTTTAAACCACCTTAGTTGCAGCAATTACTATATTTTTATCTCTTAGTCTGTCTGTCTCCTATTCCCTAGCTAGATTTATTGATTTTCCTTACCTTGTTTACCTTTGATACAGCGTATACTCTGTCCATTAACTTTTACTCCCTTTAATTAATTGATTTATTTTTTTGCTGGAAATGAAGATAAAGGCCAAAACCACCTGCTTCTGTGCTTGCGTAATGGCTGCAGTAATTTTTATGAAATAGGCAGTCAAATTGTTATTGTTGCCACATAAATTGTACGGAGTTAATGTTTTTGTCATGAACCCAGCATGGAATCTTTAACCATTTGCTTAGCCCTTGGATTTACTTTTTGACTAATGAATTGTTATTAAATCTTCCCTACTCATTGAGGTCATTCGTTGTGGGCGTTTGTAGGTATTTGTGCACTATACGAAAGGAAGCTGAAGGACCTAAATCCAGCCAACAGAAACATCACCTATGATATTGCAGATCTCTACAATTTCATTGATGGCCTTGCAGACATGAGCGCATTAGTGTATTTCTCTCTCTCCCTCTTCCTCCCTCCCTCCACACACACACACACACACACACACACGCATACACTCAATTATCATGCTTGGTAGCTAAGATTGTTGCATTTTGGCTCCATAAATATTTTTTTTCTAGGAGGTGAAAAACTTGATGTATATTTACAGATCCATGAACCCGGTTGGTGAACAGTATATATTCCACCAATTATCACTTTCAAATGTCAATGGTGATTGCTATTATTTAACAGAAACAATCTTTCCAAACAGTTTTGATGATTACCAAGAGAATTTTCTTCAGTTATACAATAAAAGAGAATGGCCTACTAGACACAAATTTCATCTTATTTGAGAATGCGAGTTTTCTATTTGAAAGACTAAGGTACTTCAGGCTGTTTGGGCTTGTGCTTGAAGGCCAAAGAAGGCAATTATTACTATGTTGCATCATTCTGTTCAGTGAGCTCACTACACCACGTTTATGCTATTGATATCCCAGGGGGTTAGAAGGAAATTCTTTTGATTTTTTGAATGAGATCTAGCTTTATGTAATTAGCAGAAAGATGTGCATGAATTTTTGATGATTACTTGGGCAGGATAACTGATCTTCTGTTTATTTATTTCTGTCTTGCAGTTACAATCACTCGATTCAGGCCTATCTTCCAAATGACAGACAGTGGATCAAACAGCGGCTTCTTCAACATCTTAAGAAATTGGCACACTAAACAAATGATATGCCGATCTATATTTTAACTACTATAAAGTTCTCTGTGGGTTGAATCCAATAGGAATGCAATATGTATGGAAGTGTTGCGTCGGTGTCTTGCATGGGATGTGTTCTGAATCCCCACATTGTTTGATATGAAAACTCTTAGCTTATCTCTATTCATCTCGTTGTCTTTTAAACATGCATGTATAATTATACCAATTGAAGCTCTGCTCAAGTAACTGATGCAAAGCCACCTTTGTTGTTTGGCCAGTATATTTTTATGGCAAATGTTATCTTGCTTATGAAACTAGACCTAGGATCTAACTATGTGGCTGGATGCTTGTTATCCAGTTTTTTAAGGATTGTGGTCTTCCAATTCTTTAATGATCAGCAATTTTCTTCTACTTTTATGTTGATCACGTAGCATGACATAGACTGCTTGCAATTGGAACTTTTGTTGGCATGGGATTTTGAATCTGTTGTCGAACGAAATGTTTCACCAATTAAGGAAATTATAGAGGTACCTTTGAACTTAAGAAACAAAAACAATACTGCATTAAGATCCCTAGAAAATCACTGAGAGTAAATGCCATTTACCATATTGGTCATGAATGTCCTGGTTTGGGTATGGATAGCTAATTTAAACTTTGATGGGAGAAGTCAACATGTTGCTAGTAGTAAACAAAATGGTTTTTAGATGAATTTCATATCAATGTATATGGTTTGAATTTAGAATTGCATTTGTTGGAAGAGGTTAAATTTTATCTTTTTCGTATTGAATATGATTTGTTCTATTTCTAATGTAGGATAGGGGTATTTGGAGAAAAAAACGATGGGAGAAGCAAAAAAAATATTGAAATTCAGGATTTTATATAAACCCTAGACCTGACTTTTAAGAGGAATTATTTAATAAGAAGAAATTAGGGATTTTATATAAACCCTAAACCTGACTTTTAAGAGGAATTATTTAATAAGAAGAAATTAGGGATTTTATATAAACCCTAAGCTCGACTTTGAGGAGGAATTATTTAGTAACAACGATGTCATTCGTTTCAAAATTAAATGTTTGAAAATAATATCAATCATTTGATTATTATAAGTATATACAATAAATGTAATGTTGATATTATTTGGTATCATCGATTGGAAGGAATTACATATTACATAGAATTTAATTCGTGTGGATCAAACCAATCCTATTACACGAATCTAATGGAGTAAATAACAACAATAACATGCTCCATTAAATCAACTAATCAAACAACTTTGATCCACATGAGAAAAGTTCTAAGTTTTTTTATTTGAGTCTTTTTTTTTTTTTAATACGTAACTAATTTATTTAGATCATTCAAATAAATAATTTAAAGTCATGTTAAACATTTATGAAAAAAACATACATGTGTCGTTATTTTAATTGCTTTATATATCTTTCATGTCGTCTAAAATTGGTGAACAGAATGAAAAACTTAATTGCAGATAAAAAAAAAATTATTTTAACCAATGGTTAAGATCATAACTAATTAGCTTTTTTAATATTTTGGATGAATATTTTCAGAAGAACAGTATTACTCTTTTTATTTGATTCTTCAATTTTTTTTTATACATAACTAATTTATTTATATCATTTTATTAAATAATTTCAAGCCACATTAAACGTATACGCAAAAAATATATATGTGTTGTTGTTTTAATTGCTTTACATGTTTTTCATGTCGCCTAAAATTGGTGAACAGAATGAAAAACTTAATTACAGACCAAAAAAAAAAAATATATATATATATATATATATTTTTATGATATTATATATATTTTAACCAATAGTTAAGATGATAACTAATTAGCTTTTTTAATATTTCGGATGAATATTTTGAGAAGAACACTATTACCCTTTTTCCGAAGCTCCCATTTTGATGGGCTAGACTGTTGGGCCCATTTCTCAATGTCCATCCTTTTTAATAAAAAAAATAAAGCCCACACAAATCACCCACCCTCTCTATCGGGACTGATGGTTCTATTTGATTCAATCAACAGTTTGAACGTCAACAAAGAAGAAGCCGAAAACTCCCCTGAACAGCCCCAAATCAACCTCCACAAAAACCCTAATCACTCTTACTGATTCAACTCCCTCGACTCAGCTCTACTGGGTTCGTTCTTTCTACCACTCACCCACTCAATCTCCCTCTCTTTCTTTTTGATATCATTTTTAATGATTTTTTTTCTTTTTTGTAACGGTCAAGTTAGAAAATTGATGTGAATGTTCTGATTCGAGAACTTGAAAGAATCTCTAATTTCGAATTGATTGACTAATTAGGTTCAGTTTAGTCACAAGTTTGGCGATTTTAGAATTTGTTAGTTGAATATTTAGGTTTAGTTAGATTGATATACGAATTTGGTGGTTTTTAGAACTGAATTTAGTGTTTTACTGTTTTTGTTGTTGTAGAGATTTAAAGTGTACGGACATGATTTTTTTTTTTGGTTGATTTATTAATCAACTGATTTAAGTTTGAATGCATTTCATCTTTGTGGGTTTTGACTGAAGTTGGAAATTTGAAATTTATGTAATATTAGAATCTAATGCAAAGATGAGTTCTTTCTCCATTACGAGAAAAAAGACCCCGTTCCAGAAGCACAGAGAGGAAGAAGAGGCGAAGAAAAAGGTATGTAATGTGTGCGTGTGTTTATTGTCATCCCTGAGTTTTAAGCTCATGTGGTTTCTATTGTTGAGAGATGCGCTAGTCCTTTTTATGGGCTGATTTTTTGTTTATTTGATGCAGAGAGCGGAGGATGAAACAGCTCGTTTGTATGCGGAGTTTGTGGAGTCGTTTCAAGGGGATAATGCACCTGGATCAAAGACTTTTGTTCGAGGTGGAACCATTAATCCCAGTGACAAATTGAAGAGTGAATCTGAAGGTCAGTCAGGAATTTTGATTGCTTATTAATGTTAATATATGTAGTATCTTTCTTCTGCTGTTTGCTTTATTCTTAATTGTTTCACGCTATGGATAAATAAATAGTTTTATATTATTACCGGACACATTAATAAAAGTATGGGCCTTTTTTATCATTCGCGGATGGCAGGTGAAAAGTCCAAAGATGGGGTATCTGTTCCAAAGAAGGGAAGTAGGTAAATTAACGCTTTTGATTGATTAACCATGTTCCCATGCTCTTTTGGTAAGGCATTGTAGAACTGAGAGAATTGTATGGTGATGATATCCTCGAGTGTAGTTTTTTATTTGTTAGATTTGTACATCAAAGAAAATTGGAGGAGAAGTTTAGTTATGCTTTTTGTATTTGATGGAATTAAAAATCCTAATCGATAATCAGATGAACCAATTATAAGAGCATTGATTTTGTGGTGAACCATAGTATGCTTTATCCACACAACAACTTTTAAATCTTCATAGAATGTTCAGTTTTTTATTGAAGTTTTTCTAAAATGTTACAGTTCTACGATGAATTCTTAACTGGAATAACACTGACTGATAAAATTCACATCATTTTTATTTGTTGACTGTCAAATTTTATAAATTTCTGGATTTGAGGAGCTAAAATGAGACCACAAAGTCCAATAACTAACACATTCTAACAGGCATCTGAGGCACTTTAAAAATTTGAGAATAGAGAACACTAGAAGATAGCATGAGGTTTGTCCTAGAAAGGGATGTGGATAGCACTCAATAGGTTAATTGCTAAAGAAAAATAAACAGTTGTTGTTGTGAAACGGAAGTTTATCTGTAATATTATTTCTGCAGGTATGTTCCATCTTTCATACCACCTCCTATGGCATCCAAGGGAAAAGAACCTGAGAAGAAGGTTAGCATTTTGATAGAAGGAACCTATTTCTGTTGGTTCGCAAGTAAGCCTTTTCCTTTAATTCATAGTCATTCATTGTGTTTCATATTTTTTGCAGAGGGAGGAGGAAAGACCAAAGGAGAAGGAAAAGGGAAAGGCTCGAAACATAGATCATTTTATGGAGGAGCTGAAGCACGAGCATGAGATGAGGGAGAGGCGAAATCAAGAACGGGAACATTGGCGTGAAGGACGTCATACCGAAAGTTCTGCTGTAAGTCTCTGGTGCAATGTGTACATTCTGTAGCCTTACTCGTTGCGTCTTTTATCACTCTTGAACATATATGAATCTTTTACTGAGGTTGCTTTTATTTTATTATTTTCCCTCCAGCCATCTACTCGATTTGATGAACTACCTGATGACTTTGATCCAAGTGGAAAGCTGCCTGGATCATTTGATGATGGTGATCCACAGACTACAAATCTTTATGTTGGGAATCTCTCACCACAGGTCAGATTGTTGCTTTGGATATTTTTTTTCTTTGCATCTCTACTTGTTAATGCTCTGCTACTGATGCGGCCAAGGACATATTAATTTTTCTTGCTTTTATGTCTAGGTTGATGAAAATTTTCTTCTGCGGACTTTTGGAAGATTTGGGCCCATTGCTAGCGTGAAGATAATGTGGCCTAGAACCGAAGAGGAGCGGAGGCGGCAAAGAAACTGTGGATTTGTAGCATTCATGAATAGAGCAGATGGCCAGGCTGCAAAGGATGAAATGCAAGGTTTAGTTATTTACTCTATCTATCCATGATTTTTAGGTTTATGTTGCAGAGAGTTTTTAACTTTTCCCCAAGGTATCTCTTGATATGAAATGAGCAAATGTTTCTTTTGTGATCCTTGTATGACAATGTCACTGATTTGTGGTTGATTTTAGCTGGATGCCATTATAGTTGTGCTACCATTCGAATATTCATTATATAGTGTGGAACAGTAAAGTGATTGAAGAGCTGTATTTGATGTCACAGGAGTTGTTGTGTATGAATATGAGTTGAAAATTGGATGGGGCAAATCTGTGGCTCTTCCATCGCAGGCATTACCTGCTCCACCACCAGGACAGATGGCCATCAGGAGTAAAGAGGTATGTTGTAGTTTCCTGCCTAAATTGATCGTTCCGATCAGGTTGATCTATGTGCATGCAGTTTTTTCCTTGTGAATTAGTGATTTATATATGGTACATGGATATCATAGTAATGTGATGCCATGAGTCTAATTTTCCTTTGCACAGAAGAATTTAGCCTATGCCTTTTCATTTAACATTCTTAGAATAAATGGGCAGCTGAAGGCTGGTTGCTTTCCATCTTCAGCCATGATTCTAAAATGTTATTGTGTTTGATAGGGTGCAACTGTGATTCTTTCTGGTCCATCAGGCCCGCCGGTCACTTCCGTCCCAAATCAGAATTCTGAACTGGTAAGTTCACCAATTTTATGTTGGCTTTCTTCTGAAGTAGAGAAACAATGTTTTGCAGCTATGATACTTGTGAAAATGAACTGTTATGTCATAACAAGACCGTATGGTCATCATGTTTTGTTTTATTGACAAATTAATTCTTTCTAGAGTGATGAACTTTTTTCTTTTCTTGTATGGTCATCTGATCCTGGTGTAAAGTGTTTTCTTTCTTGAGGTTGTTTTTTTCTAGCATTAATATAGTTATTCTTGTTGGCCCTTTGAAATATAGTTTTAGTTACTTGTTAAATGAAATAAGTTTTAGTTGATAGTTTAACTGAGTCCATGACAAATAAATTGTGAATTATAGTTACCATGGTCCTTTCATGAATTCAAGTGTTGAATTTGTTGTCTAGAGATGATAAAATAATTTCCACTCATAAAGGTTTAATCTGCTATTCTAAGCACATTTTAGTGACTTAATTTGATTTCTAGGTTCTTACTCCAAATGTTCCTGATATAATGGTCGTTCCACCTGACGATGATCATCTCCGCCATGTGATTGATACAATGGCTCTTTACGTTCTGGATGGAGGGTGTGCTTTTGAACAAGCTATCATGCAGAGGGGTCGTGGGAATCCTCTTTTCAACTTCTTGTTTGAGCTTGGCTCAAAGGAACATACTTATTATGTTTGGCGGCTCTATTCTTTTGCTCAGGTATATCTTCTTGTATGCATGGATCACATGTATTTGGACTTTCTTTTAGAATTTTGGGCATTCTTAGAAATAGTGCATTATTTTCCTGTATGAGGATGCTAGATGTTATGGCATCTGCAGTTTTCTCTGGTGCACTGTGCATATGTTGGCAGGGGCGATATTCATCTTTCTTGGTTTCTTTTTACTTAATTGTATTTTATGCAAAACTTTCGATATAGTGATTTCTTCTACAAAGAGAGACTATCATTTCATTTGCTCACCTGTATGGGGATTTGAGAATGTTCAATTATCTTTGGAATGCAGGGTGATACTCTTCAAAGGTGGCGAACAGAGCCTTTTATCATGATAACTGGTAGCGGAAGGTATTACTATTTCAATGGCTATTTGTGCTAGCCTGTTTTGAAAGACTCCTGCAAATTTTTGACTATGTTGATATTGATGTACTGGAGAATAATATAGCATCATCCTTTTTGTTTAGATGGGTACCACCGTCTCTGCCCACAGCAAAAAGCCCTGAGCATGAGAAGGAGTCTGGTAGCACATATGCTGCTGGAAGAAGCAGGGTATGTTTCCTTTTTCTTGCAGGAAAAACTTTTCTAAGCTGTATAATTGCAAAGTTAATTTGATAGATTGAGTTTTCACAGCGTGTCGACCCTGAAAGAACGCTGACTGATCCACAAAGGGATGAATTTGAGGATATGTTGCGTGCTTTAACACTGGAAAGAAGTCAGATAAAGGATGCTATGGGTTTTGCCTTGGATAATGCTGATGCTGCAGGAGAGGTACTGCCTGATACCTGTGCGTTTTGTTTTTATAATTTTTTTCGTACTTTGATGGGTTGAGTGCTCCATTATCTGTTATTCTCCATCAAAGGCACAAACAGCACTTTCTGTTTTTATGTTCTCTTTGCCGTTAGTCTACAAATTGTTTCAACTAGACTTGCTAATGAGATGTTGTGATCCATCATATAAGTAAATAAATAATGGAAGCATTGCTGCGATTAATCTTGGTGATTGTTAATTCTTTGTTTTGCCGTGCAGGTAGTTGAAGTTCTGACAGAATCTTTGACACTTAAGGAAACTCCTATTCCAACGAAAGTTGCAAGACTCATGCTTGTCTCTGATATCCTTCATAATAGTAGTGCTCCTGTAAAAAATGCATCTGCATATCGCACTAAATTTGAAGCTGCTCTGCCTGATATAATGGAGAGCTTTAATGACTTGTATCGCAGTATAACTGGAAGGATCACTGCTGAGGCCCTTAAGGTGAGCAGTAATGTTGATTTTTATTCAGAGTTCAAATTTTTACTCTGTGTTTTGTGCTTTAAATATGAGCTCATGTGGCTTTCAACAGGAACGAGTTCTGAAAGTGTTGCAAGTATGGTCGGATTGGTTTCTGTTTTCTGATGCATATGTGAATGGACTACGGGCTACATTTCTTCGTTCTAGTAACTCTGGTGTGATACTGTTTCATTCTATATGCGGTGATGCACCTGAAATTGAGAAGAAGAATAGCTCAGAAGACACAGTTGATGGGGGAAAGACCAATCAAGATGCTGCATTGGCAATGGGCAAAGGAGCAGCTACGAAGGAGCTAATGGATCTTCCCCTTGGTGAGCTGGAAAGACGTTGCAGACATAATGGATTGTCACTTGTTGGTGGTAGAGAAATGATGGTGGCACGATTGCTGAGCCTGGAAGAGGCAGAAAAACAGAGGGGATATGAATTAGATGACGACTTGAAAATTGCTCAGAGTAATTCAAGTTCCAGTAGATATTCAAATGTTCGCAGAGAAATGAATGTTGAACCGGAGCCACTAGGATCAACAGGGTGGAATGTTTATGGGGAGGATGATATGCCATCCCAGAACCAAAGCTCTGTATCTTTGGCCTCAACCCTCCCAATTCCGCAACCTGAACTAAAACCCTTTGCAAAGAAAGAGAAGAATGATCCTGTTCTGCCAGCATCTAAATGGGCTAGAGATGATGACGAAAGTGATGATGAACAGAAGAGAAGTGCTAGGGACCTGGGGTTAAGCTACTCATCTTCAGGAAGTGAAAATGGTGGTGATGGTCAAAGTAAGGTGGATGAGATGGAATTCGTTACTGATGCAAGCATTCCAACACAACCTGAGAGTGGAATGAACGAAGAGCAGAGGTGCGTACCTCTACTTCTGCTGTGGTCATATTTCTTTGTTTATCAAATGATTTGGTTTTGTAAACATCATCTTTTGTTACATTGAGTTTCCACCCCCCACCCTCTCAATTTTTCCTGTTTTGGGCTTGTGTAACTTTCCTTGGCATAACCAGAGCATAGTCCATGTCTGTGCATTGCCTGATTTTGGCTATGATGTTGCAGACAAAAGTTGAGACGTTTGGAAGTTGCTTTAATAGAGTATCGTGAATCCCTCGAGGAGCGAGGAATGAAAAGTTCAGAGGAAATTGAGAGGAAAGTTGCAATACATCGGAAACGGCTGGAGTCTGAATATGGCTTATCTAGTTCTAATGAAGATGTCACTGGCAACAGTAAGTGATCATTTTGCAATACTGAATCTTTTATGCAGCAGTCCACCAGTTATGATAGTTGTTTCCGTGTGCTCTGCTAGTTTTCTACAAATTCTTTACCTTCTCTGTTGATTTGGTTATTAGTCACTTATGTTTCTTTACTTAATGTATTTGGTCAGCTTAGAGGCTTGAACTATTCAAATCTTATAATTGGAAACATAACCTTTTCCCTATGCTTTGAAACTGCAGAGAGAATATCTTCTGAAAGGAGGGATAGACGTGGTGATAATCATGAATCTTTAAGAAAGCGACACCGCTGTGAAAGCAGAAGCGAAAGCCCACAAAGAAAATTATCACTTAGGGACAGGGAGAGGGGAAATGACTCGGACAAAGACCGGGAAAGGCATAGGGAGAGGGAGAGAGGTCATAATTTGGAAAGCGAAAGATGGGACCGTGATCGCCATGAAAAAAGTGGAAGCAGGGAGCGGGATGATCATGACAGAGACAGAGGCAGAGACAGGGATAGGAGGAGACGGGTAAAATGAGTCAATCGGTGCGTGCATACTGCGATTTTATGATTCCTCATGCAAATTGTCAATGGATGGATTAATTTTCAGGGGATCAGACTTATGAACATTGTGGTGGGGAATTGGAGATGAAGACAATCAGACCTCGCTTGCGAAAGAATGTTTGTCATGAAAAATCTTTTGTCCGAATAGCTGTGTATTTCGTGTATTTCGGTTTCACAATTAAATTTTTCTTGGGTTGTATGTCAGAGCCTGATAATTTAGCGCATTACTGCCCTAAATCACATGTTTCCGAATCTGTTATCAAATGTAAAATTTTCTGAAATGCAATGATCTGCTATTTCTTCCCCATTTCATCTCTCAGCTCCTCTTTTTTCCTCTTGAAAAGAGCCAGGTTCTATTCACTTGGTCTTGGGAAATGAATCGATGCTCTACGAAACTTGGAAATGCACAGATCGTGTTTAATCAAAACATCGTAGAGTAATAATATTATTAATCCCTAAATATCCATCCTGAATGAGTGTAGCTGGTGTCATTTGGGACCCCAATTGTGTCCCCTATGATGGTCAATGTTATTCGAGAATGAGCAGAACGATATTTCGGGATGAACAACATTACTCTGCCATCCGAACATTGGATCTGCATCTATATTTTCAAACTACAAGTTCGAGTTGCTATAAATATCAACATTTGACAATTCTAGTCACCTGGGAGTAACAAGACTATAAAGACTCCTTCGGACGCAGTTTTCTTAATAGCCATTTCTTTCGCAGGGTTGCATCCAATGCCAAAAATGTCTTTGCCTTCCTCTCATCTTCCAGAAGATCACAAGCATCCAACAAAAGCTCATCATCTATGTCAGGTATATTTTGAAGGGTCTCAATTGCGCTTTCTATTGACATGTGGTTCTTGCTCTCTTTCTTGTTTACAAATGCTGAAACTACACGTGGCATCTCCTTGCCAATTTTCTGCGCCTTACTAGAAAGCTCATTAACCATAACAGGTCGCTTTCTCTGTGTATCAGATATTTCAATGTCCTCAACTGGAAATTGCATATCCCCCGGCAGTCCATCCGTCAACATTTCTACTTTCGTGGCAGTATCTTCAATTTGCGTCGGTGGACCCTGATTGCTAAGTCTTGCATCTGATACTTCATTTCTTTGAATGTGGCACAAATCAATATAACTGTCTAGAACTTTATTTTTGTATGCAATCGCATGTGGCTGTCCCTGCAAAATTTCATGCTGCCAGTGTTAATATGAAGGCAAACTATAAATTCTACAGTTAAGCCTGATGCACAAGTCATTTTTAAAAGTAGAAAGTGCTTAACAACAAGGTCCCATCGCATAATGATAAGGGCTCTCTCTCTCTCTATCATAAAGAGGGTATAGGACGATGCTATCGTAACCGTCTCATGCAGTGGATCCCTGTGGTTATGAGCTGGAGGAAAGTTCAGCAGTTTTAAAGAAATTGAGAAATGAAATCAATAGAATGAGAACCGCACCTTAACATAATCTTCCCAGGTAGCATCATCAGCAATTACCATTTGCTGAGTTCCATCCCATGCAAACTCACCATGACTGAGAAGACGGCTAATCTCGTCACAATCTTTCATCAAACTGATATACCGATTCTCTAAACTGTATTTATCACATGTAAGTCCAAATTTGTCATTAAATAATTTAACCATGTGAGCCCATGCTTGCTCATTGAATGTGTGATCGATCTTATTCCCTCCTTGCACCTTCTCTAACATAAGGTCGACCAAATAACGGTCCATCACTGGCTGCCAATCTACTGTCAGAGGTTCAACTGCAAATCAAAAAAACATTATACAAAAAATCCAATGAAGTGCATAAGTATAGGAAGAAAACAAAATGAAAAGAACAGTTCAATCTTCCTTTTTTTTTTCTTTTTTTTTCTTTTTTTTCTGGTTAGAAGTTCAGTCCTCCTTGAAATAGCATATAGTTTAATCTTCTGTATATTAGATCGATGCATTTCAGGGAAATCATATTGCAATTTATTAATTGTTTCCTTTTCTAAGAAAGCAAGAATTCACATTTAATGTACCTAATTCATGACCTCACTTACAGTTATGCCCTCGTATTATGGACTATTCATTTATTGCAAGTCTCAGCAGATATTTACCAGTCATCAAAACCGGCATTTCCTCATTAGCATCTATGCATTGAGCCAAACGGCTGTATCTTCCATCAGTGTTTTCTTGCCCAAATATAACACACAATTTCTGATAACCCGGCACAGTTTTAACTCTGTATGATCGAGCATCAGGGTGTGCCTGCATGTGTTACGGGTAAGCAACAGAATGCAGAAATGACTGATCATATAAGAGGGAAAACAGTTCACCTTGATATAAGCATCCCAAACATAGTCTTTAGCTGTTATCATTTCTCGTGTTTCATCCCATGAAAACCCACTATTTTCAAGAAGATTTTTTATCTCATTGTACAGCCGCCTTAAATGCTTGTACCGGTTTTTTAAAACATCTTTGTCATGGTGCGACTGGAATTTAACATTAAATGATGCAGCCATGTCAATCCAAGCCTGGCTTATAAATGTCTGTCCAAATTTATTTCCCCTATGCACCTGTTCCAGTAGTAAATCAATAAGATGGCGATCCATTGGTGGTGTCCAATATGTTCTTGTGCGATCACTACTGCCAAGGGAGTGACACCCCTTTCCTGATTCTACACCAACAAAAACCTATTTGTAAGGGTAATCTTCAACCATCAAAATATGTGGTCTCAAATATAAATCAGAGTACCAAGTGCGAGGTGAAATCTCAAATCAATCAACAGAAGTATGTAGTTCTTTTTTAGTACTATTGTTGTTGTTATTATTATTATTATTATAACATCGTAAGCACATATACAGTGCACAAGGAAGTGGAAGAAAAAAATCCATACGTGATGGGTCAAGAACTTCTAAAACAATCAAGCTTACTTCAACATATAAACTGAAAAGTTTCCATTTTTCATTCAATATAAAAACCAAACACTAGTAAAGATACTGATTGTTGAGTTTTATCTTTACATGAGTTTTCATTGTCCACTTGATCACTCTCACAGAAAACCTTCCATGAGATTGTAGTGAAGAAACCAAGGACTAAATTGAAGATCTCATTACACAACAACTTGATAAAAGAAAGTAACAACTCACCAGCCTTCTTTCGGGAAATGTCAGCTTCACGGTCTTTGTCCTGAAGGAAGTTACTTTGAAGATCATCTTCACTTGCATTCCCGTAAATAAGTACCAAATCATTGTAATTTGGCAATGTCTTCATTCTATATGTCCGTGCATTTGGATGCATCTACACTCATATTAAGTAATATCGTTTGAAATTAAACGGGAAGGAGAGGAAAGGAAAGAAAGAAATCAGATTTGAAATGCAGGTTCTTGTACCTTGATATAAGCCTCCCAAACTTTATCATCATCAGCTACAATCATCTGTTGAGTTTCATCCCAAGAAAAGCCATTTTGTTGCAGAATAACCTTCAGATCACTATAATACTTAGCTAACTTCTTGTATCGATGTCTTAAAATCCGTTTGTCATGATGAGGACCGAACTTCGCATTGAATGTGGAAAGCATATCTGTCCATGCTTGTTTGACGAATGTATTATCAGTCTTGTTGCCTCTTCCTATTTGGTCCAGCATAAGCTCAACAAAATATTGGTCCATAGCTGCAGTCCACTCAGTCCTTGGACGCTCATTATTTGATGAGAGGCTGCCAATTGGATCGCCTGCTCATTAAGGAATATGTAATCAAAATTTCATACTTCTACTTATTGGTTATAGTCCAATTTATTGAGAATTCACGTTACCATCAGGATATGAGGGCATAATAGAAAAGAAATATACGTCAGTGTTCATGGAAAAAGCAAAGCAAAAATGCATACCCATGTTTACCCCTTGGACTTCATCATCAAAGTCAAAATCATGACTTGATCGACTGTATCTTCCATCTGCACTGGTATATCCATAAACGACACACAAATCATTAAAATTCAACACTGCTTTAGTCTTGTAGGATCGTGCATCTGGATGAACCTGCATGGATCTTATGTTATTCTTTAGATATTACAGAGACTTCTACAATATATTATGAACAGAAAAATAATGCACCTTTATGTAATTATTCCAGAGACAATCATCAGCTACCACCATTTGTCTAGTTTCATCCCAAGCAAACCCAGTCTGGCCAAGGAGATCTTTTACATCATTGAACTGTTTCCATAAATTCGTATAACGACTTTTCAACACATCTTTGTCATACTGAGACTCAAATTTCGCATTGAACATAGCCAGCATGTCTGTCCAAGCCTGCTTGTTGAATGTATGGCCAATCCTATTCCCTCTATGCAACTGCTCTAACATAAGATCAATGAAATACCGCTCCATTGTTGGCGTCCAATATGTCCTCGAACGATCATTACTTGTTGGAATTTGAGTACCCATTACTTCCCTACTACTAAATTCCGAACCAAAAAGGCACATTACAACTCCTCAAGATTTTGTTCACAAATCATCAAACAAATTCACACATTACAAGCCAATGTAAGCAAGCAAAGAGCAAAAATGCAACACCTCTTTATCAATGAAAATTGCACACTTTTGTAGCTATATTTCAATAAACAAAAGAACCCTCTTAATGATTTACACTAATATCATCACTACATCAGATTACACTGAATTCCACTCAGCAAGGCTCAATCTCTCTTTGTTTCAAAGGGAAAAGCTACAAACTTTCTATGAAAATACCGTATAACAATAGAATTCAAGCTCAGAATTGATTAAAAATTAACCAATGTAGCATAATTGCTGTTAAACAAGACAGAATTGACAAAGATTCGAGCTTGTCTATGATTATTTAATAATTAATTACAAGACAACATTAATTTAAGGTTTAAGGAAAAGGTTTTTGTTACCTGTTAATATTAATGATGGGTTTGGAGTTTGGCGCCTGAGAAAGAGAGGGTCTTGTGATGGTGGAAGAGTTTAGCCCTAATCCGGAATAAGGGGCCTCCCAATTGCCCTTCCTGTTTGGTTACGGAGGCAACCTTTGTGTTTGTGGTGGGTGTCTACAGTTTGGAGTTAAGATTAAAGACAGCGTAAAGATGCCCATTAAGTTGTACGTATTATCAATCTCTGCCACTGTAGGAATTTGCTTTTCTGCCTTCTTAAAATTTTGTTCTTCTAGGGCTAAAATTTTTCATGAGTTTTGGGTTCTATTGAAGCCCAGATGATTGAGCCCATTGAAACATTAAACAATTAGCCCATTAGCCTAACCCTAGTTAACCATCCTCATTGTAATCCTAATTCATAAAAAAAATAAAAAAAATAAAAAAAATTAAATCCATTTCTCCATAGGATTACTATGTAATTCACAAAAAAAATGTTTCTTATAACCATTCTGCAAGTTTAGTATCAATAACCACCGTTCATTTAGATTTTTATCTTTTTTTATATTTACAAACAACAAAACATGTTCAAAATATTTTTTGCATCAATCGAAGTTTAGTTCACTAAACCAGTTTCAAAACAAATCTAATTTTTGATTGACTATTGAACTGTTTTTTAGACCAAAACAATTCGAACTTGATACCGTTAAAAAATAATTATTCATGAATAATGAAAATTGAATATGGATCATTATCAAACTAAAACAATTATCTTATGGCTAGGCCATCCTTGGTCCCATTAACCGGATTTTGTTCATTTAATCTACTTATCTATTTAACTTCCAAAAAGAAAAGAAAGGAAAAGCATTATGTTCAAAAAGTTCCACTCTTTTCTTGGCTAACCAATCTTAATTCCTATGCTTCCATCATTAAAGCACAGTTTACATACTGAAAATCTCTAGGATTGGCGTACAAACGGAGTAAATAATTGTGTCAGAACAATACAAAACAATGCTTTTTGTTTGCTCATTCAGACAATTTTTTTTTTTCTGAACTCAATCTTATCAGGTTGACAATGATTTACAAAAAATCATGTAAAGAAGAAGACAGGACTTTGTGGGTGCAAGAGTACATTGTGCGGTTCTTGGTAGTTTCTTGCTTCACATCCCCCACCGTCAAACTTCGGTGATCTTGAGAGATTTTAGGCACAGGACTCTATATTTGCACAGATGAAACTTGAACATATTTAGTTTGAATGATCTTGTTAAAGCTAGCTATTTACCATCATCACTGCTTACAAGGGACACCAATTCGATATTCTTGTTTTCGGGAGTTTCAGCCGTCTGTTTTTCACCTAAGATTTCAGTTGGAAGTATTGAAGCATTGGGATCACCTCTAGGAATCAGAAACAGTAGAAAAAGTGGAGTGACCCGCAATATGTTCCGGGTAATGATGGCAAGCCAGAGATTATCGAATCTAGTCCGAGTGACGTTCAGAAAATGAAGAACGATGCCTCCAGCCCATTGAGATGAGAGAAGTCCAACGTTATCGATTGACATTAGTAGAGCAAAGAAAGTGCCTTCAATACCAGGGGGCAAAGCTTGGAACTGAGCACAAGAAGAGGCATCCACTTTAGCCTTGCAATCATCTGAGAGACACTCTCATCAATGACAATGAAGAAATAATCTGGTATGCCGAACTTCAAGTTCAATCGCAGCACTAGCATCAAATCTAGCATTCCAGACAAACCAAATAGCAATTGAGTCCAGAAAAGCAAGTTTCGAAACGGGTGATCCTTCAGAACATTTTGGTAGAGTAATGCTCCGAAGAGGGATCCAATCGAACCAATCGAGAATATGAAACCAATAGTCTCCTGCATAAGAGTGCACTGTGAGTCTCCGGATACACCTAGTTTACGTGATAGTTTTCAGTTCTCCTGAAGATTGCAGTAACTGAGTGCAGAACCATATACCTGAGAGAAAGATGGACCCCCCTTTGAGTCTGTATACCAGTAGAACAACCCTTCGTGGATATTTACGCTCATCGCGAGGGATAAGTACATATATATGCATGGTCTCCACACATCTGGGAATTTCAAAGTTCTCCACATTGCTTTACCAGCATCCACAAACTTCTGTTTTACCTGAGCAACGACAACATTAGAATACGAGCCTAGAAGTGACAAAGAATAAACAAAAGCTGCAAAATGTACCTGTCTGTAAGAGAAGTCAGGCAAGAAGGGCTCATCAAGCAAAATTCCAACTAAAAGTACAAGTCCAGCTGGGATTGATAGCAAGCCGAACACCCCCTACCAGGGACGAGGAAGAAATATTCAAGTTTTAGTCTGCAAACTAATTTATGTTTTTGAACGGAAAGAATGGAAAAAGAGAGAAGAAAAATTGCTGGAGGAATGGACAATGAACTTAAACAGCAGTCAACCTTAGGGCCAATTAGGTGGACAAAAATACCACTGAGCGAGAATCCCATTAATGCTCCAATGGATGAACTGAAAGCGCACAAACTTTGCATGTCAGCAGCAAGGGATGGACGAGTATTACTATTCTGTGCCACACAGGCATCGATCGTTACATCTGCTATTGCTGCACTAGCACTTCCTGCTGTCAATGACAGCAGAGCAAATACAATATGCAGGTTCTCATGAAAAGACAACAAGAGCATGGAGACCACACCAAGCAATCCTGAAATTTACATTAGAGGGAAAGAAGATTAGTTTTGTTTCCCATTATCGAAAGAAAAAACAGGAAAAGAAAGAAAGAATGCTTCTATTGACAAATGATAACCTAATAGTAAGATCAAGTAGATTCCTATTTTGTACTATCAAGAGTTCTGAGTTTAGACAGAAGAAGGTGCTGCGCATGATAGCTCTTCAATGGAATGTAGAGAACATTAGTAAGGCCACAAAATATGCTCCATATGTATCTCAAAAAACCAATTTCTGCAATAGAGGAGACAGGGATTAATTCAATGAAATGAGTACAAACATCCTGTTACCTAATGCCTACACCAAACACAGGTTATGTGGATCAAATGGCAAATTAATGATCCTCAACCTGTTCCAAATAAACACCGAATCCTAACCATTTAACTACCGTCCTATCTTCAACCTATGCTCAATTTTGTGAACTGAGAAATTGATTTTCTAAAACAATCATCTAGTTGAGCAGATATTGGTAATCTTAAACTGTGTTAATTTAGGAACTATTTATCATCATAACATGTTAATGTATGACCTCCTTCCCATATGCACTTAACATGTATGTTCTACTCCGTCAGCCGAAGCATAGACTTCATAAAGATCCTCTCTGAAGTTCAGAAACACTAACAACTCCTCTCCTTCTCTGTTGAAACACTTTCCAAGTAACCAGCATACACATTTCACCCACTACATGCAGCCCAAGTTCAAGATGACAATTGATACATTGCTGCCAATTGTTTTTTTTTTTTTAATTTGCACACCCAACACACACACACCGAAGGCTTCTAACAGAACTAGTCTGCTTGGATTTGAATCCCGACCTCTTGCAAGAGACCAGTACCACTAGGCTACAAGCTCTTTGGTCATTGCTGCCAATTGTTACACAGGCACATTCGTTGCTTACACTAGAGCACCCATAATTAAACTCCATCCTGAACTTAAGAGAGGAGCCTAATTCTTCCACTTTGCAAGGCATAATGTTGACACATAAATGAGATCTTATCCTACTTGTTTACCAAATTTAAGATGAATGAATAATCTACCAGATGCATACACAAGGAATGTCAAGCTATAAAGCATCGTTTGCAAGATAAAATCGAAATACGGCACCGGCATTTCCACAAAAATAAGATCTTTGCATATTACATTAAGATGCAAGGACAGCCCTAGGGTAAAATTTACCAGCAAAGATGAAATAAGGCCGCCTCCGGTACCCGAAAATTGGAATAACATCAGTGAGGAGGCCCCAGAGAGGCTTGACAAGCCATGGAATTGCAGTGATTCCTTGATAAACCTGGGATTCAGAAGGCTGCACCTTTTGAACATCCTTCATGTAATAGTCAGTGCCAACACGATTGAAAGCTCCACCAAGTCCTTGGTTTACACCATACACAGACAACACACCAAATACAAAACTCCAATGTGTCTCATTAGCAAGCATCTTGAACCAATCAATTGGAGCCCAGAAAAAGTCAAAGAACCCTCCTTTTTGTTCATCTTTTTCCTCCACAATCTCACTACAGGCTTCCAAATTCTCATACTCCACCATAACTTACTGTCTTAAGACCAGTAAACAGGAAAGACAAACAACCTGATCAGCTCAAAACCTAAATCCAACTGATTGAATTTCCAAAAAAGGTACAAACTTTCTAACTTGGGCTCTACTTGAAAGCCCCAAAAACACAACAAATCAGTTTGTTTCCCAAAGTGGGTTTCTTTTTAATATCTCTGCCAGATGTGAACTTTCCAAAGAGGTTATAAGAAATGTGATTGCAAACCAGTTCAAAACCAGTCTTTTCTGATCTAGGCTTCTTTTTCCAAATCTAAAGGGCTAGTAGCTAATGTTTCTATTGGTTTTGTAAAGATTGATGAAGCACAACAAGAAGACAGATCTTTTCAACTTAGAGCAAACAAACAGAGGTAACGCAAGAGCGAGATCTCTTATTAATTACTGCGACCTTTGTCCAACCAGGCCGTCAGATTACTACCTAAGCATGGTTTTAATCTCCGAATGGCTCCGAGGCTTCATTAATTACAATACTTGCCCTTAAAAATTAACCAAATGAAAGCGACAAAATCATATAATTGGCTACTTTTTGTTTTTCCTTATACCGAACCAGATCAAGTGGCAAGAAACCAGATAACCATTCTCTTTTACTCAATAGGATATGCAACGTGGCGAAATACCATTGGTCCCGTTCAAGTGCCGATACGATCCGATGGATCTAGTTAAGGAGCCCCTGTCATGTCTGAACAAGAGAGGATGTTAAAAGTCTTAGTGTTCCTGTATTAGTTGTCCACTGGGACAAAGAAATGAGCAAACCTAGAGCGTCTTGTTTGTCTTTTAGTGTTAATTCTAACTTAGTCCCTCTTTTTTAATAAGATTATTGATCAATCCCTGCAGTATAAAAATTATTCAAATAACACTTTGACTATCTTAGACCATTCTCAATTTAATAGTTTTCCTTGAAAATAACAAAAAATGCCTTCTTCTCTTGTCAAGTTTTCTCATTTTATCTACATCTCTTTTTTCCACATCTAAAGGACCATCAATTTGACAAAAGGACCAAGTCGTAAGGGAATTTAAGAATATAGTCTATATAAGGAATATATATATATATATAGTTTATGAAACATTAGGACTGATTAATTAATTATGTTAAACTATAAGGACTAAGTTATAATTAACTTTTGTTTTATAAGATGCTATGAAAACAACACCTGGTATTAAAGGGAGCAGATTATTTCATATGATGAAATGCCACCAACCCCTTCGAGTTGGAATCTTGTTAGTTCAAAATATTCTCTTCTTGAAATTGGCATCTAACCACTTTTAAGATTTGAATTAGATTAGTTGTTGTGATCGGATGTTGATGAAGTGATAGATTCAATTTTGATTAAAAGAAAAATTCGTTTGAAAATATTCTATTATCTATAATCTTTTTTTAAAAAAAAACCTTTACAATTGATCCTATTTAATTGTGATAAATTTATCTCTTGGTCATTGAAATTAACATCCAATCACTTTGAAATTTTGAATTATATTAGATAATAGTTTTCAGAATCAATTAAAAGTTAGTTGTGATCCGATATCGATGAAGTGATAGATTCAATCTTGATTAAAAGAATTTAATCAAAATTCGTTCTAAAATATTCTATTATCTGTAAATTAAAAAAAAAAAAAATTTACAATTGATCCTACTTGATCATGATAAATTTATCTCTTGATCATTGAAATTGGCATCCAACCACTTTGAAAATTTGAATTATGTTAGATAATAGTTTTCGAATTAATTAAAAGTTAGTTGTGATGCGATATCGATGAAGTGATAGATTCAATCTTGATTAAAAGAATTTAATCAAAATTCGTTCGAAAATATTCTATTATCCGTAAATTAAAAAAAAAAAAAAAACTTTACAATTGATCCTACTTGATCATGATAAATTTATCTCTTGATCATTGAAATTGGCGTCCAACCACTTGTAAGATTTGAATTAGATTAAATAATAATTTTTAAAATCAATTAAAGGTTAGTTGTGATCCGATATTGATGAAGTGATAGATTCAATCTTGATAAAAAGAAAAATTCATTCAAAAATATTCTGTTATCGATAGATTTAAAAAATAAAAATAAAACCCCTTATGATTGATCTACTTGACCATAGTAAATATATCTCTTGGTAATAATAATACTCTTTCTTTTCCCAAACCACCTTAATACTATTAAACAAGGTTGTATTGCTGACATAGTGATTTCATACTGATTTTCATTATACATACGATTATTTTGTTTTGAAATCTCATGTTATATTGCAAAACTATTAAAACATATTGAATTAAAAAAAAAAAATCAAACTTTTTATTCAAAATCTTGTGCTTAATTAATTAGTCCTCATGTTTTTTTTTTATAAATGTTCAATTGAAAAAAAAAAAAAACATGATTTCTCATTTTGTATGGAATGATTATTAAACAATCTAAATAGAAAATTTAATCCATTTTTTTTTAAAAAAATCTTGATATATTTTCCATAAGGTTGTATAATAAAATAATTTCATTTTTGAAAAAACCTCAATATCTTTGTCCACAAGGTTCTACATCCAATGGCATATGGATATGTACTTGGCTGCGCATTTACAGGAAACTCAAGTGAAAAATGATGGATGGCATTCACACAGCAGAGCAGAGGGCACTTCCCAGTTTTTGTCTTGCTCATTAAGGGTAACTTTCGTTTTAGAAATAGATGAACAAAGCTATTTGCAGGGAATTGAAAAACCAAGATAGAACATGAACATGTTAAGCAAATTATAGCTTCCATGTTTTGCTTTTCATTCATGGAAACCAATAAATACACAGCCCATAAAAGAAACATACGCATTCTGGAATAAGTGATTGCATTGGTTGCTACATAAAAATTTATTCTGTACAAGACTGACCTGCAGCCAAAGAATTCCCAGCTAAAATCATGAAACGACAGCCATGAGAATCTCAAACGAAGAAGCAAGTTGTTTCTTCTCTGTTAATATATCTCAAAGCATAACGCCAAATAATCATTTAACATATCAGTTTGGAGATGATTCAGATTGGTATCCCATATCTTGTTCAAATGGTTGCTCTTTAAGAATCTGCAATTTTGATTTCTTCTGCAGGGCTCAGCCTTGACGGTAGCAGTGGATTATGATATTTGATTTCCGGGAACACACTCCATGAATGAAAACTTTGCCATTTCTTTCATCTCAGAGGTACAGAAAACCAACCTTGGATGCGTTTGGCAAAGTCATTTCACATACTGCCAATCACCAGCCCACAATTGAGAAATGTTGTTAGCAACAACCAGCAATCGGAACTAATGGGTCCCTCCTTGTGGACATGGGCATGCAGCTCAAATCCTCATTTGCTTTGTAGTAAAGCATCTTCTGAACATAGAAAATCATATAACATTGTGACGCTCTGACAATTCTCTCATCAACTTCGGTAATCCAAGCATCATCGCACTTGTACCATTGGTTTTGCAGGCGCAGATAAGTCACATAATGGCCTGAGTCTAGCATCCCCGAATGAGTGACAACAGCAAAAATCTCGAATTCTGCAGAGATATCTGCTTCATCACTCTCAAACCCAGAAATTCTATTTCCAAATCTGTTTCTGACAATCGAGGATGATAAATAAGGGGTCATATCCAAAGAGAAAGGAAACTGCAAATGCCAATCAATTTTTCTTGATGTTCTTCTCAAGGAAGAGTGCTCAAACCGCTTGATATGTAACGACAAGACCAATGGAAGCCTTTTAATAGACATTTGCTTCAACGAGTCCCTCTTTTCTTTACAATTTTGGCAGTACAGTTTCTGATCGGACCCCAACCTCTCAGGCCTTGTGAACAGATCCAAACATGCCAAAAGAGTAGATCTGCCTGTGTCCTCATTTGGTCTGTTAGACTTGTTCGCCACGTCCACTGAAGAAAAGTTGCTTGTATCCATGTTGAGCGAAATGTCAACACATGGGTCATAAGTTGTGGAAGTAGACCCACAAGTTGTGCAGGTTACATCTGATCTTAACATCCCTGAGAAAACCCTATGAGCAATACACTGACAATCTCCATTTTCTACACAAAAAAGATCTATATATTGTAAGTCAAACACAACAAAAATTAACACATAATGTAAGATTCACCACTGCATGAGCCATCCCCTAGTAACCTGGACAAAATGCAAGCAATTCAAAGTTTCTTTTGAAATTCACAAGTTATTTCACATGATTTGGAATAAAAACAGCAACATTTCCTTGGAGGCAAATCCATAGTTATTTGCTAAAACCCTGCCCCCCTCCCCCAACTCAAACTCATTGAATCAGCGTAATAATAACCCAACTTCTTTAGAATATAATATCTAATATATAAAAAACACAGAGGTTATCTTACAAAGGAAAACTAATAGGTAGCAATCCCAAATTCATTCTAATGCATCTAAGAATCATTTACTGGGTGGTAGATTATGAATATGAGATAAGAAACCATACATCATCTCTAAACACCATCATGTGACAAACAGAACATAACACAAATTAGAAAATACACCTTATCCCAGAACCTAGAGGTATTACCTTTACTTGGATTTCTCTCCTTTCCCTCTCTCTCATGGATTCCATCTAACACTGAAATGAAGAATTCATGAGCATCCTGCTGCTCGTAACTAGCTAGATTTGCTGAATGCTGCCACCAACTTCATGTACAAACAAAATTTCATTACTAAAGCATGAGTCATCTCCAAACATTGCTAGAAGATTAAATGGAAGGCCTATGAAGGGAACTAACACCGAATTCAAATCAATATCAAAATCCGAACACGATAACAGCTCAGCCACTACATCATTACAGAAGACTTCCGATTAGAATCACTGATACACCCAAGTCACAACCAATTCCAGCACAAGATAATGAAATATTCAATCAGAAATCTAAGTGAAGAGAAGAAATTCTGCTTGAAAAGTCCTTAAGACACCATAATTTCTTCAAGCTGATGAGATCAAACATATCTCCAGTTTACCTTTTAACAGTAGCGGAAAAATTGAATCTAAAACAAACTATGAAACAAGCTATGCGAATGAACTAAAGTTTGTAAAAGAAATAATCTCAGAAAATAATGGCAGATTTGGTATGAAACAATCAACAAAACAGCATAATGAGAAATGATTTGGTATCAAAACACACTGAAACTAAAGAGTGCATATACGTAACAATGTCAGACCTGTAAAGAAACTGAGCTGGACTATAAGGTGTCCGATCCCCGGAATACACAGCTGAGAAAATAACACCAATATCACAAGCCAAACACGATTGATCTGATGATTTTTTCTTACAAATTTCGCGGTCGTGTCTCTCACTCAAGAAGTAATTCCTGAATGGTGGTGCATGAAGCAATGCTTGCAACACAGAATTCATGAAACAAGTACTGCCCAAATTGTTCAATCCTCTCAATCCCAATGGATAACACGATTTCGCCCTTCGATCTCTCACTGAAACCAAAAGCTTAGACTTTTTCAAATCCAAATCCACCAATGAATTCAACCTCCTCCTCTTGCTTGATCTCCTCGTTAAATCATCAACCACACTATCCTGTGTCTTATTTGGCATGTCCATAATATTTTTAGACACAACAACCTTATCAAAATCAGGGTCATAGACCTGATCGCTACATGAACAACAATAAAGTTCTGATCTGTCAATGTCAACAGCTATATCATGACCATTCCCAGATTGACTATGCAAAAGGGTGTGGTCTGGACAATACATTGAAGAACAAATCAGACACAGATACAGTCTACCTCGATGAAACCCACTGCAGAAACTGCATCTGGGCATCTTTGTTTCACGCATTTTAATGCTTGTATTTCCATTTGGACTGGTTTTGAGCCACTTCTGAAGGGATTTGTATCCACTCAAGCCATGACTCAGCTTATAATCTGCAAGATGCTTGCAGGGTTTTGGGTTTGCAAACACAGGGTTCCTTGCAGCCATGAAATAATAATAAAAAAAAGGATAAAGTTTTGATCTTTGACCAAAAACACAAGAGTTTATTAGATCAAAATGACAATATCAATATAAAAAAAACCGTAACTTGATGTTTTGGTTACAAAAAAGATTCAATCTTTAAATGAAACTAACAATAAGAAATAATAAAGGAAAGATCTAAGATTAGATTTGCAAGTTTGTTATCTTGATGGGATTGTCTTGATTTGATGAGAGAGAAAGCGAGAGACAGAGATTATGATGAAAAATCAAAGCTTGGTGGACCTTTAGGGAATGACTTAGTAGAGAAGAGAAGAGAAGAGGGGGGCTTTTTTTTCTTTCCTTTTTTTATGAGTAGACTAGGCTTTTGATTTCTATACCAAAGAAAAGATTGTCTTCACACTTTTGCAGGAATCTGAGCCGTTCATTTTGTTGATCAATACAATCTGGAAAAGTGGGTCAATAGTGGAACAGGCACTTCTTGTCCATGGCTGCTTCCATGAATGGTTAGGGTTTTCTACAAAGTTGTAGCGTTTGCAAGGATGGACATAGAATAATTGTTGATGATATTATTCAACCTAAACTAAAGCCCAAGAAAGGTATAGAATATGGCAATACTAAGTAGAAGTTTCTTTTGAAAGGTAGAAGATAATGGCCTGTTACTGTTAGGTAAGTCAATGGGCCAATCATGGGCTTCAGCATGGACCACCCACACCTCCACCAATTATGGAGAGGAGTAAATTATAACCTAGTCCCTTTAGTTTCAGAAAATAAATTATTTTATTTTAAAAATTATTATTTAGTTTTTTAATTAGTATTATTCGCATTTAATTTAATATTTTTTTATTTCAAAAAATATCTAATTTTCTCATCAATATTTTTACATTTTTTTATATTTTTTTATTTCTTAAAATAAAAAGAAAATAGAAAGAACTAAATTACAAGTAGATTTCAAAACGATAAAACTAAATAAATATTTTTTTAAATAAAAGAGAATAATTAATTCCTTTTTCAAAATAAAATGGACTAATTTATAAGTTTTTTCTTTTTATCTTTTAATTCTCTAAGAGAGATGATATCATCCAACTAGTTTATATATTACAAAATTTAAAATAAATATTTACATTAAGATATATATATATATATATATATACATTCTCATGATTCGGTGTTGGAGTTTAATCCTGGTTGGCAACATGAAGTATTTACCAACCTGATACTTTGCTTTATTTGATTTTTTTTCAAAAATAAATAAATAAGTAAATGTTCCGATGGAACGTTTTCTATTCCTAAAGGAGTTGGTAGAGGGACCAAGTGAATAAAAAAAGAAGATAGAGACCACATTAAGAAACTGTTAAGACTTAATGGACCAAACATAAAATTAAATCATAGGTACAAAATTAAAAACGTCGACAGCAGGGTTCGAACCTGCGCGGGCGAAGCCCAACAGATTTCAAGTCTGTCTCCTTAACCACTCGGACATATCGACTTGATCGATTTCATTTGGCCCATTTAATAAATATAAACTATATCAAGATGGGATTAAACTTTATCCTTCCTCGTATACTTGGATTAATGGATTGCTGCCACATATAAGGATGATGGATCCCTTTCTTTTATTTGTTGATCATATTTTCCGTCTTAGGGTTTCCTACTTTCCATAGTTCTTCTCCTCATCCTGTTCGAGAATGCGATCCGATAATAGAGATACTACTACTACAGCTGCAGGCTGTTTTGTTGACGAGGACATGCAGCTTTTCAAGGCTTTCGTAATATTCAAAGCCTTTGATCCCAAGTTCATCCAGGAACTGAGAAGATTAAGGTGCCAATATCCTCATCCAGAGGGTTGGGTTCACGATGCTGACAAGGAGGTCTTAGAACATTTGTTTGACACTTTTGTCTTTCAGTTTCCCTTCTATACTGATATTGTTTCTGCTCATCTTTAATCTGGTTGCGACAAAGATAGTGCAGCTAACATATTACTAGGGCTAGCACCCATTGCCAATCGCAACGGTTTCCAGGACATGTCATGTTTGGTTGAAAACTTTGGCTCTGAGATTTCCTGCAAGGACATTGCCCTTCTTTACTCTGGATTTTGCTGTGATAAGGACCAGGTTGTCGACATATTGCAAGAACTTGTGGAATCGAAAAATCCCAGTGGTTTTTTTCAAGGAGTTGGAAAATTTGATTTGTTGTTTTGAGGGAAATTTTGAAAGGGATTTGTCTGTCAAGGCTGAATGCGAGTTCAAGATTATTGATATTGCCTTAGCTTATGGTAAAGCTGATTTTGAACAGCGCAAGGCTGCTGGGATATTTGCATCAGCTCCACATTTTGATCTTGCTACGGACTTGGAGGATTTGGCCAAAGTTTTTCCCTCTAAATTTAGATTTGAGGACATTGTCTCTGCATGTTGCCAGGCTGAGTTTGATAAAAATTTGGCAAAAGCTCGTGAAGTTGACAAGGACTTTGAAAGATTTGCTTGAAGTTTTTCACCCTAGACTCTCCTGCAAGGATATTGCTAGCTTCTGCTTATGGCAAAACCTGTTTCGATGTGAGTAATTAAGGCCTTTACCACGATATTGCAGCTAGCCCTTCGAAAAGTTGATGTTAGCGAGGGCTTGGAAGATCTGGTCGAGGATGGTTTTTCCTCTGAATTGTCTTTGGCAGACACATTCAGAATGCTTATTGCCAAGGTTGTTGAGATGATGCTGACAGCAAGAAGAAGATTGATGACGCAGATAATTAGGAAAAGTAGGACTGAGAAATTTTATAATACTTCAAGAATAACTAAATTTTATTATGATAATTGCCAAGTAGGGTTTGAATTTTTTTCAATGTCTAAATTTTATTATCGTAATTATAATCACTGATTCTGTTAATTAGGGTTTCATTATGACCTATATGTAGTTTGTTTGGGATTGTATGTAAATTTTTAACAATATCTCTTTTCTTAGAAGTTTAGTTTTGTTAGCAAGCAAATTTGTGATTTGTGTTAAATGAGTCGAACATTTTCTGAACTTTTGTTTATTTGAAAATAAGTTTTTGAACTTCAAATTTTGAGTTTGACATCTTGTGAATTTTATTTATTTTAATTTAGGAATCTTATGATTTTTAGATATCAATTTTCCTTCTAAAAAAACCTCAATTTTTGATATTTAAACTGATTTTTGCATATATATTGAGAAAAATCCAATCTCTTGTTTATAAAAATCCTATAATTTTTAAGGTAAGAAAGTATATTATTTATTTTTTAGTATTAAAAATATAAAAAATTAAACAAAAATAAAAAATAATTTGAATGATCACAATTTTTTTTGAAGAGTCTCGAGATAAATCTCAGTGAATGATTTTCATCATATGGCTATTTGTATAATCTTTATTTCTGACCAAAAAAAAAATTAAAGAATGAACTAATTTTTTTTAAAAAAAAAAAACTCATCAGGAGAGGAGAGGTCGAATCCAAAATTAAAATTTAGAGGCTGATTTTAAATAGATTATTTTTTTTAAAAAAAATAACCCACTTAAGACCTAGGACAGCTATCCATATATGCTCTTTTATTTTTTTTTTACGAAAAAATGGCAACTATTTTCAAATAAACTACAATTTAAGGAAAAAAATCGAACAGACAGAAAAAGAAAACGTCGACAGCAGGGTTCGAACCTGCGCGGGCGAAGCCCAATAGATTTCAAGTCTATCTCCTTAACCACTCGGACATATCGACTGATTGTTGTTGTTGTGCAATTAATATGTTAATATAATAGTGACTATATACTGATTGGAACTCTGCAATGGAAGCAGTTCGACCACCAAAAAACTCGACCATTTTAATCGGGTTTGGCCATTGTTTACCTTTTCACATCTTCTTCCTTTCATTCCTTCCTGGAAATGCACTGGTCTTTTTGGAATCCATTCGAGAATCTTGAATGAAGAATTTGAAGAGGATCTCGGCAGAAACTGAGGCATCAGGCATTGTAATCATTCCACTAATCAATGCAGAAACAAACTGCAAAAGCTGTCTTAAATACATTACTTGAGAGTAACACTTCTTCTCTCAAAGTGATGGTCTGAAGTTCAAATCCCATTTTGACGTGTTTGGGTAGAAAATGATTCTTTACATGTACAGAACTAATCTGGGAAACATTAATCGTAGAGTTGAATCTTCTGTCTAGTACCCCTTGCGAAAGTGAAAGTGCCCCACTTCTCTGCAAGTTTGGATCCGATAACTATCAAGGAGTTTGTCCATAGGTCATTTATCAAACCTCTTCCCATGAACAGTACTCCTTCAAGAAACTAGGAAAACATCACAGCATCATTTCTTTCGTCTCACCAACTTTGATACGTTAAGAAACATGGGCCCTAAATTGCAAAATGTTAGGAAACCCTAGTCTTCTAGTTGATAGGAATGAAGAGCAAATTGATATTTTATTTACTTTGTAATTTTGATATTGTACCATTATTTTAGTTTTATTATTTAGGAATATTAATATTTATTATTCAATATAACATTTTAAGATTTAAATCTTGCAAATCGACAAAAAATTCGTTTGAAATCAACTCTTTTGCCACTAATTTATTTGTTGGAATCAGCTCGTTTATCACTAAATCAATAACTTGTTAATAATACGTATCTAAACGAAGTAGTATTGTTATTGATTGAAATAAAAAATTTGAATATTTTTCGAGATTGAGTGTCTCTGTTATGTTGATTCTCCAAAATCGAATGTATCTCTCTTAATTTGATCCCTTCAGTATCGAGTGTGTCTCTTTTGTTGATGAATTTTGATTTCTCTTCTAAATTAGCTTTCTTATCGTTGTCTGCCTTGTTCTTCAGTATTCATCTGCCCACCAAAAAAGGTACCAGCCCAAAAAAAAAAACTGTGTCTCATCAAAGCTACAGGCACCAAAATAATTAAATCCTCGGAATAAAGACAAGTTGCAGATAAAAGTGCAAGTCGGCAACATAAAGTAAGAGTTCAAAGCATCAAGCAAGCACCCCAAATCCAAAGCGCCCAATAAATCCAATTCTAGCAGTCAAGTCACCATAATCTTCCATCCATTCTTTCATTGATTATTAATATAGGCACAACAAGAACGATGATTGGCTATCCATCCATTCTTTCATGGATTATTAGTATAGACACAACAAGCACGAAGATGAGAAGAAGTTCTACTTGCTTAAACTAATGGTTTCGAACTTGCCTTAAACCAAAAAAGGTTCTAATTACTTAAACTAGCTAGTTGGTTCGAATTCGACTTATTATGTATGTAAAAAATTCTTCAAATAGTTGTTTTTGATGGAACGAGAAATTAATCTATGTCTTTGAATCTGAAATACCTTACCTTAAAGGATATATAACCATCGTTGCCTAACCGACAGAACAGCAAAAAATACCAGTCACCACCATGAGATGCATATGCGTAGAAGCAAATAAAACCTAGGAACTCAAGAAATATGACATCCAACAGAAGTGTATCTCATAGTCATCAAAGCCTTCATGAGCAGGAGCTAAGTAACTACAAACATTAGCTCAAAAGACATAGGAGGATCCTCTTAAGAATTAAAAAATGGGAATTCTCAAAATCAAATCACTGCATGCATAAATTGTTGCCATTTGAAAATAGCAGCACCGAGCCGAAAAACTATGTGCAAAAGCTTTCTCTGGGAAACTGATAAGAACGTTCCTTATCAATAGCTCTTCCATCCTTCAAAAACGCCTACAAATATAGTTTAAAGCAGTCGTAGCACATCAAGAAAGCCAATTCTTGTTAGGTATCACCACTTTTCAATGTATAAAATAGACATGTATACACTCCATCTCTGTACATTTAGTTCACTGCCTTTTTCTTCTCTAGAAAAATTGGGGTAATCTAATTCAAATCACTAATCTGTCTGCTAAGCAAGGATTCCAATAATTCAGCAAACCAGGGGAACCAAAAAAACAATCCTAAAATCAAGTTGCACAGACAAAAAGGGATGCAAGCAAGTAAAAGAAAATCAACCAAATATCAAAGCACAAAAACAAACCAGCCATCATCCGGTTAATAGTCCTAAACTAACATAAATTCTAAAGAAAAAAAAGCATCAAACAAACATAAAAACCTCAACTTCACACAACCCAGATTTATTCATAAATCCCCAAATTGTAAACATTATACAGGTACAGCCTTCACTATCCAAACCCAACGAAAGCATCAAAAGTAACAATCTTTGACAAAAGTCATATAATCCCATTATTGCAAAACACAAATAGACCACACTAAACACATAAAGCTCCAAACTTTTTAAGACACAACACGACCAACAACAGGGTACTTAGCCTCAAACTTCTTTTCCCAATCATCAAGCACACCAATCTCTTTCTCGGTAAGTCCGTGTAATGAAGAAGAGATATCTTCATCATTTTTGCTCATTTTAGCTAAAGCCCTGCTTGAATCTTTGCCTGCAAACATTGCATAAGAGCCACCTGGTCCATAAAAGCTTTTGCCTGTTGTCACATCAAAGACTCTTCCTTTGACTGCTACGTAGATGGGTTTTGAAGGGTCTGTGCCATTGTATTGAAGAAGTTGATCCGCTGTGAAATCCATTGATGGGTTTTGGTTAGTGAGAGAGAGAGAGAGAGAAACAAGGGAGGTAAGTGAGTGAGTTGTGGTCGATCTGTTATCTGGGTTAGTTTTTAACCACAGTTTTTTTTTTTTTTTTGGATGTATAACACAGATTTGTTAGAACATATTTCACAAGTTATGTAGCTGAATTAGAATCCATCTAAAACACTTTAAATCTTATAATAAATAATGATCAACTTTATATATTATTTATTATTAATTTAATTATTTAATATAGTATACGTTCTAACAAGACTCACTGACAGGCATTGAGTTGCCAAAGTAGTCTCCTCCTTAACTATTGTCCTCCTCTCCTTTTTTTTCCCTTGTTTTTTCAAACCATCCGAACGCTCGAATATATAAAATATATATTCTTAGATACTAATCTTTCTTGTTCTACGAGATAAGAAGTGGATGCGTAACACATTTAATATGCAAAAAGATTATTCTGCATAAAAAAGAAAAAGAAAAAAGAAAAAACATGTTATTCATCCACTTCTTAACTAACGTACTTATGTCTTGTTCTTAAAGTAAGTAGGCCCTATTAGATTTCACTCTGGATAATTATAGATTTATTTCCTATATTACCTACCATCTTGTTAGCATTAACAAAAACACAAAAAAACAAAACCATTATATTTACTATTTACTTTATTATTCATAATATTACTCATGAAATTCTTGTAATTTTTAAGACTTTTTAGTGCATTTAATATACAAGTTACCGCAGCCTTACACTTTGGTCCTTTATTGTTTATATATTTTTATTTTAATTCTAAACTTTATTTCACTAGCTTGGTTTTTTCAATAATTTATGCTTAAAAAAATTATTGATTTTTTTTTTGGTGCAAAAATTATACAAAATCATTCATTATTTTTTAATTTTTCCACAAAAAAAAAAAATAACAAGAAAAAAAATGATGTGTTTATATTTTTAAAGGATAAATAATTTATATTATATTAGTCTTATTGTTTAAAATTAATTACTTCAATGTGTCATTTTTTATAAAATTTTCATCTAATTAAATTTTAATTATTTTTATAAAATTCTATTTGCTGATAAATATGATTTATTTTTCTTTATGTATGAATTTTAGAGTTAAATTTTAAAACATAATTATCTTCTTTCTTTAAAAAAAGAAGAAGATAGTTTATATGATAAATTCTTATGATTTTTAAATAAGATTAGCATGATTGTGTATGTGTATAATCTAAAAGTAACAGGTGTATTTTAGATGATTTGCTTTGGAATTTCAGGGAAAAAATCCTTAATAATTAATTAATTAATAATTAAAAGTAAAAAAAGAAAAAAGAATTCCTCGAATATTGCAAGATATGTACACAAGGAGTAACCATGTATGGCCTAGGAACAGAAAAAAAAAAAAAAAAGATTTTTTAAAAAAATATAGAATTCACTTGTTTTTATCTATGCTATATAATAATGAAAAGACAAATTTTGGACAAATGACATGTAGTTTGTTACTCCTTATGATTTCTCTTACATTAAAAATGATAATTAAAAAATAAATTTGCAACAATAAAAATTCAACCAAACTATATAATCATTCTAGAAATTAAAACAATATTGCTAAATACCAAACAAACAATCAAGTCCATATATATATATATATCAAAGCAAAAAAAAAAAAAAAAAAAAACACTTTTATTAATAAATATCAAGAAAATATTTGTTTGCAATGTTAATAAATGACAGTTTTAGTATATTAGTTATAAAATAATTTTAAACTTAAAACGTGAGATTTACACTAAATTATTTTGTCCATCCATATAAAACATAAATTAAATTAAATAATATGATAAAATAATATCTTTAACATATGCAACAAAAACAACACAAAATCTAAACAAATACATATAACTATAAATCAAATTCCGCAGCAACTATGACTATAAACCGAATTCAACGAACAGATCAAACACTAGTTGGATTCTAATCCAAAATGAAACCACAAAATGTTATTGTGAAAGTTATTTAAAAAAGGATCGAGTCTCTTTATCTGAAAACTAATGCAAGCAAAACTACCTGACCACAAATCAAAAACAACATAATTTTATCACAATTTTATTGTTTTAATCTGAGATGGGATAAGCTAAAGTTTGATTTTAGCATATTCATAACCAGAATTTTATGTTGAAGAAACTCCTGCTGTGCAATTCCATGGCTTCTTTGAGAGATGAGATTGTGAGCTAAACAACATGCCATCCAAATACAGTGATACAGAAACCCAAAAGGTCAAAATCTGCTTTTCAATTTCCTATGCAAAATATTTCTCTTCTTTTTTGGAAGACATAAGAATTCTTTCAACACATATATGATATGACATCATGATGGATAACTTAGAATGTCATGCATTTTCCAGGATGAATTTCTCCAAAGCACTGCTTAAAACCTTATACTTGATAGAATTATAAACTTGAGCCCTAGAAGAAAAGGACTATTAGTCTTTTACCTCAAATTCAATAATGATCTAGAATGTATTTCATAGGGAATTGTGCATTACAATAAACCCAATTCTGTTAATGTCTACACGGTTTAAGAACTTTAAAACAGCCTAAATGGTACGTTGTCCATGGTGACCACACCCACGAATAACAAGCCACAAGCCAAAATTAGATTCGAATCTGCTCCCGCTCTGGGAAGTTCTTTGTTCCCCAGAGTCTTACCAACAGATAGTGAATGATCCAAAAGAAGCACCTTAGAGCAGAGGAATACCACCAACTGAATATTCGACCTCCTGAAAATTAAACAAGTAAACTAGGATTAGTAAGGTTCCTAATCCTGGAAAAGAAAACTTCAACAACATTTGTCCTCCCAAATTCATGATATAAATAGTGTTTAACTAAATTGCCAGAGTCTTTGCTGACTGAATGCGCAATCATTTAAACGCAATTATACCATCTCTTCACCATGTGAGAATTTTCGGATAAAATACAAACCCCCAGTTTGCAGATCGAAAGGGCAAAGCATAACAATAGTCAAGAGATCCTCACATAGAATCACAGGTCATCGGCCCTTAGGCTACTGAATGGAGGATATACTGGCAGTGGGAGTGTCTGGTATTGCTAGACAAAGCATAAGCTTGGTTGGAACTCTTTGGACCCATCGATGGAGCTCGAGTGGAAGCCATCTAGTCTTATTTCTCCTTGGTTTTTTTAATTTAGTCTAACAGGCTTCATAATTGGTGCTATCTTGTATTTCTTTTTTTCTTGTAGAACCTAAAAATAACTGCTAATTCAGGTCAACAACTGAAGCCATACTAGGTAACACATTTTGCCCTTGTCCTTGTAAAAATAAGGGATTCTTCTACATAAATCAGTGCAACGGAGCCATAAATTCCAAGGGGCAGTGTAATACAAAGCTCTCAGTTTTACATGTAGCAAAACCTTTTACTCCAACCAAAAGTAATTTACCATGCAATGCAAAAACATGCAAACAAATTGCAACACATGATAGGAGGTTAACGTGCAAATTCTGTCAATTCTTTTCCCTTTTGTTTTAATACTTAATTGCAAGTTGAAATCATTGGAAAGAAGAAATGCACCTTAGCAGGGGGTAGGGATGAAACCCAGTCTGATGCGTGTGTTGGAAGAAGCCCCAATGAGTTAAGCTGCCAAAATACAAGAAATTGAACATAAAACAAATCATTGGATATACTCTCATCAAATTTTCTCTTCTCTTTTTCTTTCTTGAAGCGCAATTCATGCAAGAGAGGAGAGGAAAATGCATCTTACCTTCCAAATACCCAATGCTAAACCACCCAAATTCAGGGCAATAAAGACTAACTTAGGTACAAGAAGATCCACTTTACTGTCTTTGTAAGGCTCAAAAACTGCAAGCAAAACAAAAGGAATTGAATATCAAATAAATGAGCTTCATGACACAAAGATGCAAATGCCAACTATCACGGGGAACATATGTAATCCTTAACCACTCCAAAAGCACGGTAGATGCAGATACTAATTATGATAAGAAAAATTAGTGAATAAAACAAGGGCGTTATAGAAAGAACCAAAAGGAAAAGGCTACAGATTAGAAAATAAAAAGAACAAAGATACTTAAGAACCAAAAATCTGGAGGTTAAGAGCAGGAAAACTATTGCGTATGCAAGAAGCATCTAGTTCACTTGCCCGCCAAGAAATCCGATACCCATGTACAAATCAAGCAGTTGATGAACATTGATAGATCCGTTCTGCTCTTACAAGAGAAAATAGGTAGCAAATACAATACTCTGATCCAGAAGTTGGTGCAAGTAGTCACAATCCCTCTCAAATATACTCATTACAGTAGCGAGATAGATAGCAAATAATAAGATATTAGAGGAAGGACAGGTTATTGGTTTGAATTTTGAAAAAAGCATCTTGTATTGAGAGAAGTTCCCAGAAAGAGAGAGCGAGGGAGAGGTAAAAGAGAATGCCTGCTTAATATTGATATTGTATACTTATAAAGTAGAAGTACCATGAACCATCCAGGCATGAAAAACTTTATGGCAGACAATGAGAGTTGTCCCCCCTGTCCCCACTAAAAAATATTCTTCCCCCCCAACACTCTTTCTCTTCCTAGATAGTGATTCTAAAAAAAGGTAACCAAGGTTTAGAACAAACAAAAGCACTTAAAACAGACCAGTAACAAATAGAAGTCAGGCCAGCTTACCCTTCCCAACTCCTTGAAGAGCTCCTATGGGTTGCCAAAGAGCCGAAAATGTAATCCCAATGCTAAATAGATGCACTGTATTTCCAGCCATCCACATCATGAAGCCCATCATTAGTAAATTCTTGAAGGGGGCTTGTGCCACTTCCCAAGCTTTCTGTTCAGAATATAAAGATTACGATGTTGTTAACAATATATGATCGACAAACAGCACAGAGCTAAGAGAACTCTAACAGCATGCAGGAAAAATAGCATGCCTCCTTTCGTCCATGTCAATTTCCTTTGAGCAGACAGAATCAAAATATATTTATGTTTTTACTTGTTTCAAAATTCAAAACAGTGTCTTTTAGGAATACATTAACCACTTTAAAAAATCCACACCATACAACTTACTGTGCCTTTGCTCGATCCTTTTATGACCATACACTAATACATTAACCACTACCTCTTCCATTAATAAAAATAAATAAAAAAGATTGCTTTAACCCTTTTCTCAGACAGCCATAAACTTCAACCATCATAAAATCATAAGACATCCTTCCAAGTCATTGTTATCATCAACACAACTGTTGATACAGTCAAAATCACCAACCCACAAAAGAACTTTCAACTCCCTTTTTTTTTTTTTTTTTTTTTTTTTACCCACAACCCATAAATAGAATATTAACTTTTATAGTCAATCCATACATGTTTCAAAGCTACTACATATCGCATTAACTAACGAATGACAAAAATTCCACCTTTCCAAGGCATATTAATCAATTCCAATAAGCCAAATAAATCACTAACAAAAACCCACAATTTTTCTTCAATCAACAACAAATCCCCAAAAAGGAAAAAAAAAAAAAAAAACCTGAGCTTTCCAATTAGCTTCAGCATCCTTTTTTTGCTTGGAAACGGCCGAATCATCCTGTAAAACACATAGCCACCAAAAACCCAGAAAATTTAACGACTAATTAGATCAAATCAAACGCGAGAGAGAGGTATTAGGAGGACCGGACCTGATCTTGAGAGGCCCGAGAGAAGCCAGGAGGATCAGGGATATCACGAGAAGAAGGAATTGTTGAATTGTCAGTGAAATCAACGGCCCATCTTCTCCCTGACCCCATCACTGCTTTCCCCTTGTCCATTGGATTGGTTTTGCAAATTCAGTCAGATTTGACTGATTTTTGTGTGATCTTGATAATTTGTAGATCACAAGAAGAGGAAGAAGACGAGAAGTGGATGTATAACGGAAGTCTCTTAAAATGATAAAAACCGGTTCGATTTTACGTAATATGTTTGAGTTTTTTGGTAAACTATATTTTTACCCTTATACTTTTATCAATGTTACACTTTTGTGCCCAAATTTTAAAAATATTCAATAATACTCCTATAAGTTTGAAAAAAGTTTCTATTTTGTTTCACTGGTTTTTTATTTGATTCGATGGTAATGAGTATTATGGATCCGTTATGTTCTAATCGGAGTAAATTATAAATTAATCTTTCTAATTTTATAGAATGAATTAAATAGTCTCTCAATCCATTTCATGTTCATATTCAATTTATTTTATTTAAAAAAAAGGAAAATAAGTAAATAAATAAGGAACGATTGATGAAAAAAATATTTTTTAAAACAAAATAATATTAAATTAAGTATGATCAATACTAATAAAAAAATTGATTAATTAGTTTTTGAAATTAAAAAAACTATTTAATTGATTTTACAAAAATTAAATGGACTAATTTATAATTTACTTGCATTCACCGAAATTAAACTCCATTTTCAAACATTTTTAAGAACGTACCTCTATATCGGCTTGATTCATTCTCGATAAGATATTATCTTAAATATTAATCTTAAAAATCAAATTTTAAAAAAATTAAAAGATAAAACAAATTCCTTTAATCACCATATCAATTTTTTAAAATTATTTTTCTTTACTCGGTAACTAGTTATGTTCATAATTTTATTTTTCTTATCTCTTCTTTTTCCTTCTTAATCTTCATTTTATATATATTATAATGTCTCACAAGAACACTTTAAAAAAAAAAAAAAAAAAAAAAAAAAAAAAAAAACCTACAAAATCATTTAATGATTAGGAGTAACATTGTAATTGAATGGACCCTAGAAAGGATGATATTGGGGACTTCAAAACTATAGGGGTAGAAATAGAACATTGATCAATCTATATGAGCAAAAATAAAGTTTACCCCTTTTTGGTACCTTTTCATCAACAGCCGAAACCTAATCTTTTGCCTAAACTAAACTTGTCAAGGCATCTTCAGTATCTGGTGTGGTTTTTTCTAACCAAATGAGGAAAAAACAATACAAAAAAACATCAATCATCCTTTAGTTCCTCTTTTGCACTTTTGCTTTTGTGGTTAGTTTTTTCCTTAAAAGCTATTGTAAAACTGTTATTTGCCATATCAACAATCTGGAATCTAATCACGTTTAACACCATATTATTCTATGTTGATTGGTAGCTTGGTATAATTTGATTATTTTCTCACCAAATGCCACTATTTTTGTTCCAATTTCCAAAATGTCACAATCTCAAGCAATTGACTTGATGATTAAAGAGATAAGTTACTTTTATTGATTTCGAAGAAATTTACAATATTTTGTATTTTTCATTCAACTAAAACTAAATTCATCATTTTTTGAATTAAATTAAGGTATTTAAGGTCAAATCACGCTTAGTTTTCTATTGATCATTAGATTGTTTTTTAACCCAAATCACCTCAAACCCAATACTATTAAGAGATAAATATCATTAATTATTTGTGAATAATAAGATTTGAACCTTATTGTAAAACCCAAATCAGCTCAAACCTTCTGATACTATTAAAAGATAAATATCATTAGTTATTCGTAAATAGTAAGATTTAAACCTCGATACTTTTAGCTACAAAGTACATAAAAGCACAAGGTTGATTACTGAAGTTTGTGTTAGAAACAAAGCATAAAAATATATGTCTTGGCAACTTATTCTAGTTTCCAGTGCTAAAAGATTACTGTACCGGTGAATAAATTTGACAAATTAGCATAGCAGATGTTATAGAACAAGAAGCAGCTACTTGTTTTGTTCATAGTACAACAGGAGGGGAGAGCTTGTTTCTTCCCAGATTATGTGTATCTTCCCTCTGTTCACAAGCTTCTGCTATAATAACTCCTGCTTTACCGAAAATTTATCCGAAACGTTGGCTATAATAAAACCTGCAAAAACCTGTATCCAAGAGAGCTAATTGGTAAGATTGTGTACTCGTATCATCACCTCGATGGTGTTTTCGAGTTTGAAACTGACTGAGGTGAGGATCCAATCAAGGTTTCAAAATCAAAGTAGAACTTTTTCCTGTCCTACAATATAGATAAGGGGGACCAAAAAGAGCTCTTGGAATAGATGAAAAGAAGTGTACCTGAATGCCTCCAAATATGTAGATTGCAGAGTAGCGACGGCCGTGTATAACCATGTCAGCTAGCATTGCAAGGGGTATCGACAAGGACATGCCTAGCGTTGCAACCAATGGTGTCGTCCAAACCACCGAGAGAGCCCTGCAGCAATATAACCTAGGCATTTAGAAGCTGTGCTAGATGTTTTCTGCTGTTTTTATAGGAATGGAAACAAACAAAGATAAAGCAGTGAAAGTAGACAATTTTGAGCGGTTGCAGATGGAGAAACAAAATATTCGGATGTTCTAGCTTCCAACCGAACATGAAATATTCAGACATTGTTATACATACCAGAAGTAGTCAGACAGAACACTTCCCACAAAGCCATTTAACAACACAACTTCGCTAACAGACCATGAACGTGGAAAGCCGAATGCTGGTTCAATCCCTGCAGCATTTAGTGGCCACGCTGCGTGGAACAACATTGCTATGTAATCAGTAATTAACTCTTATCCCTCGTCGTCGTTCAAGTTATTTTCTTTTTTATCTTCAAGGATTTAGAACAGGTAAGTACCAATGATACAAAAATTATTAAACTGCTTACATAGCCACCAAAGGCCAAGAAGAGCGAAGAGACCGATGTATCCAAAGCACTTTTGCACATCAACCTTGTCCCCGTCCGATCCAGCGCATTTCTTGAGCAGTACTGCATTTGACACCAGCAGTTGACAATCAAACTAGAAATATCGGAATCAATCTAGAGAAAGTTAAGATCAGTGCATGCAGTTTTCAAGTTTGCTCATCACCCAATTTTACCAGTAAACAAGCCGTATGATATTGCTGAGAAAAGACCGAAAATGTCCCCTATGATGGAGTGCCTTCTTGTCCTTGGAAACATAAACGAGACGAACAAAATATAGTTTCAGAAAACTGGAAAAGTAAGAGACAATCATAGGGTGAAGCTAAGAGTGCGATACATGGATTATATGTTAACGAATACGATTATTGAAAGCAAAAGATCTTTGATTCGACACGCAAGCCTTCTGACGGGAAAATCAGAATGGTTTATAAGACCAAAGACCGATGCTTTATCAGTTTAACACATTTTCCTGAGAATGTATACAGGACACGGCCATTACTCCAAACAGTTCAGACAGATTCCTCTCTAGAGTGCATCTGCACTTTGCTATAGCCCTTAATGCAAACTAGATCATTTAAGGCAGCTCAGATCCATGGTTGAAAACAACATGATATATTGCATAAAATACGAATTCTTTATAGCATAAAGGGGATTCAATATATCAATAAGAAATGCTCGAAAGAAGGAGAGAGGAAAAGTATGAAGCCTTGCTTAAACCTTTCCACTGCTAAGCAGGTGGCATTCAACTTACTCAGAAAAGCTCAATGTCTCATCTGATGCCCAAGTTTTTCCTACTGTGGTCATAGCAACACCAGCCATGGTGATGAAAACTGCCACCACCTTAGCAAAATTTATAGTCTCTTGGCCAAGAAGAGCTCCAAAGCAAAGGGTGAAGAGCCCCGAAGTAGAAGTCAAGACGGTTGTACTTGCAACACTCGTATTTGCAAGTGCTGAATTAGATAAATACTGCATTGATAAAGCAGCTAAATTAGTTAGACAAACTAGTTAAGAGGGGGCCTTTATTATTAAAGTTTCATGAAAAACCATTGGAAACCAAAACAAGCTCCCCTGGGAAAAGAAGACTTATGGGATAGATGACAGTAATACAAATCACTTTACCTCTGTAATAAACCATAACGGAGCAAGATATAAACAACATTTGGAAATTTCCCATGAACTAAGTTCAGAATTCTGATGAAGCAAGCCAAGTTCATCTTCTTCATCCTTCAAGTTCAAAGGCCACCCCTCTCCCCTTTCACCGAGATCCTTGTCGGTTAATAGGCAACCTCTTAGGTCCCTTTCCAGGTCAGTGATATGTGGCATGTCGAGTCCAAAAGATGAGCCAATGACGGGGTTGCCACTGTAAAGGCTCTTAGACAGACCAGGACGGAACAAACTACAGAACCAGTCCTTTACGAGTGCTATAGGTAGATAGACCACCATAAGAGATACCCCCAGATACGTGATTGCAAATGGCTGTCTATACATTTCAAAGATTCGCTGCAGAAAACGAGGAGTGTGAATTCAAGTTTTTTATATGAAGTTGAGGCTGTGAGGGCGGTGATCTTCCTCAATATCATGGCAATCAGAAACCAGTACAACATCTATGGATTCCGCAATAAGATTACGAAAAGCATTCAACACAAAGGGAAACATTTAAGTCTTCCATGGTAAACTGCAGAAAGTACGATGATTCAAGAAACCTTTTTGTATGTTCGCAATAACGAAATTGGAAAAAGACAGATGTCCTAAACTTTCCACTCTTTGGCACCCAAATATCAGTCAACAACTGAGTTCTATAACTTCCTGGTGAGGTGAGTTTATTATCACTTTAAGGACCAAAACAACTTTAAGCAAAGCAGCTAACCTTTTTGTATTTCTCAGAATTCTCATTAACCATGAAAGTGTGAGGAAGCAAAGGGAAATTTACAAATTTCTAATGTCATTAATATAATTGATTAGTTCAATATTAGAGAAAAGAAAGTAACATATAAAAGTTCATGATCTTTCAATTTCCAAAACTGAACTCTTTCCTCTGTATTCTCAAATCAAATACACGAAATACTAAGGAACCAGTTAACAACAGCTACTCCCTGTGGTAATGTTCTAAGCTAGAATCATATCAATCATACACTAGAGAATAACCAAGAATCTGAAACTTCAAGCTGTACAGTCTTCTTCCATTTCATTAATAAGGAAAAACAATTTCAGCTGTCCTTTCTTTTCCTGCCTTTTCTTGGCAACCAAAAAGAAAACAAAATGTAAGAAACATAGAGAATATAGGAAATAAAGTCTTACCTGAGTGACTTCTGCAGAAGTGACCCATATTATCACAACAGTGCCAATCAATCCTAACCCAGCTTTGTATTTCCAGCCCATTATCCAAAACCCACCAACAAAACTCCACCAAATCCAAGATAATGAAAAACAAATCCAAAACTTGAACTTGGTTATTATAAATTTGCTATAAAGTTTTCATCTTTTCACAGAGCCATGAGTGAGGACTCTTCTTCCGGTTCTTTTTGGATTGAACTCGGCTATGACAATGACCTAAATCATGCATAAAGCTCCAAAGTTTGACCTTTGCTTGCCGTTTCTTTCAAGCAAAAAAGGAAAAGTAATTAAAAATTCATGCATTGAAGTTTTCAGTTTCTTAGCGTTGGCTACTTGTCAAGGACTCGTGACAAATGTTGATTTTCCAACATAAACTCATGCAGTTCTTGAGATGACCTGGCACCACACCAGGTTATCTAGGAGAGAAAATCTAAAGGGATCCATCAGATGCTGTCAGGTACCTTTGGAGTTCCAGTTGAGGTGGCAGTGTCGTTTCCGCCAAGTGCTGCCTTGTGGATTCTTGTGTTCATACTCACAGTCAGTTTTCTTTTCCTTCTACTTCGGGTACATACGAATAAATTATAAATTAGTCCCTCTTGTTTAGAGAAACGACTTCGTTAGTTTATTTTTTAAAAAAATTAATTGTTTAATCTCTCACGATTTAATTCCATTAATAACTTATCTTGTCATTAGTTTCTGACAAATTAATGATTTTTATTCCTAAATTGTGATTCTTTTGATTTTTACTTGAAGGGAGAGAAAAAGAGTAAATGAAACATCAGAAAAAGACAATTTGAGAAAAAAAAATCATTAATCTAACTAAACTTATGTAAAAACTAAATTATCGATAAAATTAAAACATGAAAAACTAAATAATTAATTTTTAAAACAAGAGAGACTAATTAATTCATTTCTTGAAATGAAGGGACTATTTTATAATTTACTCCTACATGTATCAGTTACTGTGCATCCTTAAATGTTCTTGGAAGCCTTTTACATAAAAAAAAAAAAAAAAAACCAATTTGAAGCCTTTCCAAACGTAAAAGCATTTGAAAGAACACTTCCGGCCACATTGCTAAGTACTCAAAAACAATTACCAATGCCTTTACATACCCTAAATGATTCAAATCTCACCAATATCCACCCTAAAATACCAACATATTCATTCCAAATCAGTTTCTTGAATAATATCAACCACCCCAAACGATCGGAATGATCAGCATCCCTCCCGAATCATCGGTATCCTGTAGGAATTGACCTATTTTGGGATGATCAACCCTCATCTTACCAAAATGAATGGGAAATAGTACATAGAAGAACTGGGATTGAGGGGGAGGGGGGATGGAAAGAGGGGGTCTAAGAAGCTATTTTATTCTTTCTGTGTGAAATCAATACAGAGTAATCGAATAATATGAGTTAGAAAAGGTAACCTATTTTTCTTTTCTTAACAGGCCTCGGGTTAACCAACTATACACCACACTGGACTTATCAAAATTGATAGATGGTGAAAATGTCAAGTTGCACAGGAATACTGGGGTACAAAATTTCTGTGTCTGACCAGCTCATGGAGATCATGGACAATCTTGAATACAGCATCCGGCCTGGCCAGCTTTAGTGCATTTTGTGACATGGCACTGAGTTCATCTGCCTTTGGACCAAACCATTCAGCAACAATTTTTGCAATCTCTTGTGGTGATTTTGAAAATTTCCCGCATCCATTCTCTACCACATAAGGCACGTTGCCTACTTCCTGTATAATTAAAGATCAGGTGTGAGTAAAAGCATGCCTAGTAGGGGACCTGCAAAACGCTGCTTCAACAAGAATGTATTCACGATACCCGTTATCTCATTCTATCCATGTTATGGAAACATATTATGCAGAGTCCTTGCAAATACAGGAGAAAGGGCCATTTTAAATGAAAATTCAACCTCGTCTGACACCAATCACTCTAATGCGTATGGTAAAATACAGGAGGTTGGCTTATGTGATTTCTTAGAGATCTTAGCATGATTGAGGAGGTAAATAAAAATGAAGGCCCTATGGGATGATGCTTAAGACTTTACATTGGCCTAATTCCATACCAAGCATCATATTCCTAACCTCGGGTCCTTTCCAGAATAAACTTCAATATACTTGATTTCCTCAATGCACAATTTCCTGAATTCAGGAAGGATTGGACCTTGCACTACTACTGGTTATTAAGATAAAACATTTTTTAAAGAGCTCAACATCAGAGGTCTTGCCAGAGTACAAGCTCCTAGCATTGTTTGATATAGCTATTTTAGGGCCTTTCAGCATTGCATGTTTGCCAATGACGGATTTCCAGATGCTAGAGTAGCACCAGGAAACCAATCAAAACTCAAGCATGATTACAACACATAATATGCCAAATTCTAGAATAAAGTTAGTCCACTTACTTGTCCAGCAATGAAATCATTCAAAATTATGGGAAGACCTCGAATCATTGCTTCTGCAATAGTCCCTGGTCCAGCCTACAGAAGCAACATTATTACAAGGCTGCTGATAATGAAGCGGAAAAAAATTAACATCACAGCCATGGAAAACTAACCTTTGTTATAATGCAGTCACAAGCACCCATGCATTCCTCCATTTTAGTAACGAAACCCTTCACCTATATAACAGAGCATCTTATTCAGTACTATGCATGCTTTCGTGGCTGGCTAAGAATGCACAGATATGCTTAATGCCTTAAGAAAGTGACAGGGACCTAAAAGCCTAGACTATAGTCATCCTCAATGACTCCGGCAGCAAGTTGATGGACTATATCAATGACAAGGCAGCTCTGGATTATTTAAAGGGTATGCAAATCATTGTCAGGAGTAAAATAAGACAATTGGCCAGCAAGCATTGCCTAACTGTATGACACAGATAGTATACAGAGTTCAACCAGCAAAATCATGACAGGATATGATTGGGACATAAGAATCATAGGCTGATACCTGGACTGGAACCTTCCAATTAATTGAAAGCAATCTGTTGGCAAGCTTTTTGTTGCGACCACATATCACGAGGACCTGACCTATTGGCTCTCCAAGATTCTCGTCATATAATGAATCCCCCAGCGCTCGAGCAGTAGCCTCAATGGGGCCCATCCCTTCTCCTCCTCCCATCAATAACACAGCTGGAAGATCCTCATCCATTCCTAGTTCTCTTCTTAAGTCACCCTAATCGATCCAAATGAGGAGTTAAATAATTGACTTCATTATTCATGTCTAGGGTCAATTTTATCAAGTAGCATTAGTCTTTCCTAGGAACCTGATTGCTTTGATTTCTTAATTCAAGTTTGCATAGACAAAAATATCACCCAAATTTAATAGTCAATACTATTCTCCATCCATAGAATAATACTGTTAAAATGCTGGTGCAATTTTAATGAATTGGGGCTGCTAAAATGATAACCAACCTTTGGTCTAACAGGCTTAACAAAGGATGGCCGTACAGGAAGGCCATAGACCTTAATTTGTGAGGGCTTGAGCCCAGCTTTCACTGCTCTCTTCGCTACATCTGTTGACGGGCAATAACATCTTGTCACAAGCTTATGGAACCTAAACATACAGATATAAGATATCAAATTCCACTAATAGGTGTGTCGCTAATACAAAATTATAGCATACACAGAACCAACCATGTAGGATGACAAGTGCTTAGATCGGTGACTACAGTGGTAAAAACTATCTTCTGCAAAAGACCCTTTGCCCTCAATATACGAAGAGGAACATGTTGCATCAAGGGATGTACACTGATAATAATGTCGGGCTGGTATTTCATCAATCCTTTTGCAACCTCTCTGCAACAAAACAGAAATTAAGGATCAGATAAGAACAGAATGGCATACAATCATAAAAAACTATACTGAACAATCATTATAAGTTCAATGTCTGTGAAAATGATGAGGAATTAGGACAAGAAATACAAACAAAATTGGTTATTAAATTTGCCCTTTGGGAATCATAACTGATGGTGAATATTTTCCATCAAGAATATATGATAAAAACAAAAGTTGATGTTCGCCTCCTAAAGATAATTGACGGATATATATCCAAAGAATATAGAAAGTCTCACCGAGCTATAAATGTTGAAGTTGCAGCAAAATTAGATTGATGAATCACACGTGGGGCAGTTCCATAATATGTCATTTTCCACAATGCCTTGTGTTTCACCAAGAAATTATAGCTTCTGGGCAATTGATTAAACGGCCAAGGCGTATGTTCTGACCATAAATCAGTAATAAACACCTGCGACATGCACTCTTAACACACAGAACATGATCAACAAAAACGAATTCAAACACAAACTAACCATTTTCCCCCTACTACACTCAATTGCTCACAACAAAAATAAATAAATAAGAAGAAGAAGAAGAAAAACTGGATTCTAAATCCTTTCCTTTTCATTAATTTCATTCTCATTAACCAACATAACAAACTGAATTAACCCAAACAGCTGCACACAAAACTTATTAGAACACGAATTATCGTTTTCTCAGTTCCAAATTATATTAAAAAAAAAAAAAAAAAAAAAAAAAAACTTCCATTGTCTTCCATTACCATATTGCCAAAGCACCCAAATATTCACAAACCAATTAAAGCAAATTTATATAGCATAAAAAGAAAAAAGAAAAAAAAAACTGACCTGATAATCATCACCAAATTCTTCATTAAAGGCAGCCTTAATAGCCTCAGCAGAAGCTCTATGACCACCACCAGTATCACTCATCAAAATGAGAACCCTTTTAGGACTCTCACCTTCTACACCATTCAAAGGCACACCATCATCCACCAAAACACCACATCCATCATTTCTTAATCCACTATTACCATTACCATTATTACTACTAATATTATTATTACCATTATTATCTCCTGAACCAATCTGAACTGACGCAAACCCAATTGGAATTCTTTCACAATGAAACCTAATAGACCTATTAAACTCACTCCAAACTCTTTTAAAACCACTTCTACTACTCAAACTCAATGAAGCGTTAACCTTTCTCGTTTTTAGACCAACTGGGCTATCAAAAAACAGAAAATTTGACTTCGACAAAGAGAACCCATTTGAGTTTAAGCTTTGAGCTGCTTTATTATAAGCAAAGCCACCCAACTGAGCTACAAAATCAAAGGCAGGACCTGATTCTTGGGCGGTGGTTACTGTTGAAGGGTTATGCATTGTGAGAAAGAGAAAATTGCAGACTTTAAGTGATTACAGGATTGTTAAGGAGCCCATGATGGTTTTCAGCACGTAAAAACAAATGGGTTATTTATAGATAGCAAGAAAGATGAGTGCTTTAAGAGAAAATATTAGAGAGAGAGATGATTGTTAAGTGTTTGATGTCGTGGCTGAGAGAGAAGGGGAGGAAATATAGGGGATTGTGTTGTGGCCACAGATAGATATTATAGAGAGGGTAGGGGAGAAGATTCTGAGAATGTTTTTTAACTCAAATAAAAGGATGCCCTTTGGAAAGAACGGAGACAAGTTGAGAAAGCGAGAGAGGAGAAGATTGGATTAGGCTTCGGGTTGGATTTTGGTTTGACATGAGCTTAGCAGCTTCCTGTTCATGAATCTGATTTATAAATTCTTTCATGAATTAATGTATTTTTGGCCAAATAGGAAACATTCATGTGCCCGCTAATTAAATGGTATGTTCCCTTTCTTACTTTACGTGTTTTGGTTTCAAAATAAAATAAATTTTAACCAAATACTATTTTTTGACCAAAAATAGTTAAAAACACAGTAATACCAAATAGACAAATAAATTGATTTTAAAATATTTTTTTACTGTGGAGTAAAAATAGTTAAAAGCACAATAAATGAACAGCTTAATCGAAGTTGAGGCAGGTAAGTGGATTTATAAGGTGGATAACTAATATGATAGTTGAACTCCAAGTCATGAGGTTTAGGATGAAATTAGTTTGGTCATTTAGGATATAAACAAGTGCCAGTGGAAAGAGACTCTTTATAAGAAGGCAAATTAATTGTGAATATTGGAAATTATTCTCATCCTTTTTTTTTTTTTTTATAATGCGAGTGTTCGAGCTAGCCTACACGCACTTCGACTAATTCCGCGAGCATTGAAGTCAACGACGATGTAAGTCTCAAGTGGTCACCAAAAGTAACAATCGAGACTCGAATCCGAAACCGCATGAATTATTCTCATCTTTATCATGCTCTTGTTGTGGATATCAAAACTCTTATTTATTATTTTTGGATGTATAGTATGCACCATGTTTCAAGAAAAATAAAATAAATATATTGATTTGTTTGCTAAATTAGATGTTAATTCTCAAATTTCTTCTCATACTTGGTCTTCTTCTCCTTAGAACTTAAATTCCATTCTCCTAGTCTATGTATTGTTATTAGATTTTAGTCCTTTTTATTATTTTTCCTATATACGTGTAAAAAATAAAATAAAATAAAAAGATATATATATATATATATATATACACACACACACGTGTGTGTATGTATGTATATATATTTCTTACTTATGCACAAATTAATCAACTAAATAACAAAAAAAAAACAAAATCATTGCCATTCAAAAATACAAATTTAGCAATTTATATGTCATCAAGAAGCATACTTTAAGACAATATATATATATATATATATATATATATATATATATATAATGTTGACATCCACAAAAACAAATAATCATTAAATCATGAAATTTAATTTATTTTTTAGGATTCATTTGTTTAATAGATATTGATACTTAGACTCTCCCGAAGTTAGTATTTTAGGACTCGACAAAAAGAGTTGTGTTCACATTTTTGTGTTGTTTCTCTTATAAACCGATAAACGTACGAGAAGGAGAACTTCCTCGTTGTGGCCGTTGTTCAAACATGCAATAAACCATGTGATATTTATGCAAAAAATTATTATATTCTACGAAGGAAAGTTGAGAAGAACTTTCTCACGTTAAAGCCCATGTGATATTTTATTTATGAATGATTTGTAGCAGTAGGCGTAGGCATAGACTGATTTTGTGAGTGGCCCGGTGGGAAGAACACCGTCCAATGGGTCAAATGCTTTCGGCTTTTGGGTTCTCCATTCATAGTACACTTTTGTGTTTTTTTTACTCTTAGTGGGAGATCCAATACGATGATCTTACAAACATTTTTCACGTTGAGCATTAGTGATGCTAGATGTGCTAGTCGTAGTTGCAAATCGAAGACACATGATACGTTTGGATTGTTCTTGCATTGACATTAAAAAAAGGTGGATGTCATGTTTTCGTGCATGAATAATGTTAAATGCAATCGTTATTGCACAATCACTTTCTAAATTGACCATCAAATCGTATCTAGTTTTGAATTGATTGTAGAAGTTGGACAATCTGAATTCGTCAATAGCTCATGTTTAGTGTCAAAATAAATAAATAAATAAATGAAAGGGTTCTTAAAGAATAAAAATCGAATATCTAATTTGATGAGTTAAAAGAATTCTTCTTATCACTTAATGTACAATGTTTTTGTAATAAAATCTATCATATATATTAGTTAAATATAATGTGAATGATCAATTAACATATGATAATTATATAGTCGATTATAAAATCTAGACTATCCGAATTCATCAATAGTTCACGTGTAACACCACAAAAAGAAAAAAAGATAAAAGAGTTTTTAAGAATAAAAATCAAATATCTAATTTGATGAATTGAAAGAATTCTTCTTACCACTTCATGTATGACTTTTGATAATAGAATCTATCATATATATTAGTTAAATATAATCGTGAATGATTAATTAATAGATGACAAATATATAGTCGATTCTAGAAATTAAATTATCCGAATTCATCAACGACTCATGCTTGATTGCCACACAAAAAAAAAAAAAAAAGATGATGAAAGAGTTTTGTAAGAATGAAAATCGAATTTTTAATTTGATGAGTTGAAAGAATTCTTCTTACCTTTGAGTACAATTTTTGATAATAAAACCTATTTTATTTGTTAGCTAAATATAATATGAATGATCAATTAACAGATGACAATAATATAATCAATGCTAGAACTTAGACTATCTGAATTCATCAATAGCTAATTTTTAGTGTCAAAAAAAATAAAGGATGGAAGAGTTTTTTAAAAATCGAAAATCGAATCTCTAACTCGACAAGTGGAAAGAATTTTTCCTATTACTTCACGTAGGAGTTTTTATAATGAAATGTATCACATATATATTAGATAAATATAATCTGAACGATCAATTAATAAATGACAATTATATTTAACATGATCCATCTAAATATGTTAATCAATTCCTTTACGATATTGATTAACGAATTTAGAAACCTACTTATTCAATGGATTGAAATCTTGGAAGAACCAGATGGAGGTATAGGTGTGAATGAGAATAGCATGGTTCGTGAGCATCTCGGCCCACTAGGCCCATTTCTTCAAGATACTTATACCCTTTATATCCTTTCATCAGCATCCAATAGGCCCACAACTAGAAATTCTGCAACTCCAGATCCTATATCTGGACCAAAGCCCATGAATCTTTTGGGTCCCGTCGTATATAAGATCCGAAGACGACTTAGTAGCCCATAGATTTGTAACAAAAAAAAAAAAAAAAAGGGGTCTCCTAGGAACCGAAGATTAAATCCTGAGATCATTGGGCATTAAATAAGCTATCCTTATCCAAAATATTTTTGGAAAATAATTTGATTTCGAGCCTTTTTTTTAATTCAAATTATAAATGATACCACCAAAAATATATTTATTACCAACCTATTAAAATGTGTGATTTTTATTTTTTTACATATATTTTTAGATAATAAGATATTATCAAGCTAATTTTCGCATCAACTGAAATATTATAATAAAATATCACTTATTTAACTTTTACATCAAGTGAAACATTATAATAAGATATTTTTTAATCAACTTTTGCATTAATCGAGTGCCTCGCAAAAAAAAAAAAAAGAGATTTTTATTCTAAATGATAACACCAAAAATATATTTATTACCAACCTATTAAAATGTGAGATTTTTTTTTTAGATAATAAGATATTATTAATTTAATTTTCGCATCAATTGAACCGTTGTAATAAAATATCAATGATTTAATTTATATATAAAGTGAAACATTATAATAAGATATTTTTTAATCAATTTTTATATCAATCAAGGGCCGTACAAAAAAAAAAGGAAAAAGAAAGAGTTTTTAAAGAATATGAATGAATCCTTAATCTAACGAATCAAAATCAAAGGCACTTTTCTTTCTACTTTATGAATTTTCTTCGTCTTCTTTATTTGGTTAAGCAAAAAGAAGTAAACCATAACAAAGAAAATTTCAATTCCGGGTGTGATTATTAATCTAACAAATGCAAGGTAAATCACTTGCTTTTGAGCTTGCCAATGGCGGTAGAACATGTCTTACAGACAGAGAAGACAAACATACCTTCGTAACCCCAATTAGGCATGAACATCTAAAATCACTTTTTAGTTTTTTATTTTTGGGTCCATAATTGAATAAATGAGGTGGTCCAATTCTTACATGATGGCATTTAGAATTTTCTGATCTTTGGCACCAGTAAAGTGGAAGCCAGAAAATTCCAAATCCAATCCATCTTTAACAAAATTTCAAAGGTTTATAATACAAGTCAGTCTTTTCCTATCAATGTCGATTTCAAAGAATATATGCAACCCTTAGCCCTTGATGTTGGATCATAATCATAGCTCTTTTCTCCCTCGTGAGGCAGTTTTTGAGAACTGCTTGACCTCATGCATGAAACTTGAGGAGAAAGCCCTAGCTTGCCCATATAAAAATGATTTTGGGAGACAAACCATTGTCTTAAAAGATATATATCCCTTATCCAGCAAAAAAAAAAAATTGCTAATAGTAGGGTTCAATAGGAAAATCTATAAATCATACATCAATATAGAAAGATAATATTTTGTTTTTATGTGCAGGAGAATAAAATTTTATTGGCTAGAAATAAAAGTAAAGAATAGTGGGAATTTAATTCATTTTTTTATGCTACATCTAACCTTTTTTGAATTTTAATTCATTTGAAATTGAGTAAGTGACCTTTATATTTAGTTTTTAGAAATTTCTGAATTTTTAATTTTTTGAGATTTAACCTATCTAATGATCTTTTGATATCATTCTCTCCTCTAAAAAAATCAGTTCTTGGTATTTTGAGGTGAAGTTTTGCATGCACGTTCAGAAAAATCCAATCCATTTTTTAGAAAAATCCTAGAGTTTTGCAAAATAAAAAAGTATATTTGCTTATTATTTGAATATTTAAAATATATAAAAAAATAAAAAATAACTCGAAATGATTTCAATTTTTTTTAAGGAGCTCCATATAATTCTCACTAAATAATTTTCATCATAGAACTATTTATGTGATTATTATGTTTTCGAAAAGTATGATAAAAAATTGAAGGATGAGCTAAATCTCAAAAATTCAAAATTCCTAAAAACCAAATTAAAAATTGAAAAAATTAATTTCAAAAGAGTTAAAGTTTAGAAAAAAATTCGATCAATTTAGCTAGTTTTTCTTAACCAATGTAATACCATAAATCTGTTTTTTTTTTTCCTCATAACATTTATGTATTCCATTAGTTGGATTTTACGACTCGACGTTCTAAATTGTAAAAGCAGAACTAACGTGGAATCTTTCTGATCATGAAGCAACGATCCAAGTTCAAAAGGCAGCAAAATAAGTTTGAAAATGTGGAACTAGATTTGACAAAGTGATCTTTATCCATCTACATATGCCATTCATGCAACTTCCTTAAATGTTTTTAGTTGCTAAGCTATTGTACTTACACGTCAGATTGAAAAAAAAAAAAAAACCTAATAGAAAAACTCAATTTTAAATGAAAAAAGTTAAAATAAACCCAATTAAAAATTAAAAATTAAAAAATCAAATCTCAAATAATTTAAAATTCGGAAAAAACGTGAACCGTTTAACCTAAATAACAACACATTTAACTTTCGTTCTTCCAGCTTCTTCAAGATTGATCAAACACAACAAAACTAGTTGAGCAAATCCTTGACGAAACTGTACAGATCTTGGCTTAGGAGTTAGGACATGGCAAATCCATGACAGCAAACAATCATGTCCCTACACAACACGCATAAATCTCCTAATCTTCTCATCAAAATATATAGGAGACCCACAACACCAAATTGTGGGCTGTAAGTTAATTATTTTTTATTTTCTTTTCTTGAAGTCGTGAGCATTAATCTTGTTTGGTAGTAAATCATTAATTTTCAATTTCTAATAATATTTACAGGAAGGTAGCTAGATAAGTCCAGTCCATGGATATACAAATGTCTCCATCAAGCAATTCCATAAATTTTCTTGCTTTGAATTGTGAACTATGAGACCATAAGCAGCCATATATATACATATCATGTCCCCATTGATCATTACTTATGTGAAAGAGACCTAATTTGTAAGGAAAAAGGATCATGAAGGCATTGACCATTGAGCCAAATTAATTGCTTTTATAAGAATTTTTTTCCTTTTTAAGTAGCTAGGGTTTCAAATCTCAATTAATTAAGAAGTTGAAGACAATTTCACACGTAGAGAAATCTTAAAAAAATTGTTTAGGAGGTCTGTACGAAGAGTCCATATTTGAGTCTGTATTTGGATCTATATGCGTGATCGAGGATTAGATGCAAAAATATATATTATTTTAATTTAAAAGTTTATTTATTTTTATATATAAATATTTTAAATTTTTTATTTCTAATCGATTTAGAACAAACATGAGCTGTTGAATCCTACACTGAAATTATGATCCAATAAGTATATGTGTAGTTTTGAAATTTTTCTTAACGTTTAGCATTAATTATTCTATAAAATATTAATTGTGGAATTTTCTTAACCAATTAATTAAAAGGTGGGGAATTAATGGAAAATGTGAAAGCTAACCATGCATGCTGATGCATAACAAAAATATTCATACAAGTGAGAGTTAAAGAAACAAAGAAGTGTTCTATTAGAAGAAGTAAACCATCGTGTTAGACAAGACCATAACTTGGGTTATCGTCAATGTGGTCGTGTGAAATTCAACTGGACATTGTTAAACGGCGTTGTCTTTGAAAACTGCAATAGAGATAGAGAGAGAGAGAGAGAGAGGGAGATTCTCAAGACGAAGACTTTGGTAGTTTCATGCTAGCTCTTTTTGAGCTGGAAAGTAGTGGAAGAAAAACATTTTGTTCATACTAATTTTTTGGTGCCGTGGGGTTGTAGTAGTTGACAAGTAACTACTAGCGTCATGGAAAACTAGCTAGACTCCATTTTGCTTGAAGAAAAGAGAAGAAGAAGAAGAAGAAGAAAATTGTATGTTTGGACAAAAGTATTATTAGTGTCATCATGCTTTGAACAAACAACATGGTGATGATTGATTATCAAGATGATTGACTTGCATAGAATTTTTATCGATGGAGTATGATTAGTGAGTTAAATAATTTGATCATAGGCATAGATGATTGTTCATCATTATGTATATAATTCATGTGAAAGGCTTTCATTTTCAATTTTTTTTTTTTTTTTGGTTTTGGGTTAAATCATCATTTGAAGTTCCAATCAAATAATTAGTAAACGAGTTTGTTTCTCGCATTACGTACCATTTATAGTTTGAATTATAAAAGAGATTCTAACAAAAAATTAATTCGAATTATAATTATTTTAATTGAGAATATTTAAATGAGACAATTAGATTTAATATTGGTATACCAAAGTTACATGAAAATAACTTAAAAAAAAAAAGCAAAAAGCAAAACAAAAACACTTAAGTGTCGTTTGGTTATTAAGAATAAAAGTTCCAAATAAGAAAGAAGAATTGGAATGAAAATTAAGAAATCGAAATGACATTTGTATTCCTAAACTCGTGTTTAAAATACTGATGAGAAATAAAAATAAAATTTAAATTTTTTAATATCTTTTTTTTAATACGAATAAAAATAATTTTATCAAAATATAATGGTTGTAAAAATAATAGAGGTGGTGATGCTTGTGGTGATGAAAATAGTTAATACATAATAAATAAATAAAATATATTATTATTTTGAAAAAAAATTCTCCTGTCATTTTCATTCATTTATTCTCCCAAACAAACAAAGGATGAATAAATAAAAAAATTAAATCTTTCCCATCTAATTATTCTCCATCCATATCCCTTCTTTCATTCCAAAATCCTTCCTTCCATTGAAAAATTGTAGTTTTTTAATATAGTCTAGCCATACCAACTTTCTATGATCAAGCTCCCAATTCTTAATTTCAAACTATTAATATAATAATCAAGAAAGTTTATTCTCTCCTTTGATTTTTTTTTTTCAAATTCTCTTAAATGCATTAGACTAATATGAAGATGGGTATTTAAGATTGTTAACGTAGGAAATTTAGTTTCGATTCAAGAAGTTGAGTATATCTTTTCCTTTAACATTAAAAAAAGAAAAAAAAACCCCATAATTATCATCTTCTCAATTAGACGAAATGTCTGTAAATAATGATCAACCTTCTTGGCATGACCCACAAGTCAAACCTTGGTTTACGTTAGAAAACTCAATTAAGACGGTATCTTGCTGGGCCTAAACTCCAAATACCCTCTCCATCGACATCAACGGCAAATAATTTGTAATGGGGACTACCAAAGACAACTTCCTTTGTGACTCAACCCGACCTCACCTGACCTGGAACTAAATTATATTCAATGCTAATGCATTTACATTGCATTTTATTTAAAAAAGTTGATTTGACAGAAAAAAAATTCTAATAGTTTAAATAAGTAATTTTAATTTCAAATCTTTATGTGTGTAGAAAACTTTTTGAATAGATATACCTGTTTTGCGTGTTCGATCAAATAACGAAAAATTAATCTGGATCTTTAGACTTCAAATATCCTAAAAAAGTAATCTCAGTTTTGAATTTTTGTATATGTAAATTTTTTTTAGATAATTATACCTATTTTATGCATTTAATTGGACGAGTAAAATATTAATATATGTCTTTGGATATTTTAAATTTGAGCGGAATGTGCTCTAATTGATTAAATAAGTAGTCTCGATTTCAAATTCTTATGTATATAGAAAATGTTTTAGGTAGTTTTGCTTGTCTTACGAGCCGAATTGAACAATGAGATATTAATCTGAGTTTTTGAAACTAAAATATTCCGAGAATATATATATGTGTGTGTGTGTTAAATTGCATGCGTTTAGATTGAAAACTATTTTTTGTTGTTTTTATATGATTTTAATTTTTGATATAGAAAATATCAAAAAATATTTTAAAAAACATCAATTTGATATTTTTCTTTTTTTAAAACCTCCTTCACTGCTTTATCAATCACACGCTAACAAGGAGAAGCAAAAGGGACATGGTCTGTGTACCTAACACTCAACACCCATTTTTATCTCAACAATAAATCACAGCCGTTAGTATTTACGATCCAATGGTTGATTTTTATCGAGGACATGGTCTTTGAAAAACGACCACATCGTCGGAACAAAAGAGTACTGTTTCCTAATTTCCAATAGAAAACTACAGGTTTTGACGGGGTCTCATAAAGATCATATAGCATTGTTAAGACGATGACGTATAGACAGATTTTGTTTCTGTTCACTGTTGTGTTGCTCGTAGAAAGTTGTTGAAATTTGTTTTATTTATTTATTTTTTGAATTGACTAATTAGTCCGGTGAATTTGCATGGCTGGATGACTCCATGGGGCAAGACTAATGTTTTGTTTTGAATTTCAATGGTGGCATTTCAGACCGTTTCTCTGTGTTAAATTCCGAAATTATTTTTTTTACGAACTCCTTTTCGACCCTTGAATTTGTAATAACATGACAAGTAGATACAATTATCATGGATGCAAACTTTATGGACAATTTTTATTCAAGTGAGAAGACATTTTAGACAAGATTAGCAACGTTACTTGATTTCAAATATAAATATTCAAGCCTTTTTTTAAAAATAAAAATAAAAATTGTGACTAGTTCTTTATGGTTTGTGTTCTATTGTTTCATTTGAGGATGTGTTAATGTTGTTAGAGACTAATAAAAGTTATATTCTAGGACCTCATCTATTAACTTAAGCTTTTAGGTGAGATGTTAATATGGTATCGAGCTTAGTTGACCTTGAGGTCCCGAGTTCAAGTCTCATCATCCTTAATTTTTCAAGTATTAAGCACAAGACAATGTAGACTCGTGCAAGTTTCGTGTCTCAAATATTGGGCCTTTCAATTGAAGGGGTGTGTTAGAGACTAATAAAAGTTATATTCTAGGGCCTCACCTATCAACTTAAACTTTTTGGTGATATGATCCTTTAATAGACGTGGAGGTATTTTGATTTTTGTTTTTATTTTGTTTTGTTTCAAAAATTTTTCAAAGATTTATGATATCGAGAAAATGAATATTCAAATCCAAATGAATCCGTGATAATACGAGTTGTTTATTTATTAACTTATGATGCATGGCAGACTATTTTTTCTAAATTTATGAAATATAAAGAAAATCACACCTTTTTTTAAAAAAAATAATACTAAAACGAAATCTTTCCAAATGAAACATCCAACAACATAACATGAAGGTGTCATGATAATACGAGTTGTTTATTTATTAACTTATGGTAGGTGGCAACAATATATTCTTATTAAATTTATGAGATATCAAAAAACTCATATTCAAAATTTAAATAATAATAAAATTAAATCTTCCGAAGAAAGCTCGGACAACACAACAAAAAGGTGCAATGATTTATAAGAGAGAAATTTTTTCCTTTAATTTTTATAACCATTCTTATCCTTGATTCATATATTAATAATTTTTGTAATGTTCAATGACTAATTTATTAAATTTTGAAGTTCTTGCATCAAAATAATTATTGCACATGACCTATGTGAACCAGTAAAACAAGTTAGAAACGTTACAAGACTGTCAAGACAGTCTACAAACCAAAGAATTATGAAAATAAATAATCAATCATTATCACTTTGATTCAAGCTTAATTGGAAATTAAGTAGGTCCATTAATTAACACTATTCATCCCACTGAAATTCCACAGGCATCATCATCGTCATCTCTGAGAATGCAAAACCATTTGCAAGATGGGGAAAACAAGACATGGGAAAAGAAAAGCAAAAGGGGAAAAAAAAAAAAAAAAAACCCTAAAATATGGCAAATTTTTCTCTATGCTTGATGATATTTAACCTGAAATTCCAAGCTTTAACGTTCTTTAAAACCCAGAACAAAAACTTTCGTGCAAGATACCGATACGTTTAGTACTTCCTTAAACGAATCTTTCAACACCTAATCTTGAATACTCTGACTCGGGGAACTCAATGGAAACAGAGTCAGTAGCTCAGGTGGCTCGCTTCCTCTTGGTGTGTTCAAAGGCGAAGGGTGCAAGTAAAAACCCTTTTCAGCTATAGCCTTCTCCTCCCCTGAAACTGCTGGTGAAGACGGCGACTCGGTTCCCGGACTCGGAAAAAACAAAAACTCTGGGCAAAGTGGAGTCACTGGTGAGTCGATTCGGCCAGTTTTGCGGGTTGATGATGATGAGTTACTGGGAGAGGTCAAGCCAAGTTTGATCTCAAGCTTTCTTAAGGTACGCCTACGTTCTTGAAGCTTAAAAGGTGACCGGCGTGGGCCGGTAAAGTCAACGGCGTTATGCGAAGGTTTTGACGAGGAAAGCGTTCTCGTCGCCGGTAGTTTTTGCGAGTCACTGGCGAAACCGGTTAATTTTTGGACAAGATCTCTAAAGCTGTTAGTGTCTGCCTGAACAAAGGTTGTGGGCGATTTTGGAGAAGAAGAAGAAGAAGAAGTAGTAGTTATGGTGTTCACGATGTGATTTTTCCCTTCCATTTTCACAGACAAAGGAGAATTCGAAGGATTGCTTTGATTGCCAGAACCAGAAAGGGAGAGGAAGGGCTAAAGGATGGTAAATGGGATGGAGGTGATTCTCATGGCAGTTGATTTGTTTTTATGGGGAGAGGTCTCACTAGGAGTCAAATACAAGTTTTTGGTTTGTAGTCAAAGCTTGAGAGAGAAGAGAAAGGGATGAGAGTTTCTGAGAGAGAAAGGTTAATGGGTTTTGTTATGTTAATTGCTGATTAAGGAGTCAAATGTCTGTATTTAAAGGGAAGAATTGTGGAAATTGGTTTTCTTACTTTCAATTTTGTTTCGGTTTAAGCCTAGATTTTGTGAAGTTAAATGGAGCAACTTTTCTACTTTAAGGATTATTGGATTTTCGATTGCAAGGTATATAATATAATCGATTCCCTTTTCTCTCTTTTTTTTTTTTTTTAAATGGTACGAGCAAAAAAAAAAAAAAAAAAATCAGATTTGGGTTGGTGATTGAGTGGCTTGAGACATTTATTATTATTATTATTATTATTTAAGTTTTGGGATTTTATAAGGATGATCTTGAGTTAGTTTTTATGCATCAAAACTAATTTTAAATCTCTCGTCTAATCAAAGACTGACAATTGACGTTAGGATAAGTCGTAAGAATCTTACTTTTTACGAATTAGTGTGAAAGTTAAGTGTGAAAGTTAAGTTATACTCTCTTTGTTTCAACAATATCGTTTGTATTCCTATTTATATATGTCTCAAAAGTCATACTCTCTCTGTCTTAAAAATATCATTTGCCTTCCTATTCACATATATTTTAAGATATTTGTCAAAACTTTAAGGATGTATTTTTCTCATAATTAAAGTTCATTTCGTAAAAAACTATCCAAATATAATTCTAAAAAATATAAATAAAAGATGTTAATATAAAATAATAATTAATAATTTTTTTAATCTATATGAAAATCAAAATGGATCATTTTTGTTAAGACGAAGGTACTAATAGTTTAGAAAGGAATATATCTTCTCAACCATCAATCAAACTATTTAAATCAATAAACTTAACGATATAATTCTAAAAAAATATAAATAAAGGATGTTAATATAGCATAATAATTAATAATTTTTTTAATATGTGTGAAAATCAAAATGGATAATTTTTGTTGGGACGGAGGTAGTGATGGTTTAGAAAGAAATAAACCTTCTTAACCATCAATCAAACTATTCAAATTGGTAAACTTAACGATTTAAAAATAGATCGATACAATGTAAACTATAATATTTTTATTTTTTGTAGGAAATGCTGAGTTAAGTTATTAGTCTTATCATAGATAAAGGCTATTTTACATTTAAATTTTGTTTCTATATAAGCCTAGACTTTGTGAAGGTGAACAGAGTAATTTTTTTAGTTTGAGGATCATTGGATTTTGGATTACAAGGTATATAATGATACAATTGATTCTCTTTTTAAATATTTTCGTTTTTTATGCTGTGAGAAAAAATGAAATCATATTTGGTTTGGTATTTGGACCGACAAACAGACCTTAAAAAAATATCCAGATTTGGTATCCATTTTCTGAACTGGGCTTTTGCAAACCCGTACACAAATTCGAAGCCCAAGTTTCAACTCAACGATATCACCAGCCGCCATCACCTAATACAGTCCAAGTTCCTCGAAAAATCCGAATTTTTCTCGCGGCCCGAACAAGAAGTGGGCCCAAAATTGCCCACTGGTGATCGTTATTTTAACGCACAGAGAAAAAAAAGGACAGAAATTCCGGTTGGTTTCCGCCACCAGGAAAAATAAATAAATAAATAAGAATCCCAAGACGTAATTTTTCATTTCTCACCCTCTGTAGGGAATCGAATGATGAATTCCTTGAGTTCTTGTAATAGGCCAATGATTGCAGCAGCTAAATCCATGGATAATAGCATGAGCTGCTTAAGAAGAGGCGGTGGTGGAGGAGCAGTTGTAGTTGTACCTCATGGTACAAGTAGTAGTAGCTCAAGAAGGGTTTGTGGTGTTGTTAGAGCTTCAATGGTGGATTCTTATGAGAGTTCATCTGATTTTGTTAAGAGAATGGAACAAGCTTGGTTAATCTCTCAGGTAAGTTAAAAATTTTCGTTTTTTTTTTTAATTATAGAATGAGATTTTTCAGTTTTGGGAATATATCTATTTTGCATGAAATATGGTGATAGAGATTAAGTTTAGCCGAATTGGTTTCTTGGGTTGGTGAAAATTGAGTGAGAAATGAAAAAAGTTGAGAACTTTGTGTCTTTGAATTAGATTCTTTTAAATTGGGTGTAATGATTGAATTTAGGGATTAGAAAATTGAGGTATTGTTAGGGTTTTATGATCTAGAATAGTCCCATTTGTTTATAATTCTGTGAAGTTAGTACTTGTGATAGAGTAAACAATGATTATGTTTCTAACCAGATGACTAGAATTTAATGATGTCTAACTGTTTTTGGAATCCCAGAAAAGAGTTAAGGATGTAGATTAAAGATGAATGAAATATATGATGAAATCATTTCTGTTTCTGATAAGTTTTACTTATCAAATGTTCACGTTGTTTACAGCAACCGAGGCCAGTTGCGTGTGCTTCATGCGACTCAAATGGGCGTGTTGAATGCCAATGGTGTAGGGGTACAGGATTCTTCATTCTTGGCGATAACATGCTCTGCCAAGTTCCTTCCAGAAATACGACTTGTGTTATTTGTGCTGGAAAGGTATCTTAAAATTTTGGCAAATTTATGGATGCTCAAGTATAGTTACGACTTAATTCTTAATGCTAAAGTAGAACTACTACAAGTTGTCTGTGCCTTTTGTAACTTTGATTTTTTCAGGGGTCAATCAGCTGCTCTGATTGTAAAGGAACTGGCTTTCGTGCCAAGTGGATGGGGAAGCCTCCGATCTCCAAGTAGCAGCAATGTGATGCAGCTGTCAGGAGGTTAAAACCACTGATAGGTGCGAGAAATATCAAAGTGACTTCTCATTCATGTTCTGATTTCTTCTCCATTTCCGTTTTGAAATTGCTACAAATGACTGCATTAACTTAGTACAACTCATACCTGCATTTTGTAATGTGTATTCAACAAATCAGGCCATGTAGTGGATTAAGTTATAAGAAAGTAAATATCTAATTTTTTTCGATTTGAGATATCATCATTGATTCACATGTTGTATGGGTCAACCATCAGGTGGTGCCAAAAATGTTACGATATCTTAGTTTAGACATGTCTGATTCATTGAAAATGCTTTGAATTTGCTTTTGCTTTGGGGACAGTATGCACTATCAGGCATTGCAGCTGATCTCTTCTATAATGTTGTTGCTTAGTAAGCATAGTCCTTGTTCTTCCTCTTAAGAGCGATGGCAAGCATCGAACACAATGTCTATTTACTCCATTCCAACAGTATGCCATTGGTTACAGTTTTCTGAAGGCATGGGTTGAATTATGCACCCCTATAATGAACCTGACAATCACTATCTAGTCAGGGGATTGATCCTGAAGTTAAATGGAGCATGCCAACTTGAGCAAATAAAGATCCAAGTCTATAGGTAGCTCAGGCATTCTCTTTTCAACCCAAAATCCAGATTCTTCGATTAAACATGAATTCAAGCCTCGAAAGAGATGTGGAAATAAGTTGAAGGTTACGATTATAATAGCAAGCTCAGTCTGACCAACTTATGCATTTAGATTTTATAAAGAAAATCCAATAGGAATGCCATCAGTTCAGAGAACATGTAGATGCCATCTTGATTATCTAACATTGAAACCTCATATGCCTAAATCAAGTAGAAAGGAGAATAAACTTGAGATTTGAGTTGCGATATGTTGATACAACCATGCTGTTTTTACAAAAAGAGTGTTGGGATACAAACAAGCTGTTTTTACAAACACAAAATGAAGTGCATCTTGACGCCAACAAGCTTTTTTTTTTTTTTCAACCAAAAACAAGCTATTCAATTGTTTTGAACTATGGCTGAGAAAAGCAACTTGTTGACATCCTCAGCGTCCGAATCATGCGTCTCATCCCCTGCATCAATAAGAAAAAGTTAATCTTTTCTTCAACTTGCATATTTGTCGTCTTTGGTGGCGGCTCGAGTTGAGAAACCTTCAATGTCACATCATCAGCCCTCATTGCATTAAATTTAACAGTATCATGGACATAATAATGGCCCTAGCTTCCTAAACTGAAGGCAGTCTTATGTAAAATTTTAACAGTATTACATTTACATATGGCAGCAAACAGAAATCTGCCCCTAGATTCCAAAACTGCCAGTACTATGTTATCAGAGAAGCTAAAGGACAGCCCAACTCATAGAACCATGTTTTGCAGGTAGAATGGCCCAATAAAGGTTTACGACTGTTAAATTTCTCACTTTCACCTTCATCAATGATGAAAGGGGCATTTTCTCTAGCCAATCATTATGCCATTACCAGTAAATGTTTTAGCAAAAACCAGTTTCTTCTGTAGATTCTTACCTGTTCTTGCTCTGACGTGAGTCGTCCACTCATCAATAATCTGAAAGAAGATAGATCAAAGACGTAACAAGATTGTTTCCCAGATGCAGTAGGCACATATATGGTTAGCAATAAAGGGAAAAATTGAACAAAAAAGTGTATTGAGGTTCAAATATGTAGGCTTTACTGACAGAACAAGAGCTACCCAAGAAACATCTCTACCTTGGGCACGCACTTGTTCAGAGCCTCACGATTAGTTCAATTTTGGTTGCTTACTGGCAAATGGTGCAATCACTTCACACACCACTTGGAAAACATGCAACCTTCCAATCAGATCATATTAATAACGATCATATGTTTGATTGAAAAATGCATATTATTTTCAACAATGCTCCACTTGGTGGATATTTTGACGAGAACCTTTCTCATGCTTCTTTGTCAAGCATAAATATTACAGTTCTATTCACAGGAAAGAACCCTATCAGTTCAAGGACATTGATTTCGATGCTCCACTTGGTTGCAATAATGGTGTGTAAGATCAAGAAAAGAAAGCAATCATTCCATCAGTGAATACATGGAACACATACATCATATCATGGTATCAAATGTAAGTGAGAACATTCATCCTTCTAATTTGGAGAATGCATAAACTGTTCTGGCAAATGAGACCACTGGAAATTCATCAAATCCCGATTTTTCACCCAAAAAGATATGTAAGAAAAGAAGAGGTTGTGATATAACTTCAATGCTTCTACAGGGTCGACTTTAAACAGTGAAATTCTATTCTTCAAATCCGTGAATCATAAGGAGCTAATCGATTTATGAAATTACCAGAACAACAACATTTCGATGAACAAATATCCTCAAACACACAAGTTTCCAATTTGTTTCATAAGTCATCGATGCACGCTCTGCTTCTTCACATCTAATCCAACTTGTTAGCTACCACGCGCAAAAATACACCAATCCTTAAAATAGCAGAATCAAATCAAGCAGAATAGAACAAAAGAAAAGATTACCTCATTGAAGTTCACAAACGCAGGATCCTCAGCATCACCAGTAACATCGAACCCCATCGACACTTCCATCCTCTGTATCAAATTCCTATTCCCAACAAGAACCGTCCGCGCTTTATCAATCAAATCCTGCAAACACACAACATAAAAACTCAAAACTCCAAAAACCCATTTCAAATCCTTCATTTGGGTCTCAAATTCAAAGCAAAATTACGAGACCGAAAAAGAAAACCATTAATTTCTACCTGTTTGGCTGCAAGAAGCTCTTGGCACTGATCCTTCAAGACTGTCAAATCTCCTTGTAATTTCTTTATTCTATTAACTAACTTCACTGGATTTGCCTGCTTTTAATTAAAAATAAAAAATAAAAAAAAGATAGATACTTGACAGATAAAGAAGCTAAACAAAAAAAATTACATTGTCAGGGTAGATTTGTTGAAATTCTCTCTCGAGCTTGAATTGGACTAGTGTAAGATCGTTGTTTGCTTTTGTGAAGAGGTTAACTAAACTGTCTGTTGCTTGGTGGTGTTGGTGGTTTTGACGGTGGTGCTGGTGCCCCATTTCTTGGTTTCTGATTTTAGGGTTTTGTGGAGGAGAAGATGAAATTTGTATTTGTTGTTGCCCGCCCGCTACTGAATTTGAATTTGGGATTTTGAGATTTTTGGAGTTGAAACTTTGAAGTAGATTAAAGATTCTGCCTCATTATTGCCCCCATAAGTTGATAAAAGTACGAGAGGTAAATTATAAATTAGCCCTTTTGTTCTTTCAAATGGAATTAAACTAGTTTTTTTTATCTGTCCTACATTACGGATTAGATAAAAAATATAAGATCGTATAAAAAAATTATTTAAATTTGATAATCGATTTTATAATATGACTCTATAAAAATATATGAAATCAAAAATAAAAAAAATATATGTATAATTTTTTAATCAAAAATTTTGTATTTAACTATTTTTTATTTGTATTTTTCATAATTTTTACTTTAGAAAAAGGATTTATCCTTGTCAATTCATGGATTATTAATTAAAAAAAATTAAATAAATTTTTTTAATAAAGCTTTAGTATTTTATAAGATTGTGTCAAAAAACATAAATAATAATTATTAAAAACTTACATAAAATTGAACAAATAATTTTTTTTATTTAATGTTGATGAGAATATCAGTTTTTGAAAAAAAAATATGAATTTAATTTTTATATATTTATTTACGAAAGAATAAATAATATTAAAATAAAAAACTATATTAATTTGAATCATTGAGTGGTTAAGCCAAAAAATTATTTTAATTATTTAATTCAAAAATAAATAAATAAATATTAAATTCACAATGCAATTAAAGTTTGAAATTGAAAAAAAAAGTATAGAAAAATTGAGGAACAAAGTGCTAAAAATATGACATGAATAGTGAAACAAATAATGATTTATAAGTGTGTGAATAGTATTTCAAATAGCGAAGATGAATAATAAAACTATGTTTTATTTTAGTTTTTTTAGTAATAGTCTTTAGTTTCAAAATGTAATTAATCAATTCTTTTTTTTAATAATTAATTAATTTATATGTTTTTAAATCTATTTGTAACTTTATTTTTTATTTTTTTCAATTTATTTTATTTTTTTAAGAAATATAAAAGAAAAAAATAATATGGAAGAATTAAAGAGAAAAAATATTTTAAAAATAAAATAATATCAAATTAAGCATAATCAATACTAGTCGGAATTAAAGGAATTAATTAGAAGGACTAATTTATAATTTACTCAATCTATGAGTGCTAACAGAATTTGCAAAAAATTGAAAACATACAATATCTTAAACAAAGAGCCCAAGTCCTATCTTAGCCAATTTAAAAGAAACTAACATAGCTCAAGATGGTTTGTTTGAGTGAAAAATATTCTAGTTGTTTAAATAAATAGTATTGAATTCGAGTCCTTATATATGTAAAAAAATATTTCAAATAGAGAATTATGTATATGATAAATAAATAAGATTTGTTAGTCGTCTCATGAATTAATTGACAAGTCGTGCGATTTTTTACACCTCTTATCTTTAGATTGTTTATCTCTAGGTATTTCTAGACATATACCAATAAGTAAATCCGTTAATCAAAAAATAATATCCACCGATCTATTAATTTAAAATTTACATTTGTTAAATTGTGAAGTTAGTATAAGAAATAATGTTTAAAGTCACATTGTTATTGTATAAAAGAGATAAATTCTCAATAAAAAACGATGTGTCATTGTGATATAAAAATCAACAAGCATAATAATGAAGGAAAATTTATTAAGTAAAAATGACTACTTATGTAGATAAGTTTAAATATAATAAGATTTTAAGTAGATTTAAATGAACATATATTGAAGAACTAATCAAGACTTATAGGTAAGTAAAAAATTATATAAGTCAAAAGTTATTTAAATTACATCAATATTTATATATTTACTTAAATTATTGGTATTGAGAAATTAAAATTAGCATAAAAAGGTTTTTCCACGTCAATATAATATATTAACCTTTTATAATAAAATTCCACTTTGGTTAGCAAAAATTATTAGAGGCCTAAAGCCTAAAACTTCTCTTTTGTCGAATCAAAAAACTTTTGGGGAGAAATTTAAAATTGACTCTACCATGGGGATATTAAGGTAATTTACGGTATATAAAATAGACGACATGTCAATTCCCAATTGGTGCCATCTCACCCGACAAAAACGACGCAACTTTTATCTCGTCTAACCATCTGGTTCTTGTCTTCTCCATTGGTCTCGAAGGATCTTCGCAGCAATGGCAGACGCAGAAGAAGAGAGAGCTCTGGAGAACCAACTGGAGCTACAGCTGCAAGAACAGAAAGAATCATTAGATGCCTTAAGTGATGCTCTTACCTCCGACCCATCAAATCCTGAGCTTCTCTCTGTAATATTCTCTGCCTTCTCTTCTGAGTTTCTTATATTTACTTTTTTCTTTTCTCACATGGCTTGATTTTATTGGTGACCCAATCGAGGGATAGGGTTTTTGTTGCTTTTGTAGTGGGTAGGAGTGTTTGTTTAATGTAAAAGATTGAAACTCGAGTGGAATTCTTGAGTTTTACAAGTTGGATTTTGTTTTTGTTGAGTTTTGGGTATGCTTGTTTCTTGTGTAGAAGCTGTTGCTTCATTGTTGAAGTATATCCTTTTAAAAAGTTCCAATCTTGTAGAGTTTAAAAAGTTGGGTTTTACTGTACATAGTTTTTATGATGTTTTTATCTTTTATAGAAACTGGTTTTCTTGTTACTCATGTGTTTTTGTATAATGGTGTCAAAGAAATGATCTTTGATAACTACAGTGAATATTTGCATATATTGGCTTACAGAATCGCTCCGTTTGAAAAGCTTTTTTGTGCTAGAAGACCCGTAGACATAGGTGTATGGCTTGTGTTTACGAGGATGTGCAAATAACACACACAGTAATTTCTATTATGCATATATGAATACTTTATGAATGTGAAAGTTGGACTTCTGCTTGATGTTATTGTTTTTGTCTCAGGTTCAAGAGGAGCTTGTTCAGGTCATTAAAGACGCAGAGGAGGGACTTCTGCATCTAAAACGTGCACGATTATTACGAGAAGCAGATTCAGTATTACGTGCTTCGAACCATGCTGTGGAGGATGTTAAGGCTGAGCCTCTTGATCCGTTTGATGTTGAACCAGAACCACTAGGGGACAAGAGTTACACTGTTGGGTCAAAATGTAGATTCCGTCATGTTGATGGACGCTGGTACAATGGTCAAATTATTGAGTTGGATGGTTCTGATTCTGCAAAGATCTCTTTCCTCACACCTACATCAGAAAATATGTTGGTGAGTTCATCTTTTCTGTTTATTACCAAAAAGTTATTTCAGTATTTTTTTTTTTTGGAATATCATTTATACAGTCCATTGCCTTCCCGTAAAGAATCCTTCATCTTTGGTGGGACTCATGGTGTTTATCTTTATGGTGCTGAGACCACTTGAGCATTCAGATCCATCCACAATTCTTATGGTTTAACTTTCACCTAGCTATTAGTTGGTATTGTTGCAACAAGTGATTATATGTAATTTTTTCAGGCTTTGTTTAATGCATGGGTTTGATGGATTCTTAGAATCTTCATTTTTATCTCAAGAGCTCTTTTGGGCTGTTTTAGTAGCTATTCAATAGATTATCAGTTCTTTTTATCATCCATATATTTTGAATGGGACACTTTTAAGTGCTTGCAATTTGGCTTTGTTGAATAGGCAAAAATACAATTCTGAAGTACTTATGCACTGCCTAGTGTTACTAATGATTCTACTGTCCACGAGAAGATGTCAGAAGTGCTCAACTATATCGATATAGTTATGAAATAAAACTAACGATTTTCAATATTTAATATACTGATGATCGACTACCCAAGTGCAGCTATGCAAGTTTTTTCTGCAACAACGATGTCGATTTGGTACTAACTGCCGCCTATCACATGGTATGTTGAAATCGTTTCAAGTATGTGGGACCAGTAGATGCTGAATTTTTTTCTGGAAAATCTGTATTAATGTTTCCATTTTCATACAATTCAAATGCAATCATGATTCGTCTAATCAGATGGACGTCGGATGTAGCCGGCCTATATACTGGGAAAGTAACTTTTATAGAATGACAATGGAGGACAGTTTACTTGTTTTTGAAAACTGTCTTTAGTTTCCATAATCTGTTCCCAACACAAGACAATCCTAATCATGATGTGCGGAAGCTTAATGTAGTGATTTTGGGATCATTATCAATATATTCCTTTATTTGAAGAAGATTTTGGGCTATTATGTTGTCACCTTTTTTTTCCTGGTCAAGCCTTTCTTCTGTGTTCACAATTGTGTTGCAGCTTTTGCAGTTCTTTCCATTTGGAGCTTTTGGATATTTCTATCATTTGTCAACCATAATATCTATTCTTTCACTGATAAACATATTCCCTACCTATATAATATTCTGGAACAGCTATTTCCAGGATTGCAGGTTTTATGTGAATTTATATGTGCAGGGGTTGATGCGTTGTTATCCTCCCTGAAGAATTATGTGCCAACAATGTGGGATCAATCATTGGTGGGGTCCAGTATTTGGGCACATTCAGATAGTAACGTTGGCATATGGAGGAAAGCTGAACTTGAATCTTGGGATAATGAAGACAGAGTAGGGCAGGTTGTTTTCCATGAGGATGGCAGCTCGGCAAAGCTAGGGAGTGAAGCTATGACGATATCTGAGTATGCTTTGATGACTGATGAAGACGAAAGTGGTTCGAGCTTAGAAGAATCTGATTCTAGCGATTATGATGAAGAGAGTGCAGAAGGTTTAGGATTTCTTGAGAGCACAAACCAACAAAGAGGTGTCCAAACAGGAACTGCCATATTTGCAACATGGGAAAACCATACCCGGGGCATAGCTTCTAAGATGATGGCAAATATGGGTTATCGTGAAGGGATGGGATTAGGTGCGTCTGGTCAGGGCATGTTGAATCCTATCTCTGTGAAGGTCCTTCCACCAAAGCAATCACTTGATCATGCTTTGGAGTCTCATAAAGACGGGATCGAAGAGAAGAACGCAAAGAAGAGAAGCAGGGGTGGGAAAAGAAAACGTGGGAAGAAGTTTGCAGCTGCAGCTAGGGCAGCAAAAGCTGCTGAGGAAATGAGTCCAGATGTTTTTACTCTCATCAACAACCAACTTGCTGGGCATAATGAAGCTCTGAATGGGGAGTCAGCTAAGAAGCAGAAAAGTAAAGGCTCAGAAGAGAAGAAAGTCGATAGGCGGGAGTTGCTTGCTTATGATGATGAGATTAAGGAATTGAGAATGCGTGTGGAGAAGCTTGAAGAGATGGCAAATAGAAACAAAAAGGAAAAGGTGGTTTATGACGCTGCTATAAGAAAATTAAACGAGACGCACATAGCTTTGGCAAAAGCCGAGGCTGCTAAAGCATCTGCATCAAATTCTATAACCGGTAGAGAAAAAGAGAAGAAATGGCTTAAGTTTTGAGGCCATAATGTCATACGATGTTGTGTGGTTCAAACTTCAAAATCTACCGTGTTTGAAGCTTCAAATCTGGAAAGTAAGAGTCAAGCAGAGGTTATAATGACAATCTTTTTTTCCCAGAAAGCAGTCTTAGTGGATTCAAATCAAGATTTTCACATTATGAACTTTGCACTATACTGCTATACCCTCTGCCATACATTGTGCTCCAGCGAAAATCGCATCGCTGTTGCTGCATTTCCCGATTCCATTTGTTTCTCTTGTGAAATTTTAGCATATAGAAGCATAACTTGTATTATGCTAAAGAGGTCTATAGACATTCCATTGATATTTAAGCAAATAAGCTATTCACATGTCTTGTTATTATTATTGTTTTGGTTCGACTTCAATGAGTATTTATTAACTAACTTATGCATTAATTGAATATTTTTTCTCTCCAAATGATCTTAAAAAACATACTTTTACATAACGTGGATCAATGCAGAATTTTTTCTTCGAAAGTTCTGGAAAATACACCTCTATATCGATATGGTAATTCAATGAAAAAAAAAGTTTTACCTTTGTATAAGTATTGCTGGGTTTTGAAGACTGCAGGTAGGGGTGTTTACTATTTGCTTTAAACTAAAAACAAATTTTATTTTTATTTTTACTTTTTGGTCTGATTTTGTTAAAGTTTTAAAATAATGAAAATAAAACAAAGAGCCAATACCTTAATGCTATAATAAATATATGATGGATTGAAAATGTTTTTAGTTTATTTTTATTATTTTAAAATTTTTAAAAAAATAAAAAATTTGATTTAAATCGAAAAGCTGAATTACTAAATGATTTGGATTCAATTTTTTAATTTTGTAGGTTCAGTTAATCAAAAATCTAACTGAAAAACGGAATAAATTCCTCTAATTGCAGGATTGATTGAAGAAGTGGCGAGAATGTGGGTTGGGGAGTTAAGGCAGTTAATGTACTTATGAGAAGGAAGCAGGAATAACTGTCGGCATGCGTAGGAGTTAGTTTTGCTGAGTTGGCGTCAGTTAGTTGTATTGCCACGTAAACATGTACGGAGGAACAAAACTAAATAAATAAATAAAAATAATTTGTACATGAGGAAGCGAGGAGAAATTTAATAATACAATAATTAGTGACATATATATAGTTATTGGATAAATTTTATAATACACATATTAATTAGTGGCATATATAATAATTATTTTTTGGGTTAATTTTGATGAGAGAGATAGACAGATAGAGAGAGAGAGAGAGGGAAATAGAAAAGAGAAAATAAAAAATGCGAGCGGACGTGAAAATTTTCTTATCATTTTTTATAAGTATGAATGTAATTTCTCTTTTTTTTTTTGTCTATCTCTTTTTTTAAAGTAAGCCAAAGGAGTAACTAGTGACATGAGTAACTATTATACATGTCACTAGTTACTCCATGTGTATTATAAAATTTTTCATAGTTATTTGATAGACTTGCTTTGAGGAGAGAGATAGACGCATTGAATTATATCTAAGAAGATTTTCACGTTTGTTTAATTTTTTAAAATTTTCTCTCTCCTATTTATCTCTCTCTCTTTTTTTTTTTTATATATATCTATGCTCTCTTCAAAATGTATTTATAAAGTAATTAATATACATATCATTAATTACTATTTAAATATTATAAAATTTATTGGAAGCGAGTATTGTGGGTATTCTAAGCAATCGAGAATTATCTCTCTTTCTTCTTTCTCGTTTTCTCTTCTTCAGCGCATGTCAATAGATTTTATAAACTTATTGGTTGATCTTGAATTTGTAACTACTCATGCATTGTTACTGTTTTTCTGTTTCTTGCAATTCTTGCGGTTCTTCAATTGATTGGGAATTTGGAGTTGCATTAGCATGTCGTGATTGAAATCCGTGGCAAAATCAATACTTGCTTGCTATCACAGCAACATTATACCTTGTCGACCTTATGGATTTTATAACCAGCCAGTCAAGGTTACAATGAAACTGGAAGGAGCCAATTTAGTAAAAAAATTATTACACTCAACGTTTTGTACCTATTGTTTTGACAAATTGATAATTTAATTTGCTCCAATATCTTAACGTACCAAATATTTTGTTTAGAGCACAACTAACCTTGTTTTGGAAATTAGCTACGCTAATATACAATAATCATTTCTTTTTTTCATCTTCTTCTTTCTGTAATGATATTTTTGAAGTTTCGTGTTGGTTTTAGAGATTTTTACCTTGTTAAAGTTTGCGTTAACAATTATATATAGATAAAAATAAATATATAATTTTTACTTTGTCTTTATTTTTTTAATTGCATTTCATATATTTTTGAATTTTTTTAAAATGTTACATCTATTCTTTTAATAAAATTTTCTTTTACCATGATACTTTTTACTAAAATGAAAAAAAAAATTCTAAAAATCATTCGATTTGCACGTTTTATTTTTGAGATCCTTATAACTTTTCGACTATAACTTTGGTCCATTAGACTGGACATGATATTCTTTTTGGTCCTAGTTGAGCGAGTAGACAGAGAGTCATGTAGCCCTAGTCAAGACTAACTAATTATTATTTTTATTTGTATAAAAAATTAGATATTAAAAAATTTAAATTGTATTCGACTCTTTATTAGTATTGCAAACACAATATTGAAATAAAAATAACATTCTGATTTCTATATTTTCATTTCTATTACTTTATTTCGATTACCATAAAGCACCTTAGAAAATTAAAGTTGAACCGGAACTACTAACGTGCCAAAGTTACCCCAGGCTAGGTCAATATAATTAAAGCCGGACCAACCCTGTCCACCCACGTAATAAATCTAATTATTACAAAGACGCTAAAAGAATTAGGATTAATATTGTTGGTTTATTTTGCATTTAGAAACAAAATTCCTATTCATGTTGACTCATGTCTGCTGTTTGGAGTTCTTTTTTAATTTCACCCCTGCATTTTGGAGTCTTTTTTCATCTCACCCGTTCATGCATATTTGCTACTTGATATCTGCCGTTATCAGCTCTCCTTAATTTCTCTTTTGCCATTCCTTTTTTTATTGAAGGCATATCTTTTATTTCTCTTCGGTTTCCTTTTTATGTGATTTTAGTCTTTTCCTTCTTTCATGGGTGGGTCACATTGATCGATATTACTAATAAAAAACGTGTTATATATATATATATATATATATACAATTTGAATGTTAATATAGATGGAAAGCCTTGAAAATGAATGGAAATTTCTAAAAGTTTTAATGAAAAAACTGATACAAAAAATTGTTTGGTCGTAACATTGAAGTTATTTATATAGTTGGATGGTATTTTTATAGATTGCCAAAAAATAAACATAAGACAAGTCTTAATACCGCAATAGAAGTTTTAAAAATAAGCATTACGAAAGCTTGAAAATTAATAATTATTTATAATCAATCGCATAATTGTAATATTTTGGATTAGTTAGTTTTTGATTTTTGATTTGGTAATCATAAAAAATCATAATAATAACTATAACCAAACTAATCATTCGGTCATTGATCATAACCATTTTAACTAAAAAATCTTAATCATTCAATTCAATTTTGATAATTAACTATTAATTTTGATCACCTTTGCCATATCTAATTGTATAAATTGCTATAAAACTACTAGAATCAAGTCATATCGTGGTTCTATTTGTAACTACTCCCTAAGTACATCCGTTCAATATGTAAAAACGAGCTTGAATTTGCCCCTAAAAGATAATTTTAGCATCAAAACATAATTAATTTTTTCTCCAATATTTCACTAGTTTGAATAAAAGAGAAATTTACTATGATTTGATACTAAAATTATTTGTAACGGTAGACTGGAGTTTAATTTGGCTTTTAGTTAGTACAAACAATAGATGGATTGAGAAATAACATTATCTAATGTTCATTAAATTTGATAAAACCCAAAAAAAAAAAAAAAAACAAAATGAAATGAGGTAATATGTTAGAGATTAAATTGTAATTTCTCTTTTGTTTTTTACTTCATCTTTTACTTTCGGTATCAAAATAAACACTAAATGCTTATTCACTCTCTCCCTAATAGACTATACTACTTTTTATTTTTGTTTCTCACAAAATGATTGTCTTATCGAAACATTTAAGTAATGCATTTTACTATATTACTCCTAATTAAATCCCTTTGGTAAGTAATTTATAATTAAAAAGGATACTTTATAAAAGGATGCATAAACAAGGATGACATGATATATCAATTAATAATATTATTAATATTTGTGAAAAATCAACATGGTAATATTTCGATACAGAATAAATCATTTTTATGTCTCTCTCACCAATTATTACTAACAATTTAATTACTTTCCAATCCTTTTTCATTAGTAATTCATCTAACAATTTATTAACATACTAATCACCAATCATCTTTAAAAACTATTCTTTTTTACTCGAAGAGATTGTTATCTTTAATTTTTCATGCAGATTAAAAATATTATTAATTATTATGTCACATCAATATATATATATTTTAATATTTTGCTAAAATATTTTGTTTTAAGAATTGTATTTGAATAAATTTTTACAAAATAAAATTTAATTAAGAGTATTTTATAAAAATACATAATTCAAAGATTTGGTCGGATAAATATTTTGAGACAGATATAAATAAAAAGATAAATAATTTTTTTAAACAAAAAGATTATTTTAAAAATATAAAAATTATTCTTTTCATCTAAAATAGATTGTCCGTTTTTCTATTTATATCCGTATGAAAATACTTATCTAATCAAAATTTTAAGCCATATATTTTTCAAAAGATTGTACAAATATATTTATTTTAAGAAAATATAAACAAAAATTGCATAAAATAATTAATAATTTTCCTAATTCAGACAAAAGTCAATGAGTTTAATCAGAGTTTTTTTTAACAAATTAGGGTATTTTTAAATCTTTATTCTTTAAATAGGATAGTTTTAAACTTAATTCTCAAAGTAGATAATTTTTTACCATATAAGATATGTTCATCCACATCACTTACTGTAATTAATTTATCTTCTTCTCCAATGTTAAACATGATTTACAACTTTAATCAAATTTAATGCTCGTCATAAAAAAAAAATTCAGTACTCCATGTGTTTTCTGCTTTGGTCGTTTCATTTTACATCATTATCCATCGATGGAACTTAACAGGCCATGACGACTAAGAAAACATTTTCTCAAAAAAAAAAAAAAAAACCAGACATATCTTATGAATCTCAAATTTTCACAACACCAAACCGTCACTCCAAATAACCCAAGAAAGAGATCTTGAGATTTAGCATGATTAAGATCCCACTCATATCTACATACTTCATTGACTGGCTTTCCTACGTTCCTTCCATAGCGTATAATTTCCTTTCTTGGCATTATTAGGCAACAGGCTATTCAATGTTTTTCGTTTCTCACTTTCCTTCAGTTTCTCATTTCTTTTCAAAATTCATTTTGGTCATCACCCCATCATTCTGATCTTCTCCAGATTCATAAAAAAAAAAAAAAAAAAATCATGGACCTTAGAGTGCCACATTGTATACAACCCCACATGCCCCTAGCTCTCGACCTCGCCCTCACCATCCCCACGTTGATATGCTTGCTCTTCCAGATTCATAAATGGCATCGTCTTTATGAAACAAGCTCGGATTCTGGTTAATAAAATTCCAGATATGTATGTGTGTATATATATATATATATATAGAATCAAGAAATCACAGAGTTGGCAAATCAACATCCTCTCTTTTTAAACTATGCATGTTGATGCAATGAAAAATATGCATCCAGTGATTTAATTGGTTCTGTTGGCCATGTAGCCTTGTTTGCCAAAACACGGACCTGGGAAGAAGATCGTGCATACAGTTTGCATATGATGGTGTGCCTCTCCTTGCCATGCTAGATGAAAGAGAAGAAGAGAAGCGGAGGATGAGGGTAAGTTCCGGCTTGACCTGAAAAGTTTGAAGCCAGATATGAACCAGAGTCATTTTATTTGATGACATGTATTCCTACGTGTCAATAAATACTTATTTTAATAAATAAATTTAAAAATATTTTATTTTAATAATAAAGATTTAAAATTATCCTATTTAAAAAAAAAACTCGTTTAATCCAGAGGGAGTAGTTTTTGTAATAATTACTGCTCCAATAATTTACATCACTAAATTTGTTCTTTTACTTGGCGACTATCTTGATTCTTAACACCTAAGCTTTTCCTCTCCCTTTTGCGTCTGTTCCATTCTCCTCTCCTCTCCTCTCCTCTCCTCACCAATATATACGCAGTCAGTAGAAAGGATTTGATTCTCAACATCAGAAGAAATGTCTTTGAATGAGCTGCCAGAGGGGTGCATAGCGAACGTACTGTCGTTTACAACTCCTCAGGACGTTGGCCGACTCTCTGCTGTATCTCCCATGTTTAAGTCGGCCGCCGTATCCGACGTTGCTTGGAAGAGGTTCCTTCCTAGCGATCTTGAATCCATCCTCTCCACTTGCCCGAATTGTTCTCTCCTGCTGGCATCTGCTTCTTCCAAAAAGGAACTATATTTCAGCCTCTGTGAAAATCCAGTCCTTGTCGATGACGGGAGAAAGGTAAAATTTTCATTTTTTTTATTCACTTCTTTCTTTTGATGTTTTTTTTTCACAGACCCATTCGTGTTTTCTTGTTTTTGAAAGTCTCTGTTTGCTTGAATTGCTTTTTTTTGTTTTTTTTTTTAATTAAAAAGTGGTCTTTTTTTTTTTTTTTAACCCAATTGAGTTGATTAATTAATTTTCATTGACCAAGTTTTCTCAAGTCTTTGTTGGAACCATTAGGGCTATTTTCTTTGATAGTGATGAAAAGGGTACTGAAGTTTCTGTAAATACTATCTCTTATCTCTGTAATTTTTTTTGTATAGTTTTGAAGTTTCTTTAAAATAGTACCGTAGTTTTGATGGACATTTCCAAATAATTTTACCATGTGTTTGATGTTCCTAAAATCTCATGCCATTACAATTTCTATTTTGTGTGAAAAAATTCAATTTAAATTGAGGCAGACTGGGAGACTAGACAGGGTTGGAGATGGTGACATTGGAGAAAGAGTAGTTTTGCCTCTTGTCCCAAAAGCTATGTGACTGATTTGATTTCCTTAAACAGTGGATCTTTATGTTTTTATTAGGAATAAAAAGTTGGCTAATAGCGTGCTTCTCTTGTGTTGGATAGAGCTTTTCACTGGAGGAAAAGACTGGGAAGAAATGTTACATGCTTTCTGCGAGGACCCTCTCGATTACGTGGGCTGATACTCCTCAATATTGGGCATGGAATTCTAATCCCACGTCCAGGTTTTTCTTTCTTTTCAGTTTTTCTTTTTCTCAGTTTCTTGTTTATGTGATTATGATATTTAAATGTTGATGATTTACCCACAGATTTCCAGAAGTGGCTGAGCTTCTTTGGGTGTGTTGGCTTGAAATCCGTGGCAAAATCAATACTAGTATGCTATCTCCAGCAACATTGTACACAACATACCTTGTCTTCAAGCTTCCCATAGATTATCATCATGGACTGGATGACCAGCCAGTTCTGGTTTCAATGAAAATGGATGGAGAAGAAAGTTGTGCACGGACTGTTAGCTGGAATGTAGAAGGAAGGCTAGGGCGGCAATCCCGTAATGCAAGAAGGAGGCGCAGACCTACCAGAAGAAGTTATGGACATTATCCGAAGGAAAGAGGAGATGGGTGGTTGGAGATTGAATTGGGCGACGTCTTTACCAAGGAAGGGAAAGATGGAGAGCTGGAAATTAGAGTTTTTGATGGCTCTGGTCATTGGAAAAATGGGTTGATTGTCGAAGGGATTGAGATTAGACCAAAACAGGGTAACCAGATGAGCAACTGTTTTCATATTCTAGTAACAATGTCTTCTTTTTCACATTTGTAGCGGGTAGATTAGTGTTAATTAGTATCTTGATTGCATCACTATCAAGAGCTTTTGCAGCTGGTTGACACAGCTATGTAGGAGGATGCAGATAACATTTATATAATATATATAAATGTCTAGTGACCATAGAATTTGGATCTCATAGCGTTCACTTCATTTTAAATGACGATTTTTCAACAAATTGTTTCATGTCATTGGTTTCTGTCTCAGGTGAAAGAGGAGCTACCCCAAGCAGTTAAAGATGCACAGGATGGACTTCTTCTGAAGTTGCGTGTTTATCACAAGTGGCCGATTCAGTGGTACAAGTTTCCAACCATGACGTTGATGTAAAACCAGAACAACAAAAGGAGCAAAGTTACTCTGTTTAAATAATGTGACATGTTGTCTGTATTCAGTTACTTATTACAGGTCATTTGTTATTAATTTTCATGAGTGATGTGTGCATATTGCATCGATCAGCCACTTCTTCTCATCCCCAGGTTACGTATATTATGTGCTCCACCAACTCTTGTCGACTTCATCTTCCTGCACCAGAAAATTATTGACTAGATGAACTCATGTTTTAGTCAATTACCAACCGATGGCTAAGAGGTTTTAGATAAACAGGCTAGGACAGAAGCAAAAGGTTTTCCACGATAATGTGGGAAAAAGGATCATTGGGACAAGAGGTCTAGTCCTTTCACTTTATTAGTAACTCACTCAAAAGCCTTAATTTTATGTGTCTTGTTAAGATTGAATCAAGACCTTTACGTGAAAGATTTAAACTTTATTTTGAAGTCATCGCCGGCATCCACTTCTCTTATAGCTGAGTGAACCATGTACGTACCACTCGGTTACAAATTACAGGTTGTTTTCATGATGTTGTACGTATAGTCCATGAGATCAGCATCCTTACGTAGTCTTGATGATGTAAATATCCCACTTGCTGATTTTTTTCCTTGTTCGAGTTGTTGAAGATAATGTGTTTTGCATAAAATTAAGAGATTATAGCAAAAATTAACACGTATAATTACATAAAACTGCAGAAACATACAAGATGTCCACAGATTGCTGGCTCAAAATCTCCTATGTGTTCTTATGAAGTTTGTGGTGTTCATTTTGATAAAGAGTTGAGCATGAAGAAACATTCAAGTCTTCTATCTATCAACTGCCCTTCTGATAGTTTAGCTAACCTAAGTCAAGTAGAGCCAAGTTTTAATTATCACTTATACAGTCCACATCTAAAGAACTCCCCACGGCCATTCTGAGTAAGACTAACGCATGAGCAGACACAATACAGTAGAGAAATCTTTTCCATAAAATGAAGAAAATCCACCAAAGTTCAAGAATTTCTGTTTGTTAGCATTAGCAATACAGCATCCCCATATATTCAATTTCAATAGAGTTTATATAAGCAGCACTTAGTTACCAAGTTATGTAGATTCATGAAGGTGCAGCAGTTCATTCAAGCAAACAAAAATTTCTTTTAATCATGCGAACAATCTAATCTCAACTCTAAACCACTGGTTAAACTCCCACGATAAGCCTTAAATCAGTATATTACACCCCCACATCAAGAATCTCAACCTCTGAGCTATAGTGATCAGTGCCATAACCTAATAAGTAGTGTAAACAGAACCCCATCTTCACCGTATTTAAGCTATTCGACAGCATTTCTACCAATTTAATCCCTTTTACTGCAAATGTAAAACCATTCCCACATGAAATTCAAAAGGAGTTGCTTCAAAGGTCTATTTGAAAAGCACTCTGTACAAGTTACAGATTGATACTAAAAGTTCTCATTCAATCAATGTTAGGTTTCTCTTTCACCTTTCATTTCACATAGAGCACACATAGAATTAGCCTTAAAAGACAAGCACCGGGATATCTGAAGCTAAAATTTCTGTTTTTCTTGTTTTCTTGATCACAGGCGCCACATAATAGAAGGCCCAAAACATGAAGTGCAAAAATTTCCAGCTAACTTCACAACATATCCAACAAAATCCTTTAACCAAACGAGAGAAATCACAAGAAGATCATCAAAACAAGAAGCCAAGAAAAAGAAACTCTAATGCCCATTTCTTGGATATGAAATCAAAGCAAGATCCAACTTCTAGTACTCAATTCAAGACAACAAAAACTTGAAACATAAATGTCACGAGATTTTATTACCTGTGGGGGCATCTATCTTGGAAACACCGAAGTTCGCCTTGCCCATCTTTATACAGCACTACCTGCTTATCAAACACAGTAAGCCCTAAAGGAGCATCATCTGGGACATTCTTGGTAAGATAAAGCGGGTACCACTCTTCTGTCCAATCATAGTCTGCCACCTCTCATACTCCTCCGCTTTCCTCCTCACTAGAAGGATCCACAAGCACTAAGCCATCATCATCGTCCTCTCCTTTACTCTGATCATCAACTGATGAAGGTAGAGTACTGCTTGAAAGATCTGTAACTGCATGGCACCTAATGGCCCTTTCTTGCTGCTCCTGCTGCTTTATATGTATTGGCCTAAGGGTTTTTGTTGGTTTAAGAGTGAAGGAGAGAGGCTTAGAGAGGGAGGTAGCGTGAGACAGAAATGGGAACTGAAGGATTGGTAAAGCCATTCTGCATGCAGTTGGTTCTGTTTCTCTAGGGGAAGAGAGACAGAGAGAGTTGTACAGGGGCGTAGCCAGAATTTCTTGTCGGTGGTTGCAAAATATTTTAACTGTTAAAATTGATAATAAAATCTACGTAATAGAACTATGACTATAATTGTTAATATGCTGTAAAACAGAGCAAATGATTTGTTTCTCTCCTTTTTAATTCTTTGGGATTTTAAGGTGGCCATCGCTATCTCTCCCTTATTGAATTGCATTAATATTTAATAGGTTTTTTTATTCTTCTTTTTCTCTAATTTAACTCAAGAGTCAATGGGTTATAGAGCAATTTTTTTTTTAATAAAAAGTATATATATTTGACATTTTTATAGAATTTTAGTGGAGTCAACTGATCCTAATGAGTCTTCTTCGGCTACGTCCTTGGAGGTGTAGAAGAAAGTGGAGAAAATGCAATCACATGGAGAAAGGAGGAGAAGAAGAGAGAAGAAGAAATGATGAGGCCCAAAGTGAAAAAGGCAGGAAGAGGTTGGAAGTTGCTTTGCAAGAACTCTGCACCATTCTTTACCTCACAATGTTTGCAGAAAAACTACAACTCAAATTGAATCCACAAAGAATTTTTCATTTCAATTGGATCCATGTTAAATACAGAAAAATTTTCTTTTGCTTTGTAAAAAACTTAAAATTTTAATGGATCCATATGAAATATGGATGGTGTATTCATTGAGAAATTTCTAAAATGTTTTAGGATTTAATTGAAATAAAAAATTTATTTGGAGACTGAATAAAAAATGCTTATATGATTGGAGGACTATTAGAGGTTTTCCCTTTTGCCGTGAATGCAAGTGTTATGGAGTCACCATCCCAGACACACTCACTGACTCCGATGGGGAGTATCATTTACTGGTCATGGAACATATTTAAATATATTTATATAATTTAATTTTTAAATAATAAAATAAAGAAAACAAATTTTCACTCAATTTTTTAAAAGTTAAAATCTCTTATTTGAATGAGATTTTTTTTTTAAAATTTTTTTAAATTAAATTAAAATATTTTATGTGATATGCAGTGGACATTACTATGAGACTGAGATCGGGTTGTAAAAACTGTTACAATCATGAGTCATGTGACTTATTGGAGTAATAAAATAAATATCATGACAATCACGATTAGTAATTGTTAATATTCGATTTAAAATATAGAATGAAAAAAAAACATATATTTTTTTCGAATGGTCATTATTTGGACAATTATTCATCAAATAATGTCAATAATGACTTTTATAATTATATAATACCATTATTTGTGTAAATCAAAATTATATCATGTATAATTTAAAAAATCGATAATGATTTTAGTCGATTCAATTAAACAACAACTATTACGTTATATTACGGTCGTTATTTAAAAACATATATGATAGACAGTTGTTTGATTCATCTCTGATTTGTGAGTTCATAAAGAGTTCTTTGATCCATCCTTGATCTGTGAGTTCTAAAACAAGATGATTGCATATGAAACTGCATCATTCCCTGGATCACTTCGCTCCGCCTCATTTCCTCGCAGCATCACAGATGCATGACATCCCTGTAACCATGACAACTAACCAGAATTGAAGAGTAGCCACCAGTTTCATAGTATATAAGTATATGATTTCAGTTCATTCTGGGTTTCTGATAAATCAGTTGTTACTACTGGATCAAAAAACGGCAATCCTAGGTGCCACCAATTACGGCCAATCAAACATGACATATTATAAGAGAACTCAAGGTTTCTCTTTCTTTTCGCTTTTACTTTTCATGATATTTTTACATTTCATTATATGCTGGATATCCACAGGTTTGCACAAGTGCCTCATCTTCTTCAGGTGCATCGGCTAGAAATATTTGGCAAAATCAATACCTTGTGTTCAAGTTCGTTGCAGCACCACAAAACCCAGGTTTTTCAATAGCCTGTGGGTTGGATGACCATCCAGCAAAGGTCAGAATAGGACTTTTTGAGGTGAAACTTCTTCGCAAATTGTTTTTTGGGAAGCAAAAAGATTGCAACACCAGAATCACGGTAAAACAAGATAGCACATTGGTTTATATACACCAACTAGTGATGGACATTGTCCAAACGATAGAGGACATTGTCCAAATGATATAGGAGATGGATGGTTGCAGATGGAATTGGGTGACTTCTTTAACAAGGAATTAGAAGATGGAGAACTAGAGATGAAAGTTCATGACAATAGTACTGATCGTTTGAAAGGAAGGTTAATTGTTGAAGGGATTGAGATCAAACCAAAACAAGGTAATTAAAAAGACAGTAAATTTTACCAACAAGTTGTTGGTTAAGTGATAAGCGAGTTGGTAATTTTTATTAATATGCAGAATTCAAATTCTAAAATTGTATTTATTGAGAGATTCAAATCTTGAAGCTGTATTTATTGAAAGAGGTTAAATAACGTCGTTCTAGTTCTTAATATAATTAACCATATCTCTAATGCAAGATGGTGATAAGTTGATAAAAAAAATTAATAATAATAACGAGTTTGTGCTTGTACAATTTTCTAGTTTAATTGGCTTAGAATTTATGGATTTTTTATTTTATTTTCACATTCTTGCAATTTCCTCATTCGTTTTTTTTTTTTTTGTTTTTTTGGGAAGATTTTAGCATGCGAGTAGAGCTTGCTTGTATTCATAACTTGTTTCTGTGTCTGAAGGGAAATTAAAGCACAATTTCTGTTGGATCATACGTTTGTTAAATTTAAGAAAAAAGAAAAGATTATTAAAAACTATTTTATTAAATTAAAAAAAAAAAAAAGGAGGAGCCCTTGAAGTATGAACTACGAAGGAGTAGTTTAGTGGCTGAGGCCCTGGGGCGGGAGATGGCAATTTGCAAACATTGGGCCCAATAGTAGCATTGTTAATGGACCAGCCCAAAATAAGGAAAGTTAATTAAGATCCTTAAAAAGAAAAAAAAAATTAGAAAAAGGAATTAAGATCCTAAAAACTCTAATAATTTTCAGTATTTTCTCTTTCACAAAATAATATTTTTTATGAATACAAATAAAAAAATAAATTTTAAGTTATCCTTTTGATATATTTAGAAGGATCCCTAATATTTATATTTAACCTCTAATAAACTAAATTGTGAAAAGAATTACTAATAACAAATCGATATAACAATTAATAAGTTTTTAATAAATCACCGACCTATAAAATTAAAAATTCAAATATCACTTACCGCAGTTTGCAATTAATATTTTATAAAAAAAATCACCTATTTATAAATTTAAAAATTCAGATGTGATATTACAGTTTGTAGTTAATATTATATTAAAAATAAAATAAATATTTTTTTTAATAAAAAAGATATTGCAATAAAAACATAGTATTTTCATACGTTTAAAAAATTATAAACTTTTGAGTTCGATATAGTTATGATAAACATAATATTTTCGAAAAAACTACATGATAAATATATTAATTTTGAATTTTTTCAATCAAGTATATTAATTTTTATTTTTTTAGTATATCAATTATTTAAAAAAATTAATTAAAATTTTTTTATCTAATGATTATATGATAGCTTTTATCGAAAAAAATGGATAACCATCATGTACTGATAGATTATCTCCAAAGTCTACACTACCATGTCACATCGGTCGGAGCATAGCATCGGAAAGAGTTAAATGGTTGGCTGTTGCAAATCCTTGTAATTGTCGAGGGTTCTGAGTTTTGTTTTTTCATAAGTTGGGGCCCAAACAGCATAGTTCGGCAGAGCAATCTGCATTCTTTGGATTTCTTACAGGATCCTTAACCTTGGACACAACATAATCACCTGACCAATTTTTTCCCTCGATATCTTCATTCTATGTTTTAAAATAAAACTAATTCCTTCGAAAACAAAATTATAAAATTTAATTTTTTTGTTTTAACAAATATAATTTTAGAATACACGATAGATTTAGGTCTGTCATAAACATGGTTTTAAAAAACGACCAGATTACTGTTGTTATATAACGATAACGAGGCAACTCGTTACTCGTTTTTCGACGTTATAAGGGCTTCAACGGTGTTTCACGCCTATAACGATAGATAACGGTGTTATCGTTATGTAACGTCATTATTAGTCGTTATATAACGGTGTTATATATAAAAAATTTAAATTGCTAAAAAAAAGCTTGAAATGCAATTGGACATTTTTTTATATTCTTTTGCTTTCTTTCTCCTGCAATTATTAATGAAAAGGAGAGACTTTTTTTGTCTTCTTTTGCTTTATTTCTCCCGTAGTTACTAATGAAAGGAGGGGTTTTTTTTTTGTCTTCTTTTACTTTCTTTTTTTACAATTACTGAAATTATAATGTATTTTATTATTTTTCATGTGATATTAATCTATTAGAAGTGTTATTAATTACTTTTTATAATAAATCTAACTATTATTATATGTTATTAAACTATTAGAGATATAATTATTTATTATTATGTTTAATTAGTAAAATTGTTAAAAAAATGTGAATTATAATAAATTTATTATCAATTTCTAATGTATTCACACAATTAACTGTCGTAATCGTTCTTTTACGATCACGATGAGCCACAACTCGTGATTGCGATCGTTTTTTCAACAACGATCACTGTTTAAAACTATGATCATAAATACTAATTGTCTAAATGCAGTTTTACGTCAATAAAATTTTTCAGACACGAATTAGATTTTTGTATCAACGAAAAGTAGTCAGTCACGACATGAGCTTTTTACGTAAGTTTTCAAATTAGTTGTTTTTCGCTGTGTATTACATGTTCTACGTTTGGTTTCAAGTCATAAGACTTCGTTGCATGTTCGGCAATAGCGAGACATGACCGCAGCGTGCCTAATCCACTGCTGGTTGCTTGGGCTACAATTATATCTAGCGTTTCGTGTACGTTCGACGCTGCTATAACACTCCAATCTCCGAAATGAAGACGTTATTAATAAAATATTCGTTTAAAGATCAGCTTGGTTATGGTTTCAACGATAACATGTCATATTTTATTTTTTTTGTAACAAGCAACACGTGGCAAATTCGCCAAGAAACCAGCCATGATGCAAGACAGATAAGAAGCCATCCATAAAAGGGGTGGCAACTGCCCCCTCAGGCTCCCATTACCAAAAGTCATAAAGTAAGGATCGGAAGGCACCGCCTTTCAGCTCTGACTCAGATTATATCTTTTTATATTTAATCATTTTGCTAATCCCAAGTAATTAAATTATCGTAATTTAGCTTTTAAAGTATTTTTTTAATGGTAAACTAGTTTGCTATCTACTTATAATCATTTTATAGGAATTAACAGAGCTTTTTTGTACAAAAAAACTCAAGTATGTATGAAAAAGATATTATTTAAAAATATGAAAACAGATGAATAATATTCATTAAAAATAAAAAAATAAAAAGCTATTATACTAATACCTGTAGAAATAGATCAAAGATTATTTCTTAAATAATCACACAAATAGAAACAATTAAAAGAAATTTGCTTGCATTTTATTTTTTTTATTATTATTTTATGAAGCTAAATAATCAATTTAGAATCCTATCAAGTAGAGAAATCCAAAGATGGCCTACCTTTTAAAACCAAAATATTAATTAATTATACTATATAATTAACAATGGCTTAATCCAAACAACAGGTCTACAAAATCTACTCATCCCATGTGACAAATCCAATAAAAAGATTGGTTCTTTTCTAAAGCAATAAAAGATTTCAACTAAGAAAAGAAAAGAAAAAAAAGCATAAATCTTAATAAATTTGAATTTAGTAAAAGTGGCTCTAATAATTCTAATAATTTAAACAAGTGATCTTCGATTGTGGTTATTGTATATATAAAAAATTGTTTAACCTTATCCATCCGATAGAATAATAAAAAATTACCTACTTATAGCTGTTTTGTGAATTTTTAGAATGGAATATCTTAAAGATGGAAAAAAAAAGTAATTTCTACTTTATACCATATATTCATTTAATGGCCAAAAAGAATCTAAAAAATATCCATTCAAAGCCAGTTATATCCTTAACCGCTAAGCTTCCCACCTCACATATCCTTCCCTATAAATAGCACAGTCCGCCGCCTTAAAATCTTACGCAACTGTCAATCAAATGGCAAGAATGAGTTTTAGAGAAGATGTGTCGTTGAACGTGCTGCCTGAAGGTTGCATAGCCAATGTTCTGTCGTTTACCAGCCCGAGGGATGCTTGCCGGTTGTCCGTTGTCTCATCCTTGTTTAAGTCGGCGGAAGAATCCAATGCTGTTTGGGAAAGGTTTCTGCCCCATGATTATCAATCTATCATCTCAAAATCCGATAGTTCTTCTACATTGTTGGCTTCTCTTTCTTCCAAGAAAGATCTCTATCTCAGGCTTTGTGAGAAGCCCATAATCATCGACCATGGCAAAAAGGTAAAGCTCATGTTTTTTTTTCTTAGAAGATCATGCAGGATTGAAGTGTACGATACAAAATCAAGTTTTTCTACGGAGAATTGTCACTAAGGGGCAAGGTTGTCACACTAGAAAGTGGGGTAGAAATTTAGACAGAGACAAGACCAAAACTTGACGTCTTATGTTTTTGTGCTGCTGTTTCTGATGTTTTTCAGAATGCATGAAAAATACAGCATTAACAAACACATACCTAATCTAGGATTAAAAATGGAGAATTTTGTACTTGTTGAGGGTGGAATAAAAAAAAATTAGATTGATCTGAGAAATATATATATATGCATATATTTTTTAGGACTGTTTCTATATCTAATTTTTTTTTTTTTTTTTTTTTTTTTTGTAACAGAGCTTTTCATTGGAGAAAAAGAGTGGGAAGAAATGCTACATGCTTTCTGCAAGAGACCTGATGATTGTATGGGGTGATACTCCTACGTATTGGAGATGGAATTCTGATCCTTGCTCTAGGTTGGTTTGTCTTTCTTTTTTACTTTTTTTCTTTCAGTTACTTCTTATTTTCTTTTGGGATGCTGAAATTTAATTGTTTTGCTGGATTCTGACAGGTTTGGAGAAGTGGCAGAGCTGATTAGTGTATGTTGGTTTGAAATCCGAGGCAAAATCAGTGCTACTATGCTATCTCCAGCAACATTGTACACAGCATACCTTGTGTTCAAGCCAACTCAAGGTGCTTATGGATTGGATTACCAGCCAGTGGAGGTGGGGGTGGGACTCGTTGGTAGTGAAAGTGGTAAGCGAAATGTGTATTTGGATTCAGACAGAGGTCGAGCGCAGCAATACCAGTTTGTCAGAAGGCGGACTGGGTTGTTCAACCGCCGCCGAATGGTGGGGATGCAAGCACCTGCTAGAGAAAACAGTGGACAGCATCCAAAGGAAAGGGGAGATGGGTGGCTGGAGGTTGAATTGGGTGAGTTCTTTTGCAAGGAAGGGGAAGATGAGGAACTCGAAATGAGTGCTCAAGAGGTGAAGGGTGGTGATTGGAAAGGTGGGCTGATTGTTGAGGGGATTGAGATTAGGCCAAAAGAGGGTAAATAAATAAATAAAACAAGGGTGGTGTTTTCTTTCTATTAATGATGTCTTGTCTTTTCGCATTGGTAGTAGTATTAATGTTTTTTGCTTCAGTATCAATAGGTTTGCTGGAGTTATTTCTCAGCTATTAGTGTCTTCTGCAAATTTTCATGTTGATGTTTGCCCAAGGATATCTTTTGGCTATTATAATAAAATATGGTTCATTTCCCCTTTCTTTCCTTGTTGATGATGTTGAATCTTGCAGTCATTTTAGTGCTTTGCAAAGTCTATTAAGCTCTTTCAATGAAAAAAAGAGAGTATGAAGCTCCTTCAATGAAATTGTCTTAATTTCTCTATGTGTGTGAAAAACCACAGCTTGGTCTTCGGATTTAGTTTCAAATTCACCTAAGATCCAAAACCTTATGTTCAAACCCCAAACCCCAATGTTCCAGACATGTTAGAACTCAAACCCTGTAAGAAGCATGTATGTAAATTGGTTCTTGGCTAAAATGGTGTGTGTATATATATATATATATATCAGATAAACAAATGCTGGATAAGGAAGCAAATGTCCCTGCAAGTTTGTTTCCTCTTTCACTATTTTAGTTTTCATTTTTTTTTTTTGTTACAATTTTAGTATTTAACTTTGATCATCATAACTGTTGCTCTGGAAATAATTTCAAACCTAGTTCAAAGCCATGGCAGACCGGTGACACTGCAGAACATTATCCTTTCCCTTTAATTGAAAAAGCTTCAAAGGTGCCAAAAAAAAGGAATTTCTTGGAAAAGGCAGAGTCCAATAAAAAATCTTGAGATCATGAATAGAGAATTGATACAATACTAGTAACCTTCACTTGACAGTAAATTATCCATGATGAGAACCTATGATACTTTCTTGTATCTTCCTGACCTGAAATTATAGAAACTTACAAGAAGTGCTATCTTTTGCTACTTACAATCTTCTGTGTGTTCTTATGAAGTTCGTTGTGTTCATTGCAATAGCTGTTGAGCATGCATAAACCCCAGCTAAGCACAAACTTGCCGATAACAAGAGAAAGTTCTTCCATTGCCTTCCAGATGCTAGAATGGCCAATGTAGTCAATGCAAGAGCAATTGCAGAGAGGGCATTTTTCCAAGCCTGGAAACTTTTGACTACACTCGTGCATCCCTTGCAATGAATCACGTGTCTGAAATATCGGTTGATCACATTGGGTGCGTGCATTGTTCCGATCCCACCTTTTGCTGGGGAAGAAGCTGAAACTCCAGCAACAAGACCAGCTGGTGCATGTTCTAGAACAGCAGGTACTTGGGGCAAAGAAATGGTGCTGTGTCCGAAATGATAAGGCATTCCATGCCCAACTTTGTCCATCCATTTCCTGTATTCAGCTACCCATGTATCTGATGACTTCAAATTGATGTACAGTTCCTTTGTGGGAACCTTTTCTTTCATTAAAACTTCGTTCTGGGACGACAGAAATCCCATATCTTGCTCGAAGATTTTGCATGCATTCTGATGGAAGTACCATCTGGGGATCAAATTTGCTATTTGAGGTCTTTTTGTTGCTCCAAACCTGACAATGACCATGGATTTTCCTTGTCCAGTTGGTCTGCATAGAAACAGCCCCGTGAAGTACTGAGTCAATCCCTTCTCATTGGGAAGTTCTATGTCATTGGATAGGACACATGGAGCTTCAAACCGTAAGAAGCTTAGCAGTTTTTTGTCTTTCTCCTTACCCCACCGCCCTGCAAAACCTCGATGGGTGCGTTCAGTCACCTCAAATCGCAGTGCCTGGGCATCTTCCCTTTTCGCAGTCCAGTCTGTCCTATCATGTGAGATTGGAATATGCGCCGGATCCATGAGGTTTTCAAGAAGTATGGAGTGATCATAGGGAAGCTCATGAATGGTTGAAGTGTCTTGAAATCCTGGCCTGGCAAAGTTCTCAAACCAGGGTATCTTTTTAAAGTTTGGTGGCGTCTTTAGTGACATCCATACCCAAACAACTCCTTGCGAATCCTTCACCTCGTATGTCTTTACACAAGCTGACCGAGGAATTTTAGCATCTGCAGGAAGCTGCAAAAGAAATTCATCAACATCAATAACAGAAGAGGCCAGCTAACCTTTCACATATCTAGGTCTAAGTCAAGAGGCTTTTGTGTTAGAATTATTTGCATAAACGAAATGCAAGAATTATAGACAAGAGTGGATGAAAATAAATCCACCCTATGAGGAACAACAGACGCAAAACGTACAAAGGAAAGACAGACCTGAGGTATCTTTACACATTTTCCCTCCCCTTCAAATTGCCAGCCATGGTAGAGACATTCAAGCCTACCATCGATCAACTGACCTTCCGATAGTTTCGCCAACCTGTCATCAGACAGTCTCATAGTTTAAGGTTCTGTTCATTGTGCAGTTGATGTTTCAACGAATTTAAGGTAACTATTTTACATCAATAAATAGAAGATATTAATGTGTTAATGACAATTACAATCTTCCTAAAGGGTTTTTATAAAAAATCCTAAACCAAACAAAATTAATCCAGTGATGATCAAAAGAAAAACCATAGAGATTCTGTTCTGTCTCTGAACACTAAAGTCAGGAGCCCAACCAAAACAACAGCACTGAATCGAGTAGCAGCAGAAACTAGAGCTCATGCTATAAGATACCTGTGAGGGCACCGATCTTCATAGCACCTTAGCTCACCTTGGCCATCTTTGTACAACACCAACTGCTTATCAAACACATTGAGACCTAAAGGTGCATCATCAGGCACATCCTTAGTGAGGTAAAGTGGGTACCACTCTTTAGTCCAATCATAGTCCACCACCACTCTATCCCCTCCCCTTTCCTCCTCACTAGAGGGACCAATAAGAACCCCCTGATCGTTATCTTTTGCGTCAAGTGAAGGTGGTGTGGCAGTTGGGGCATCTGCAACTGCATGGCACTTCTTTATGTGGTAAGGCTTTGAGTGTATTGATTTGAGCAGGTGGCTGTGTATGTGTTTTGTTGCAGTTAGTTTAGGTGTGAAGGAGAAGGAAGAAGAGGGGTTTGAGAAGTTTTTAAGGGAGAGAGATGGGTGAAGTGATAATGCCATGGAGGTGAAAAGAAAAGGAAAGAAAGAGATGTTCGTGGAAAAATCCAGGAGTGGAGTCCTGTGGAGAAGAAGAGGAAATTGAGGCAGCAGATCGAGTTGGTCAGTTAGCCATTGCCTTGCAAGATTGACATCCATTCCTGACCACACATCTACTTCTCACGTGGCTTTAGTTTCTACTTTACAAATTAAGACATGTACAGGTTTGGAAACCTGACAGCATTACAACATCGCTCATTTTGTCCAAGTTAGTCATGGACCAACTTCATTTTGTTTCTTGTGAGGATTTATATGCCGTGTAAACTTGGTTTCTGAGGAGAAATTCTTTGGTTATGTAAGGCCTTCCTATTAACCTTTGTGGAAGCTAAGCACAACAAGCACAATCCTGAATCTGCAACGAGACGGATTGCAGAAAATGATGCAGATGAAATCAAACTATAGAACGACAAACTAATTAAAACTTCTAGCACAACATACCCCAGAACAGAAAAGGAAGCAAAATATGTGAAAATACAGCAATTTATTGACAAGAAAAAGAAAACATATAATTCACTTGATGAACTATACAAGGTTGTCAATGTTGTTCTATAATCTTCCTGTGCTAAAACTACAGAAACATGCTAGATGTTCACAGATTGCCGGCTCAAAATCTCCTATGTGTTCTTATGAAGTTTGTTGTGCTCATTTTGATAAGAGTTGAGCATGCATAAACTCCGGCCAAGCATAAGCTTGTTGAAACTAAGATGGCAGCTTTCCACTGCCTTCCAGAAACTAGAATAGCTAATGCAGTCAATCCAAGAGAAATTGCAGAAAGAGCTTTTTTCCAAGTATTGAAAGCTTTGAGAGCACTACTGCATCCCTTGCAATGAATTACATGCCGGAAATATCGATTGGACAAATTGGGTGCATGAATTGCCCCAATACCACCTTTAGCTGGGAAAGAAGCTGAAGCTCCAGCAACAAGACCAGCAGGTGCATGTTCTACAACAGCTGGTAATTCAGGTAAAGAAATGGTGCTGTGCCCAAAATGATAAGGCATTCCATGTCCAACTTTGTCCATCCATTTCCTGTATTCTGCTACCCATGTATCTGAGGATCTTAAATTGAAGTACAGTTTCTTTGTTGGGAGCTGTTCTTTCATCAAAACCTCATTTTGGGATGACAGAAATCCCATATCTTGCTCGAAGACTGTGCATCCCCTCTGATGAAAGAACCATTCAGGGATCCAGTTTGCTATTTGAGGCCTGGTTGTTCCTCCAAATCTCACAATAAGCATGGATTTTCCTTGTCCAGTTGGTCTGCATAGGAAAAGGCCACTGAAGTACTGTTTCACCCCCTTCTCATCAATGAATTCTCGGTTATTGGATAGGACACATGGAGCTTCAAATCGTAGGAAGTTTGGCAATGTTTGAGCATTTCCCCCACCCCACCACCCCGCAAATCCCCGGTCAGTATGTTCAGTCACCTCAAAACGTAGTGGCTGGGCATTTTCCCTCTTTGCTGCCAGATCTGTCCTATCATGTGAGATTGGAATATGTGCTGGATCCATCAGGTTTTCAAGAAGTATGGAGTGATCGTAGGGAAGCTCATGGATGGCTGAAGAATCTTTGAAACCTGGCCTGGCAAAGTTCTCAAACCAGGGAAGTTTGTTTACGTTTGGTTGTGTTTTCGGAGACATCCATACCCACACAACTCCTTGGGATTCCCTCGCCTCATAGGTTTTGACACAAGCTGATTGAGGAATTTTAGCATTTGCAGGAAGCTGTAGTGCAGAAATTCATTGTCATCATTAGCTAGGATATGGAAAGACAAGGAAGGCATATCGTGTAAAGGAAACTGAGCACGTTTAAAATGAAGACAGACCTGAGGTATCTTCACACAGTTGCCCTCCCCCTCGAATTGCCAACCATGATATAGACATTCAAGTCTTCCATCTATCAACTGCCCTTCTGATAGTTTAGCTAACCTAAATCAAGTAGTGCCAAGTTTTAATTATCACCTATACAGCCCACATCTAAAGAACTCTCTTATTTTGCCAGTGTTTCCCACGGCCATTCTGAGTAAGACTAACGCATGAGCAGACACAATACAGTAGAGAAATCTTTTCCATAAAATGAAGAAAATCCACCAAAGTTCAAGAATTTCTGTTTGTTAGCATTAGCAATACAGCATCCCCATATATTCAATTTCGACAGAGTTTATATAAGCAGCAATTAGTTACCAAGTTCTGTAGATTCATGAATGCGCAGCAGTTCATTCAACTACACAAAAATTTCTTTTAATCATGCAAACAATCTAATCTCAACCCTAAACCACTGATTAAACTCCCATGATAAGCCTTAAATCAGTATGTTACACCCCCACGTCAAGAATCTCAACCTCTGAGCTATAGTGATCGGTGCCATAACCTAATAAGTAGAGTAAATAGAACCCGATCTTCACCGTATTTAAGCTATTCGACAGCATTTCTACCAATTTAATCCCTTTTAGTGCAAATGTAAAACCATTCTCACATGAAATTCAAAAGGAGTTGCTTCAAAGGTCTATTTGAAAAGCAATCTGTACAATTTCTGAACCTAAAAGTTCTCATTCAATCAATATTAGGTTTCTCTTTCACCTTTCATTTCACATATAACACACATGGAATTAGCCTTAAAGACAAGCACTGGGATATCTGAACCTAAAATTTCTGTTTTTCTTGTTTTCTTGATCACAGATGCCACATCACATACGGCCCAAAACATGAAGTGCAAAAATTTCCAGCTAATTTCACAACATATCCAACAAAATCCAAGAAATCACAAGAAGATCATCAAAACAAGAAACCAAGAAAAAGAAACTCCAATGCCCCTTTCTTGGATATGAAATCAAAGCAAGATCCAACTTCTAGTACTCAATACGAAACGAACAAAGACTTGAAACATAAATGTCATGAGATTTTATTACCTGTGGGGGCATCTATCTTCAAAACACCGAAGTTCACCTTGCCCATCTTTATACAACACTACCTGCTTATCAAACACAGTAAGCCCTAAAGGAGCATCATCTGGGACATCCTTGGTAAGATAAAGCGGATACCACTCTTCTGTCCAATCATAGTCTGCCACGTCTCTAACTCCTCTGCTTTCCTCCTCACTAGAAGTACCCACAATCACTAAGGGATCATCACTGTCCTCTCCTTTACTCTGATCAGCAACTGATGAAGGTAGAGTACTGCTTGAATGATCTGTAACTGCATGACACTTAATGGCCCTTTGCTGCTGCTTTATATGTATTGGCCTAAGGGTTTTTGTTGGTTTAGGAGAAAGGGAGAGGGGAGAGAAGGTGAGAGGCTTAGAGACGGGAGTGGTGTGAGACAGAAATGGGAACTGAAGGATTGGTGAAGCCATTGTGCATGCAGTTGGTTCTGTTTCTCTGGGGGAAGAGAGACTGAGAGAGAGGTGTAGAAGAAAGTGGAGAAAATGGAATCATATGAAGAAAGGAGAAGAAGAGAGAAGAAGAAACGATGAGTGACAAAGTGAAAGAAGACAGGAAGCGGTTGGAAGTTGCTTGCAAGAACTTTGCACCATTCCTCACCACATAATTAATTTTTGCAGACAATTGTCAGTTGCAGGGAAATGGTTCAACCGTATAGTTTCCTAGGAAAAACCACAACTCAAATTGAATCTACAAAGAATTTTTCATTTCAATTGGATCCATGTTAAATACAGAAAAATTTTCTTTTTCTTCATAAAAAACCTAAAATTAAATGGATCCATATGAAATATGGAAGGTGTATTCATTGAGAATTTTCTAAAATTTTTTAGGATTCAATTGAAATAAAAAATTTATTTGGAGACTGAATAAAAAATTCTTATATGATTTGAAGACTATTAAAGGTTTTCCCTTTTGCCTTAAATTCAAGTGTTAAGGAGTCACCATCCCAGACACACTCCCGACTCCCATAGGGAGCATTCATGGAACATATTTAAATATATTTATATAATTTAATTTTTAAATAGTAAAGAAAACAAATTTTTACTCAATTTTTGAAAGTAAAAATCTCAGATTTGAATGAGTTTTTTTTTCAAAAAAAAAAATTTAAAAATAAATTAAAATATATTATAGATACTGTTACGAAACTATGATACGTTTACAAAAACAATGTTATAATCACAAGTCATATAATTTATTGTAATAATAAAATAAAGATCATAATAATCAATATAATGAAAATATTAATAATTATTAATATTTGATCTAAAATAAAGAATGAAAAATATTCTTTTTTTTAATAGTTATTATTTGGATAATTATTCACCAAATAATGTCAATGATAACTTTTATGGTTATATAATACCGTTATTTATGTTAATCAAAGTCATGTATACAGTAAAAAACAATAATGCCTTTATTCGATTATGCCAAATAACAACTATTACGTTATGTAACGATCATTATTTAAAAATATAATGACAAGTTCTATTTGAATTTTATTTATGAATCCTTATTTCACATTGAAAATAAAATTAATCATGATAAAGATAAAAACAAAAAAGTTTAACCTCTTCCAATAAGTACATCTCTAAGATTTAAACCTGTACATTGGCAGGAAATGATTGCATATGAAAGTGCATTATTCCACCTATTTAAGTTGGATTCAATTTCAAAATTCTAAACTAAATTTCTAAGAATTTAGTTTAGAATTTAGATCATATATATCCGCATCTCATCATATAAAATGTAAAGAAAGTGAAACAAATGAAGTTCCTTATAAAATCAGCCATAGCTCCTGTCACACTACAGAAGAATGATTGAAAAAGGGCAACGAAAACAACCTCATATCCTCACCAAACAAAACAAAACAAAAAGAAAACCTTAGTCGCTTACTGTATCCACAAATATAAAGGGTTGTAGCTATATGTCACTGTTCTTCTAGCTTGGTACATCGATGCATTTATTGGGCTAACATTTTGGAAGCACTATCTTGTTTTGAGAGCAGAACTTGGATTTCTTTTCTGTTCACATAACAATGAGAGGGCTGCCATGAAGTTTGCCAAAAAATTTATACTCATTCATTACTTCTTCATCCATTAGTCACCGAGCAAAATTGCCGAATTTCACCTTCCTCACCTGTTTTCACTCCAATGCTAGTTAGCTTCAAAAATGACTGGCCCCAACTCTGAAAAAACCTTTCTTGATCATTTGCAAAATCCTCTACTAGGGCCCTTGTTCTTTTGTCATCTAAAAGAACAGAATCTGATTGGAAAAGGCCTTTGTGGGCTACTAGGTTTTGGTAGTACTGATTATCGAATGACGAGGATGTTCCAGGATCGTTGACAACTGTTATTGAATCGCTTGCATGCACTGGACATCTTTGCATTAGCTCATCGGCATAATTCCTGTCTAGAGATGAGTCGATGAGTGTGCGCTTCCCCTTGGAGTCCAGTTGGAACCGATCACTGAATGCGCTGCAATGAGCTGATCCTATAGTGTGAGCTCCTGCAAAGCAAATGCATTAAGCTTGACGAAGAAGCCATTTATTGTAGTAGTTTTCAGCAGCAATAAGTCTTTTCTGCGTAGAAACAAACAATCGATAGCTTGACCTCTCCATTGTTAGTTGTTCGAACAACATCAGAAGCAGCTATTCTGGTTAAGTCCTGGGTGTTTATAACAGAATTTTGGAACCAATTTTAGCCTAATTATTACATACCTGATAGCACAACAAGGTCCTCAAGGGATAATCCTTTAGCTGTGAAAATGTTAATCATCTCATTCATTGTAAAGGATGTGTCTATGATATTAGGTCTCACATTTGCCGCTGCAGATACCCTCCCGTCTCTCCTACCAGTTGGAATCTGAAGCTCAGGTCCACCTGTCTGTTTTCATGTTCTTCGTGAATAAATAAGCAATCAAAAGAAGCATAAAAATCGACAAGGAGTAATGGTAGCAGTGAGAGACATTACGATCGCAACAGCATCTCTAGCAGCTAAAGCAACGACATCAGCACAAGATACAGTTCCTGGACAGAAGATTTCAAGCATTCTTTTAGCTGAATCGATAACTTGAAACCCTCCTAGAGACCCATTCCCTGGATCACTTCGCTCCGTCCCATTTCCTTGTAGCATGACAGATGCATCACATCCCTGTAACCATGACAACTAACTAGCATTGAAGAGTAGCCACCAGTTTCATAGTATATAAGGATATGATTTCAGTTCATCCTGGGGTGCTGATAAATCAATTGTTACTATTGGATCACAAAAGGGCAATCCTAGCTAGGTGCCACCAATTACGGCCAATCAAACATGAGATAATATAAGAGAACTCAAGCTGAGTCTATGAAGGAGCCCTTGATGATCTAAACCAAGTGGCTAAAGTCCATGGATGACCAATTAAATTGCATTAAGCTCAAAATAATGTCAATGAGTGTGGTGAGACGATTAGGCCTCTGCACAGGAAGCTGACCTCTACATAACAGATGCATGCTGTAATAGCTCAACATCCAAAATACTCTAAAATAAGTTCAGATCAAGCAGTGTCTTGTTTTCTAAATCATGTTGCAGAATGCCTACATGATTATGATTAAAGTAACGAGGAATGCTTAATTAGGTGGCCATTATCATGTGTTCTTCCCCATGTAGGAAGAAATTAGTGAAATGCCAAATCCAAAATGTTATTTTCTGGCATTCATTAAGCTAATGCAGATAACACACAAAACATACAGAGGTGAAAAAGACTCACCTCTACAAAGCAGTCATGGAAAACCAAACGGAGTAGCTTCCCTGGGACAGTAGGGTCAGAAGAGGAAGCTGATCTCACTGTGTTTGCGACAATAAGTTCAGCAGTTGGGCATGAAGCTCCATAAAAGTTGAAAAAGAGACTAGCAGAACAAGGAGAAGAAACAACATATAAGAGAACAAGAGCCAGAAAACTAAGCAAATGAGGTCCTGCATAAAAAAGCACAGGGCTTGTCTCCATGAGGAACTTTTTTTTAGGCAAACTGCAGAGTCATCACTCATCAGTGCTGCTCATGTTTTGCTCTTGATATTGATACTTCCACGAGAGAAAAGAGGGTGACCATGTATCCTGCATTTAGTGCTGCATTTACTTTGTTGGGTGATGTCAGGAGGTAGATGGGATATTAGACTTTTAGTCACTGTTAGTGTAAGAGGAGAAAGTGAAGTTGAAGATAATTTCCAATTTCCTTGTCTATTTATGTTTTCAACTCCCCTCATGCTTATTGGAGTCTCTGCCTTCGCAGTCTTCACATTTAAGTTCACTTCCCATTCAAGAATTTATTAGAATCATTTACCCAGTCACACCCCTATAAAAACCTTCCAAGCCATGCATTACTATTAGTGACTGACGAGATTGTGTTTCTGGGCCAACCTCTAAAAGTCCCCAACTTTTAGAAGCAATCTCGATTAGCTCCCCTACGTACAAATGAACTTTCAATCAGACCCCTCTTTCAATTTCAGTTAACAAAACTGTTAAGGTGCCATCATAAAAGTTGAAACTCAGGTGATTTCTCTTTTTGCTAATTGGTTATAAAGTATCCTAATCTATTAATCAACAACAAAAAAAAAAAGTTCCTAATTTTTTCTTTCTAATTTGGATCTCCAACTACAATTAAGATCTTTCGTCCCGTTAATCAATCTCATGTCATATTAGACATAAGTAAGAAACAGATAGAGTCATAAAATAATGACATATGTCTTATGTTTAAGGCTTTCAAAACATGGGTCATTGTTTTAATGACTTCACGTGTCTCTTATATCATCTAAGATTTGGTCAATATGATGAGAAAACTTAATTGCAGACCAAAAAAAATCATGTGAGTTTTACACGACAATTTAATAATTTTATTAATCAAAACTAATGGAAGGATCTTATTGAGAATTCATTGATACATTGGGGATCTAAGCGAGAATATCCCTTTGACTATATCCTTTCATATAAATTCTGATATATGGTTAGCTTTTGCTCATGAAGTTTAAATCAGCTCTGACGAAACCTATATCCCCTGAGCCAAGCCTCATAGGTGAGTGACCACTGACCAGAGTTAAAACAAAGTTGTTGGCAGGTCTGTGGTGGTGATTATCAACCCTACTAGCCCACGAGCCTGAACGTGGTAAGTAGCACGAGACACGTTTCATAATAAATTTTAACCCTAATTGACCAGGAAGGAAGCTAGAACAGGTTGGTTTTTTCCCTACGCATTTATTATAATCTGTACAAGCTAACCCTAACCAGCAAATTTCCATTTTTGCTGGTTAGGATGATTGTTTCTCCTCCTTAGTTTTTCCTTTTTAACTCTACCTAATACTGGTCCATAAACGATCATAAGCCAGCATCAGTTGTTCATGCTGCCTAGATAGAAAGGGAAAGGAGCCTGTAAATCAATTGAACTAAACTAGGAAAATGCAAAAACAAACACCAGGGACAACACCTTTTCATCTTCTACTAAACTGAAAATCAAGATTCATTAAGAGTAAAAGCAAACATTGCACAAGTATTGGTCCCAACCGAGGGCTACTGGCTACTTGTGTAATTCTCCTTGTCCCACCGCCTAAATGTCATAAACTCTTAACCGGTCGGTTCCTTCCACCGTGAATAGCTTACAATGGGTGGGGGTCAGTAAACCACCACCCTCTTGCATGGGGAACAAGATGGCTGCAATCCATCTTCTCTATCCCCATGGAGCATTAAATTACGAAAGACCGAAACTGTTGCCTTTGTCCTTGCTGGATCAATTACGAGTCAGCCTGGTTCATACGGGCAGTTAACTTCATGACTGACTTCTTGATAACAGCTAGCGACTGGTTCCAGTGATGGCTGACATGCCAAATCTCTGCAGCCAAATTTTCAATTTACAGGCAATGGTAGGCCACTTTTTTGCTTGCTGCACACTTCCAGTCCAAGCCTAGCAACAATGAAGAGTGAAACAAACAGCCTTTTAGGAACAGTTCCATAGATCATTTCACATACGTTCCATCATCAAGAGGTACAAGATTGAGTTATGTTCTTTGGATGTTTCATCAGTGGAGAATAATAGTTGTACCAACCTCGTATTCATAAAAAAGGGATCGATGAATGGACCCCAGTACCAAATGTTTTTTTAGCTACTTTGGGAACAATGAGCATCGTTGAGATATAAGCCTCTCAGTCTGATATCAACTCTTGTAAGAGATATTGATTATTATTGTCCACAGTGGCATTTGTGTTTTGAAAAGCATGGAGAGAGACCAAAAATGCTTCCCACGCCTAAAGTAGAAAGAAGCTGACAGGGTGTTTTTAATATCGCAACTCTAGATCAATCAGTAACAGTTCTGGACCCAAAGCAATAATTTTTTTTCCCCTTTTCCTTTGAGGTGGAAGGTGGCCTTTTTTTTTTTTTTTTTTTTTTTTTTTGCATGAGAAATTTTGGTTAAGAAAAAGGAAAACATGCTAATAGTTTATTTCAAATGTCCAAGGTTCTGTCTAATATGTCATACAGTACACCAACCATCATTAATAAAATATTTAGGTTGACTAACATACTAGCCAATCAGTAGCAAAGAACAAAGTGCATTTCATAATCTAAAATGGCTAAATGAACTATAAGCAAATAGTTCACACATTTAGTTATCTAGAATTGTAGTTAAATCAAGTACATGTAGCACACGAAAAAAGCCACCATGGCGTATGGATAGGTTGTATTTAACAGTGGTAGGGCATATTTCATCCAAGCTAATATATATCATAAAGCTTTAGCAAAGAAAAGATGAATGGTAATACAAGACTTTACCAATGTGTGACTTTCCGAATTACTCATTTCCAGTATCCATATCACCAGCTTCTTCAAGTTCTTCTAATTCATCCACATCATCAATAGGAATTTCTTCACTGTTAATAAGCAAAGAACCTGCAGATTTGGAAAATCGGTTTCAGGATCAGGAGATATGAAACACCTCTAGTTTGTCAGACTCTAATGAACTGAGCAATATACATAAAAGAAGAAAATAATTCTGAAATTATATAGGCACATAGAAGCAGTATGCCTGTTGATCAATGCAAATACAGGCAGAATCATTAAGTTACAGACATCTATACATAGCTAAAAAGGATAGACAAATTAGTCATTTGCAAACATCTACAAGCACATAAGAACCTTTTCATTTCTTGGAAAAGGTCGCAACTGCCTACAAATATGCTAAACAAACAGAACCCCTTCAATACCTATGGTCTACTGATTTCCATTTCACAGCAACCTTCAATACCTATGATATGCTCGATAGGATCAACTTTTCTTTTGGCATAATGTACCATCTCTTCACACTATTGACTTGAAAACATGAGACCAGTGCAGGTGAAAAACTCAAAAAGTCAACTGAAATAGGACTAGCTAAATGCAGAAGATCAGCCTAAACAACATGGCACAAGAATAATTAAAGGAGTTGCTCATATATTGGGGTGCTATACCCTGTAACAAGCACTATGAATAGCATAAATGTTCCATGTGAAAATTATGACATCGTATCTCAAATTCAAATGCTTCAGTATCCTAGGAGGTAGTGGACCAACTAGACAAAGTCTCTAGCCTTGAATTTGTTAGCCATTTTCAGCTCTCATATTGGCACAATGAGCAAGCATACACAAGCAGGCAGGGTTAGGGAGTCCAAATCTATGGATAAGTACTGACAATATTTGGCAAAATCTCAGTCAAGTACTACTTTGGTTTCACATAAGGTTTTGGTCAAGCAGTCCTTTGCTTTCTTCTGGTAAAGAAGACAGATTAAAATTAGCATTATGAGGGTGGATTAAACTTTAAATGCTTCTGTTGTAGGAAATGAGCAGGTAAAGAAATATATGTGGTAAAGGAAACCAAAGAACAACCCCTTGTTTCACATGAGAACGCTAAGGCTTTCAAAGAAGATCACAAGTTGGGAGCCATCCAAAACTTATTAGCACAACAGCATTGACAAGGAAAAGCAAGATTAAATATTTAAGGAGACTAAACCTAATCATTTCAACAACCACAGACATAATAATAATTTTACCTCTCTGAATTGATTGGGCAGCACTAGGACTACAATTTCCTTCTCTTGATTCTGATGTGCTGTCCAGGAGATACGGAAGTTCCAAAAGCTGCAACAAAGATTCTGTTTGAGGATTCCTAGGACATCCTGCAATAGATTAGAAACAAAAAATCTAAACAGAATCAACCAGACATATGTGTCTTGATCATTGTATGTTGAACTACAAAAGGAACAAGCTCATATTATCTACTTATCGAACACAAGTGCAAGTCAATCAGAGACAAATTACAAGCTGAAAAGTACAATGGTCAATTCCATCAACTTGAGAAAGAAGATTTGGACCGGAAACAGAGATACAATCAGACAACAGAATGGAATTGAATTGCAAATCACTTGCAAGTACAAAGTACAAAGCTAAAGAGTTAAAGCAAAAGAACATGGACTTGGTGCACAACACATAACTCTAAGCATAAATGTGTAGACTTTAATGGCAAATTTAAGCACTCCTAAGTATCATATCATGAACTTGGCATGCAGAAACATGGACTTGGATCACAATCGCAGCATAGCTTGTACATGGAACATGAAAAAGCCCTAAACTTCAATTCGGTTTTTAAAATCATGTGAAATGCCACTGTACTAATTGATATGGTCCCAGCAGTTGGTCAAGAAATTTTATTGCTCGATAGGGTCCATATTTAAGATGCGTTTACGAGGATAATAGATAATAACAAATCACCATTACCAGAAAAGGAACCATGTGGGTTAGATTGAGTGGGATCAAAAGGTGGAGCAGTCTGTGTAAATTCAAATGGTTTGGTCCCTCTTTCTTGTAGCTTGCTCCCGACCAATTGCCGACAATCTTCCATTTCAAGCTGTGTAGCCCTATCATATCAAAACATAGAGCTAAGTATGACCAAAAAACGATGGGGAAAAGGGGGAAGTGAGAAATATTAAGCTAAATCATATTATAGAGAATTTATATTTAATACACACCCAAAATTTGCATTTTTAAATGTCAATGGAAAGATAGAGTTGAACTTCCTCGTTATGGCTAACCATTCTTCATCATATTGAATTTCAAAAGGTCCAGGCTCTGATTCTATTTCAATAACCTGCAAAATCATTGCAAGACAGAATTAGTGATGTGAGGTTCCAACTATAATAATGAAAAAAGACACTTTAGACAACAATCACAATTACAATAAGTACCTGTAAAAATTTGCGACGAGGAAGACACTTATCAAGTGCAAGAAATTTTGTCAAAGGGCCACCTTCACCATGCTGAACAACAGCAGAAAATTTGCAGTGCAGATGAGCAGAAAACCAATATGAGGGTCTCAATTTTTCCAGCAGTTGAGCAGCAGCTTTACTTCCGAGAGTTTTTTCTTGAATCTGAAATATTATCAACCACATAAGCAACCACCATCAATTCGAGCAAACAGAACATGTTTATTGACGATAAAAACAAGCTTGCACTTAAAAAAAAAAACCTGCATAAATACTTCTACTGGATTGAGTACTTGTGTCAACAATTTTAATCTTTTCAATACCAAAAGATACATTTTCCAGTTTTTCTCATTTCATTCAGAAAATCCCATGACTTAATAAACCAACAAACTCTGACAATATAATATTAAAAAATAAAAATGCATGACTAAACTGTTAATCCAAGCCTATAGACACAAACACATTAAAGTTCTTAAACAAATAAATAAAGTTACCACCAGAACTCTCCAGTTTGAAGGCAGTCATTATTATTGTGAAAAAATACACAAACAAATCTTCTATTACATCATCAGTCAATCAGATTATTTACCTCCACTCACCTCTTTTTCAAAGTACGGTTTATACCGAACAAGCTGCTTCCAATTCCCACAGTCAGTTATCCCAACAGGCCAATCATGTGAAAGAAAAATATCAATTGGTTCCTCAACTTGCATCAGTTTATGCACATCAAACTCTCGAACATGATACACCGACCTTATACTCCTCTCATTATATGGCGCCCTCTCATGATGTCCTGCTCACACAAAACCGAACTCAAATCAAACACCAAAAACTACAATAATCCTTACCCAAAATTCTATGATTCTCACAATAATTCACCAACAACCGAACAAAACAGAATTACATTGCCCAAGTTGAGCTTATAAAATTTATAAGTTACCCAAGAAATTAAATTCTTTACCTGTTTGATAATTTCGAGCATTGTAAATACCAGAAAGTCCACCGATTCTGATATTCCCAAACTTAATCACACCAGCAAATCCCAGAAAATATATATTAGGCGCCACGTATCCGCCATAAAACCTAAAAAAAAAAAAAATTACACGGAAGCTAATTAATTAAACAAACTAACTATAACTAACTAATTAAGTAAAAACAATCGATTATACTTACAATTCCCACAAATAATTAGAAGCTTCATGATTTCCACCGATAAATATCGTAGGAACCGGAGCAATTTCTTGCCCTGAATAGTACTTCCAAAACGACTTCATCTCGCGGTATTTTAACGGCACGTTCAAACTCTCCATGTCTCTCTCGTTTCTCACGGCCTGATTAAGAAAAAAAATTAAGAACATTATTCAGTTTTGATCAAAATTAAGGTTTCAAAAATTGAAATGTTAGGATTAACTTAGTACCTGAAAATCGCCGCAGCAGAGAAGGAGGTCGATTTTGGTGTCGTTTTGAGATTCGATGTGTTTGATTGTTTCGTAGACTTTGTCTAGGTCGCCATGCATGCATCCTTCTACTGCTATCTTCATGTTTTTAGAGTTTTGAATTTGAATTTGCAGTTAGTGTTCATTGTTAACGGGAAAATTAAGCTCACTACCTAGGGTTTAAGCGAAATATCGTGACTGACGGGTAGCGATTTTGTTGTTGCTTATTTGGTCCTCTTTGTTTTGAGAACTTGGCACTTAAGGATGTCAATGTTATCTTATCTTGCATTTACGTAGAAATTATGTCGGTTTTATTTACCATTAGGTTAGATATTGCGTAAATATCAAAAGATTGGTTCGGTAATTAAAGAAGTTTATTTTATTTTTTACCTGTTATGCAATCCGAGAAAGAGAGCCAAGCAGCATTTGTTATTCTTATGGACCAAACTTGGAAAAGGCAACAATTCGACTTAATGTTCATTGTTGGTTTGCTAAGCGAGTTATGTAACGATGACGAGTTCATTTATTGAACAACTAAAGTCAAGGCATGAAAAGAGTTATTTGAGGTTTAACGATACGACTTTCTGTAAAATCATATAATGTCATTAAATAAAAATAAGCCGTAAATATAAATAGAAAAGCAAATATAAATATGAGAGATTCAATCCAATAGAAAAACAAGGATTAAGAAGAGGAAACATGTCAAAGAAGTTGACTTTGGGAAGATGATAGGGTGCTTTGCTTATATTATATAAGAAAAATAATTCTCACTTTCACCATGCTTTGAGAAAGTTAATTTCTATTTTTTATGAGAAGTCAACTAAGATTTTTTGTTCAAATATTATAATCAATACTTAAAATAATTTATTAAATTATTTTGAATGCAATAGGTTGCTGCGAGGAGTACACTTTTAAATTTTTTAAAAAATTTTTTTATCTTAATTGATGCACCAATTGACTCGAAAATATTTTTACTATAAAAAAGATAGAGATGGGATTATGTAATGTTTAGACCAATAAATCAAGGTATATTGCATAGCTTTTTTTTTAAGGGAAAAAAGATTATGTACTTGTCAATTTAAATGGTAACTTGAGTTTTTCTTTCATTTTTAGTTTTGAATTTAGATATATAAAGAGGTTAAAAGAAAAATATTTAAAAGAAATCAAAATGACAAATATTTCTAACCAAATAAACTAAAACAGCCAAATTAATAAAAAACAAGGATGGTTTTGATACTTTGCCTCTTCTCCCGTTACACCGCTCTTCCTTTCTTCCAATCCAGCCCAATCCATCTAGGTCCGTTGCTAAAGCCCAACACAGGTAAATCAATAATGGCACACTCGTAATTTCCATCGGTTCATCTCATCAACCAAAAACCCTAAACTATACAGTTACTCACCCCTCCTACTCTTTCCCATCTTCTCCAGCAAATTGTGCAAAAATTCCTCCTTTCTCTTCTTCTGTTTCTTCTCTCTCTAGAATATAGGGAGAGAAAACTCGAATAAACGACATCAAGCGATGGGAGAAATATCACTGACCGAATTAGAAGCGAGAGCCGCTGCCGCTGGTATCGATCTCTCGCTAATCGATCTTGATTCAATTCAACTTCCTCCTGGCGATGATTTTGGCATTATTAGGTCAGTTTTTATTTAGAAGGATAAGTCATATTACCTTTTTTTTTTGTGTTTTGTAAAGTTCTGTTTGGTTGCTTAGAAAATCTAGGAAATGAAAGCAAAATATTAGATTATTTTTTTATAATTTCGCATTATTAGTTCAGTTTCGTTACGCAGGATAAGCCTTTTTTTGTTTGGTTACTTAGAAAAATAGGAAATGAAGGAAAATTATATTATTAATTTTTTATGTAGCTTTTTTTTTCTGTATAATTTCTGATTTAGTTATGCGGGCTTTGTTTATTCATAATTTTTTTTATTACGTGAAGAAACTGTGTAATTATATGTATTATTTATTTTGTAAAATCCGGTGTGCTGTGTTCCGAATTTGTTGTTATTTATTTAGAAAACAACGTTAAGTTTATAATTATAGTGAAATGAAAGTCCGTTTGGGGAAATATTTATAAGTGTATGTCACATTTGTTAGATTTTATGAGCAATAACAGTAAAATAATGAATAATTATAATATATTTTTAAAAGTTAATTGCATCTATTTCTAGCCAAGGTTCTATTATTTAATTTTTTATAGGGGAATCTAGTTTTTGGATATTGTGACTGTAGTTGTGCTTTGGTTCTGACTTTGTAATTTACTTTTTGGGTAGTGATGATGAAGATATCTATCAAGAAGAGCAGATGGATTTTGACTATGGGTTAGGGAACACTATTGTAGTCGATAATCTTCCTGTTGTTCCAAAGGAAAAGTTTGAAAAGCTTGAAGGAGTTATCCGCAAGATTTATAGTCAGATTGGTGTTATTAAGGAGGATGGCCTTTGGATGCCTGTTGATCCTGAAACTCAGAAATCTTTGGGTTACTGTTTCATTGAGTACAATACCCCTCAGGTTCTCTTTTTTGCCTCCGATCTATATGAATGAGTGTATGCATTTACTTCCATTTCTTTTAATTTTTGAATGATTCTTATACACTCTACTTTTTCGGCATTCATATGGTCAAATGTGGCGTTATCTACTGCCTTTCTTTCCCCAAAATGGCTAGCTAGAGGTTCTATTATTGTAGAAATCTGTGATGCATAAGTAGTATAGGTAGCGAGTATTGTATCTGGCATACTATATAGAGAACACTTGGGGAATCTATGTTAATTGTAAGGAGTTGATTTTGGCCTGAAGGATTGAAAGTGCTGGCATTTGAATGCTTGGTAGGTAGCAAGTATTGTGCATGGCATACTATATAAAGCATACTTAGGGTGTCTATGTTAAGCAGTTGCCTTTTGCCTGGTAAAATGAAAGCGCTGGCTTTTGAAGGTTGCGATTAAATCTAGGTTTCATTATTTTTTGAAAAATGTTCTTTGCTGATGAAACATACTTTAGGTTTGCCAGTAGCAAGTCTGAGTTCCACAGTCAAATTGCTGGTTTTTTTTTTTTTTTTTAATTGATACCAATTTATTTTTTTGTGATTGCAGGAAGCTGAGCTAGCTAAGGAGAAGACAAATGGGTACAAGTTGGACAGAGCCCATATTTTTGCTGTCAACATGATTGAAGATTTCAATAGATTTATGAAAGTTCCTGATGAGTGGGCGCCTCCAGAGATCAGGCCATATGTTCCTGGGGTAATTTGTTCAATAATTCTTTCTCATCCTTACCTATCTTCTTTTCTGCTAGCTAAATTGTTGGATGGTCTGATTTCTCTCCTCTACAAAGTTTATCAACTTATTTTCCTATCAAAAAAAAAAAAAAAAAAAATAGAGACAACAAAATGTAACAACTAAGGCCATAAACATGTTGTGGTTTTGAACTTTCGGGATTTATTTTTTATTAAATATTCTGTGACATTTGTGTCATAAACAGGAGAATCTTCAACATTGGCTCACTGATGAAAAAGCTCGAGATCAGTTTGTGATTCGTGCTGGCTCTGACACAGAGGTTTTCTGGAATGATGCAAGACACTTGAAGCCTGACCCTGTTTACAAGCGTGCTGTAAGTTTATTTATTTATTTTCAATCTGACTAGTTTCTTTTTTCTCATGTCTTAGAAAATGCTCTGACTGTGGCGAATGATGACTTTAAATGTTTTCCTTTTACAGTATTGGACCGAGAGTTATGTTCAGTGGTCCCCACTTGGGACTTACCTGGCAACAATTCATAGGCAGGGTGCTGCAGTTTGGGGCGGTGCAAGTACCTTTAATCGGCTAATGCGTTATGCTCATCCTCAGGTCTCCCCCTCCTCCCCGCAATTTGACATGGAATTTTGTTGTTCTGTTTTAACAATCTCTAAACCTGATGATATCATTTGTAGGTTAAACTCATTGATTTTTCCCCTGGTGAGAAATATTTGGTGACCTACAGCAGCCATGAACCAAGCAATCCTCGTGATGCTAATGTGGGTTCTTTCTATTTTTTATCTCCTTGTTGTGTTGTCAGTTTACTTTTTTTGTGGTGCTGTGACTAATGTGTTCTTGGTGTTTAGAGGGTTGTGATAAATATTTTTGACGTGAGAACTGGTAAAGTAATGAGAGATTTTAAGGGAAGTGCTGATGAATTTGCAATAGGAGGAGCTGGTGGTGTTGCAGGAGTCTCTTGGCCTGTTTTCAGGTGATTTCTTTTGGCTAGAATATCTGCAATCCCAATAAAACTTCTTCCCTTTCCTTTTAAACTTAATTTGCCCATTTTCAGCATTGATCACTAGGTCTGATTTAATATTTCATGTTTTCCAGATGGAGTGGTGGGAAAGACGACAAATATTTTGCCAAAATTGGGAAGAACATGATCTCCGTGTATGAAACTGAGTCATTCAGCCTTGTAGACAAAAAATCCTTGAAGATTGAAAATGTGATGGACTTTATTTGGTCACCAACAGATCCTATTCTTGCTCTCTTTGTTCCTGAACTTGGTGGTGGAAATCAACCTGCCAGGGTGAGTAAGTTGGTGTGAAATGGATGGGTCGTTTTATTTTGCAAATAAAAAGCTTGACTTTAGTTCTGTGTACATTCATAGGTGAGCCTTTTCCAAATTCCCAGTAAAGAGGAATTGCGGCAAAAGAACCTTTTCAGTGTCAGCGACTGTAAGATGTACTGGCAGAGTAACGGGGACTACCTTGCTGTAAAGGTTGATAGGTATACAAAGACTAAGAAAAGCACCTACACAGGATTTGAGCTTTTCCGCATAAAAGAGCGGGACATACCGATTGAGGTATTGGAGCTAGACAACAAGAATGACAAGATAATTGCCTTTGCTTGGGAGCCGAAGGGCCATAGATTTGCCGTCATTCATGGTGATAACCCCAGGCCGGATGTAAGCTTTTACTCGATGAGGTCTGCTCATAATACAGGCCGGGTTTCAAAGCTCACTACTCTTAAAGGCAAACAAGCAAATTCTCTTTTCTGGTCGCCGTCTGGTCGTTACTTAATACTTGCAGGACTTAAAGGTTTCAATGGTCAGTTAGAATTCTACAATGTTGATGAGCTTGAGACAATGGCTACAGCTGAACATTTTATGGCAACAGATATTGAATGGGATCCCACTGGAAGGTAATTTTTGAGAAATTGCATGAGAGCATCAATCACGTGGCTAGTTCGGCATCATAATGTTTTTGTTTTTAAGCAAATTAAATTGCACTAATCTATTTGTAATGGCAGATATGTTTACTTGTAGCCTGAATCAAGTTGGTCCATTGTTACTGAACTTGTGCTATGGTTGTGATATTTGTCCTTGGTTGTAGGTATGTTGCAACTGCAGTGACTTCAGTTCATCATGAAATGGAAAATGGCTTCTACATTTGGTCTTTCAATGGAAAGCTACTTTATCGGACGCTGAAGGACCATTTCTTCCAGGTAAGATCAATCATTGTTCCTTGGAAGTTAAATTCTACTTTGTTAGGGGAAATTGATGGCCTTAATCATCTATAATTGGTTGGAGGTATTTCATGTGTGAAATACCGCTACTGTCTTAATGTCACCTTGATGGTATCTTCATTCCATCATTTCAGCAGTATTTTGGCACTTTGTTGATATTAAATACCGCGCTTACACCTGATTGATTGAGAATGTGAAACATTATGTTACAGTGTCCTTGCTAAAATGGATAATCTTAGGTTGTCTATTGAATTTTGGACTATTCTTTTTGGCCACAGCTAATCTGTTACTACTAGCAACTTTGGTTTTGAATCATTCTGATTCAACCGCTGCTATGCAAGATCTAATCAGTTGCTTGTTTGTTGATTTTCTATCACTTATGACAGTTCTTGTGGCGCCCAAGGCCACCATCTTTCTTGAGTCCCGAAAAGGAGGAAGAGATTTCTAAGAATTTGAAGAAGTATAGCAAGAAGTACGAGGCAGAGGACCAGGATGTGTCTTTGCAATTGAGTGAACAGGATCGTGAGAAGAGGAAGATGTTGAAGGATGAATGGGAGAAATGGATCAGCGAGTGGAAACGGATGCATGAAGAGGAAAAATCGCTGAGGCAGATGTTAAGGGATGGAGAAGCTAGTGATGAAGAGGAAGAGTACGAGGCAAAAGAAGTTGAAGTTGAAGAATTGCTAGATGTTTCTGAGGAAATTCTTTCTTTTGAATTTGGACAGGAGTAAGCGAAATTGATATATTCAGATCTCATCTCCTCCATTCAGCCTATTTTCTGTTTCAAGCAACCTCGCAGACACTGAAAAAAGCTTGGCTTCCAGGTCAACCTTTCCGTTCTGAGTTTCTTTAAATTTTCTGGTAGAGAGTTTTTTGTTTGGTGTTTTTTCTTGAATTTTGTTAGTCCTGATAAGGGTATCACTAATTTTTAAAATGCTTCTTATTACGGAACTAACCTGTTGGATATGCTCAATTTTGTTAGATATTTGTACTTCAATTTTCCATTTCCATTTTGCTGTTATCTTATTGTTCATAAGAAATTGTCTTTTCACATCATCATTTTAATTAATCATTTCTCTTACCATCATCAGAAATATTCTGTTCATCTTGAGCAATCATGCAAATTTAACAATAATTAGCTTAATCATGCAAGCAAACAATAATTGACATAACTAATTAGCATTTTTTTTGTCATGAAAAGTGAACCTAGCCCGCAATTTCTCACTGAAGAAGTTGACAAAAAGTAGAACAATAATGCGTCTCTCGTGCTTATACCTTGCTTGCATCACACTCTAAAAGAATCAGATATCTTCTAAAGGGACAGCTGAAAAAGAAGATTCAAGTAGTTTGCTAACTAGAAGGACAAGAAGTGTGTGAACGACATGATAACACAATCGAAGTTTTATTGGTTTCAAAAAGCACCACCCATTCACACAGGCCAGAGGAGAAGACAGAGACAAACACCAAGCTGTTATGTGATAGGATTTCTCTGTCTTTTATCGTCAAGGATCAAAGCTTCTATTTTGTTTGATAATGCTTTAAGTTCACACAATCTATGGCCTGTTTTTGTCCTTGAGTTGAACCCTAATTGACGAGATTGGACAATTAGATGGGAAATTTGGGAAGTGTATCTACTTGCCAATTCGATTGACGGACTGGACTGAATCGCATAGCTCAATCTCATGAATAATTTCTTATTGTTCGAAGAACGTACATGATGTCTCTACCAAACTTCATTAACAATTATTATAGATGAAGGAATGAAATTTTAGTTGCTTTCCCCATCTAGAGTCATTAATAAGGAGTAATGTTGAATAAATAATGATTGGCTGGCTAGCTGTTATGGAACTGGCAAGAAAGAAAAACGAATAATTATAATTCATTACCAATTAATGTTATTTGTTGGCTGAAAAAGCAAAACCTCCTTTCAATTTTAGTCTAACTGAAAATCAGTTTCTGAATTTTTAACTTGTGTTTTTATCTCTTGAAGCTTTATTTTTTGTTTTTTAAAATAGTCCATTCAGTTTTTTTTTTGTTATTTATCTTAAAGAAAATTACCACTACATAAATAGTGTCACAGTATAAATCATTTAGTGAGATTTTTCATTTATCTGAAATTTTCAAATAATTTGAGATAATTTCGGATTATTTTTTATTTTTTAATATTTAAAAAATAAACAAATATAATTTATTTCTGATCTTGGAAATTTTTGGATTTTTTAAGAAAATTGATTGGTTTTTTTTTTTTTCAAAGTGTGTGCAAAATATATAAAAAAAAATTAAATTTTTAAAAAAGGATGAGTGGTAGTTGAAAATCATAAAATAGATTAAATCTAAAAAAAAAAAAAGAAATTCAAAAATATCGAAACATAAATTAAAAATTCAAGTGATTGATTTTCAAATGAATTAAAAATGGGGAAAGATATTGTCCTTTTTAGCCTAGAATTATTTGTTTCCTTTTTTCTTTCCGCGTTACAATCGGGTGGGAAACTTGAACAAGAATTTGTTGGTCCCTGAGAAAAGGACATCGATCCATGTGAAATGTTAAATTTTGAAATGCTAATTGTAAGGTGATAGGCCATTAGTCTGTCAATCTCTTTCTTTCTTTGTCTCTTCAGGGACAGATTCCAGCTTTCTTCCACTACGCACTCCAAAGGTGTTTGCTGGCCTACAGCCAAAGATTCTAATCCTGGGCCTATCTCTCCTCCTCTCATCTTTAGGAGATTCCGTCTATCTAATTTCTACAATAAGTATTCATGGCCCCATCCTAAATTAGATTCCAAACGCACTGACGTCATGAGACGCCACCATTTGTCTATTTTTCTACATGTAGAAGGAAGCTTGAAGGCCATAGTTACACACTTGTTTTAGTAGGCTATGACAATGATGTGAAAGTACCTATGAGATTCATGAAACTTATATGCATCAAGGTAGAAATTCTTACATGGGAGTGATGGATAGAGTTGCGGGCTTGACTTGTTTTTCCTTAGTTCCCATTCATGATTGTTGAATTTTGAGCTCCACGGCAAGAGTCTTCACTCTCTTTTCCTAATCCTTCTTCTTCTAGATATAAATAGAGTTTGATTCTAATAAGTGTCAATGCTTTCCACAAAAATCAATGAGAATGGACTATTTGTGATATTAGAAATTTCATTCTGAATATATCTATTCAGATGCATGTGTTATGTTTAAAACTTGGATTTCCATAACAAGAGTCTTCATTCTCCTTTTCTAATCCTTCTTCTTCTAGATGTAAATAAAGTTTGATTTCCATAAGTGTCAATGCTTTCCACAAAAATCAATGGAAATACACTACTTGTGACATTAGAAATTTTATTCTGAATATATCGATTTAGATACGTGTGTTGTGTTTAAAACTTGGATTTCCACAACAAGAGTATTCACTCTCCGTTCTTAATCCTTTTTCTTCTAGATGTAAATAAAGTTTGATTCCCATAGATGTTAATGCTTTCCACAAAAATCAATGGGAATGGGCTACTTGTGACATTAGAAATTTCATTCTGAATATATCGATTGAGATGGTGTGTTGTGTTTAAAACTTGGATTTTCACAACAAGAGTCTTCACTCTCCTTTCTTAATCCTTCTTCTTCTAGATGTAAATAAAGTTTGATTCCCATAAGTGTCAATGCTTTCCACAAAAATCAATGGGAATGGATTATTTGTGACATTAGAAATTTCATTCTGAATATATCGATTTAGATACGTGTGTTATGTTTAAAACTTAGATTAAAAGAAAACTAATGCACAAGGTGTGTGTGTATAGGATTTATAAGGTATTTCAAGCTTAAAGGTTTGGACTAATATCTTGTTATTTGATTGGACGCACGAGGTGGACATAATCACCCAATGAATTTTTTATGAATGTAAGGATTTAAACTTGAAATCATTTATTTAAACGATTAGAATATTTTTTCTCAAACCAATGTTTTTATGTACATATAAACTAATTTGAAAATACATGTTACCGTTAAATAAAAAATAATATTTTTATCACTAATACCAGTAGGGGAAAAAAAGAAATTTATTGTGAATGATATGTTTAAGACCAAGTTGAGAGAAACTAAAATAAAAAAATAATTTTTATTGGTAATATTGAGAGAAGATTATGGAAAGTGTATGGTATATGATGTTAGCCTAACATTTCCCACAATATAAAATATGGTTTGGTAATATTGCACTTTCACGTGCAATAATTAACGAGTTTTGTGTGGTCTTGCGTGGACTCAATTATCCAACACTCATGTGAATATCTGTATTGGATTCAAGCTGTAGCAGGAAGGTTCTTATGAATTGGAAGGCATAACTTCTTGCATTTTTTTTTTTTTGGATTGAATGCGTATCGAGATTTTATATAATTTGAATTTTTTTATTGAGATCTTAATTTTTTTTAATCTAATTGAAGAGTTATATTCTTATATTATTATTGTTTTACACTTTAGCCAATAACAGCTTGCCATGTGTGCATTTTAGCTAATAACAACTTATTATGTCATCTATTTAATTATTTAATTTTAATTCATCATGACACGTGATAAGTTATCATAAATTAGAACTTTTCATGTGTATTTACATGATACATTAAGGTCTGAAATAATAACAACATAAGAATAAAATTCTTAAATTAGATAGAAAAAAACCTTCTTTTTTTAGAGCTACTAATTCATTGCCGGATAAGATAAATTGTTGAAAATAAATTGAAAAAAACAACAACTTTTGCCATTAATTTCCAAGCACCACTAACTATATTAGGTATTTTATTCATTTTGTCTTAAGTTTGCCTTGTACCATGGGGCAATTGTGGGCATTGATTAAGTCTTCAGATTTCGTACTTTTTGTATTGCTGAGGGCACAATGACAGCACCACTTACCCACTAGTAAGATACATTGTGAATTTAATGCAACTTATTGGTTCAAATTGCCTAATTTTGTACATTTTTCTTTATGGCCATCAAAACTTAGGATTCAACTTTAAGAATAAATGTCAATTAATGTTCATTTCTAAGGTCAGATTACAAGAACATATTTATTCATTAATCTTCTAATCTCGACATAGATAATCTCTTATGGGACACAACTTCGGTACATAATAGTAAATGAGAAGAGAGCACATCAATTTTTGGACAAATGGGTAAGGAGACATATTTCTCATCAATCAATTCAACCACGAGTTGGGACATTTTACACTTATTTCATTGTTTACGAAGTACTGTTTGTGTGTTTTGGTTTGAAAAGATTTTTTTTTTTTACTTAGAATTACTGTTCTTTCTAATTAAATAATTATAAACACAAGATAACGGTGTATTTATTTAAGTTTCAAATCTAAAGAGTTTTAACTTGAATGAGTTTTGATAATCAAACGATAATGAGTTAGAATCACACAGTTTCTACATTCTCTTTTAATTTAAATAATTATAAGCACAAGATAGTGGTAAGTTTATTATAAAATTTTAAGTTTAAAGAGCTTTTACTTTAAGAGGTGTGTTATTATTCCTAAAACTTCATTCGGACAATTTGAATTTTTGGATTGATACGATTATTAGACAGTTTAATGGCATTAATTCCTATTTTATAAAGCAGTATAGGAAACTCTTGCTTGCAAATGGCAATCTCTCTTTCAAGTGTGAAGTGAAACTTACAATTGCTTCGAGTCATAATCCATTATAATTAATCATATATATTAGTTACAACTTGGAGGAATGTGGACCCAAATTCTACTTCAATCACGAAAGTGATTGTTGGGGACCCTTAGGATACTTGACAAGTTTTTGGCCTGCACATGTTGTAGAAAAGAAATTAATAACTGTGGGCAATTCTCATGAATCTTCTAATCTATACATGTAAAAGCTGATTGGATGATATTTTTTTAAAAAAAAGACAGAAAAAAAAAATCCTCGACCTACCATGTTTCTGTATATCCATCCTTAAATATGGTCCTTGAAACAACTTTTTCTACATATTTCAAAACTTTATTTTATAATTGGAATGTGTGGTTAATCCAAACACCGGCACTGAATTATTAGGATTAAAAAATATATTGAGAAAGTTGAGAAACAAATCAAAAGATTAAGTAATCATTATTGTTTAGAAATTACTAGCTTTTATTTGTGTTACGTTCCACGTCGGACATAATATATAAAATTATATTAAAAAATCATTTTAATTTAAGGTCAATGCCGTATGTTCACAAAAATGTAATGATAAAAAAATTCAATTCAATTTTATTATTATTTTTTTTTATCAAAATTTCATGTTTGACTAATTATTCATTATATTTTTTCATAAGTTTTTGACTAAAAAATTATGATTTACTTCTTTTTATTTGGATTCTTGATTTAAAACTTATAATAATATCTAAAAAAATATATATTAAAAATCCATATATTCTTAACTAAAAACTTATTTTGCAAATTATTCTAAAGATTAAAAGTGTTTTTCAGTTAATTTATCTTAGATTTATTTTTTAAAACTAATATATATAATGATAAAAAAATTTCAATTCAATTTTATGATTTTTTTTTTCAAAATTTCATGTTTGACTAATTATTCATTATATTTTTTCATAATTTTTTGACTAAAAAATTATGATTTACTTCTTTTATTTGGATTCTTGATTCAAAACTTATAATAATATCTAAAAACAAAATTTAAAAATCCATAGATTCTTAAATAAAAACTTATTTTGCAAATTATTCTAAAGATTAAAAGTGTTTTTCAGTTAATTTATCTTAGATTTATTTTTTAAAACTAATATATATATATATATATTCTAAAAATCCATCATGTAAATTTTATCATTTTTTTTAAAGAAAATAATCATATTCTAAAATTTTATTAAAAAATTCATACATAGAAAAAAATAAATCATATTTATCAATAAGTAAAATTTTAAAAAAATAAAAAATTAGTTGGATGACATTATTACTAAGAGAAATGACAAACTAAATGAATAAATTTTAAAAAATAAGATTAATATAATTCAATATATATATTTATTTTAAAATATGAAAACATATCATATATATTTATTTTTTGTCAAGTTACGTGTGAAATAAAAAAAATAACGATAGATCTTTCATAATCTTGATCGAAAAATTCATAATAAAAAAAGTACTAAAACAGAAAAGAAAAAGAAAAGAAAATAATATTAAAAGAGTTGAGTAAGGGTGCATGCATGTGCGTTTGGCCTCGAGAACCAAGCTCACGCGGGTCTGTTGTGAAAAATAATATTAAAAGAAAATAGATGGTACGCCACCTATCCGTAATTTTTGAAGAACTTTAGTTTGTCGAAAACATCACTAGAAAAACGAATTTTAATTTTTGGCCTTCTCATAGCTAAATTTAACTCTATTTTTTTGTTTAAAAATACTTTAAAATCATAGAAATAACATCAACAAATTCGAAGTCTATTTTAAAACATACAAAATATAAACATATAAAATTCAAATCGAACCAAAAAAATCAAAATATTTTTGGATTTTAATATATTTTCTCATTTTATTACTTGTGACCAATACAAACAGATATTACTTTTCAAGATGAACAAATTGGTTATAAGTTTGACGATCGAGGTTACCAGGATGGACCTTGCCTTTCCTCTCTCCCTCCACCCTTCTCTCTTTTCGTTTTTCTCTTCTTCAAGCATTTAGGGACTAGACTACAATACAAATGAAATTCGATATCGAAACAAAAATTTCTAGAAAATGAGATACCAAAGTATAATTTGAAGAAAACTCGATTATAAATAGTAAAATGCACATTAGAATTGAATTGAGTGTGAGTGAATACTGCTCACGCGTTTGTGTAAACAGTGAAAAAATAGTGATTGTATAGTGTTTTGTGTTTTATTCTAGTTTTATTTGTAAGTGGCTCCTAGTGAATGGTCACTAAGTAATTAATTTACTTGCCATAAGGGGAAAAAATTGAGTTGGCATCGCATTCTTGGTGATTTGGGATCCAATCTTCGTATCTTATACCCATATAAGTTGGTAGATATCATAAAATTTAGAAAATGGGAAGAACCTTTTTCTGTTTAGTCCACTAAGCTTATTAACAAATACAAAATACAAAAAGAAATGGCCACCGGCTGCTACCGTCACGGGGTCTAAACCAATATAATATATTTCTCCTTATCAATTAAGTAGAAAACATTTTCTACAATCCCTCATTTCCAAAAAACAAAGATTAAAAAAAAAAAAAGGAATTTGAAGAAAAAATGAAAAGATTGTATTCATATTTTGGGATTTCTTGATATATATATATATATATATATATATATATATATATATATATATATTTCAAAAGAGATTTTGACAAGGCCTAAATGGAGTTTTATGAGTGAAACAGACTGAAAAGACTGTCCTTAACTTCTAGTTTCCCTTTAATTATTGGACCTCTACCTAATTAGAGAAATTAATAATCAAACTCAATGTAATATTAGAATTTAGTTTGTGACAATTGGTGACGTGTAAGGATCGATTGTCAATCTATTGATCAGATCTCCAATGGCTTATAAATAGGGCCAAGATAATGAGCTTTGCTTGTATAACTTTATTACAACATATTTGAGGAGGCAAGTGTATTGGTCCATGGCCACTCATCCCATTTCCTCCATCTCCTTCATGAGGTGTTTTTTGTATGCTTATTTTCTCTGTCTGTGCCTTCTCTTCTCTTTGGAGAAGGGCTGTGCCTTTGAAGGAAGGAAAATTGCTGAAAGCCAGCATAGCCATACCATTGAAGTCAGCTCTCTATTTCCCTCCACTAGCTGCAAAGCTTCCACCAAAGGTTATTTACTCACATAAAACTCATACTATTATTCTATCTCTATGGCTTCTTTATTGCTAATTGAAACTTGTCTAGCTTGGATTATAAGTGTACTTGAGTTTTCACCACCATTACCGTCACCATTATTATAGTATTCTCTTGATGTTGCTTCTTTACTTTTTGTTTTGAGACGTAAAACTGATTGCATTAAGGCATATTAGCACTTAGTTAAATAACGTTAGATCTTATTTTTTTGTTGATTAGTCTCCTTTTCTATCTCATTTGTGTGTGTGTTTCCATCCAAGAACCTATATGCTAGCAGGTCAATTAGCACAGGAAATGTTTATTGATTTTGAAAGCGAGAAAAGGAAATTCCTTTCCAATATTCTGTCATTTATTCTATTTTGCAATAATTTTCTTTGTTGACTGTGCATAAAGTTTTTTTTTTTTTTTTTAACATTTTCCTAATCAATTGTCAAAAGGGTTTTGATAGACCATTGAACATTGAAAATTAGGTTCTTAGGCGCCCCCCACTTCTAAAAAGGAGCGGCATAGACATTGCAGTCTTTGGAACCATCATCTAATGTCAAAATCATATCAATACCTACCATAGAATATTTTGGCGATACTATTGGCAACCACATAAACATTTTGCTCAATTAGAAATGGAAACATGCATATTAATCATAGTTCTCAAAATTCGGTTCTAAGTCTAGTCTAATCCGATTATGATTTTGGTTTCTCGATTTAACTCGATTCTAAGTGATCAGTCCAATCCGACTAACATTTTGATTTACTGATTCAGCCATTGGACCGATTATGATTCGAACTTGAATAGGAGGTGTGTGTCCTCTTTTTTATTATTATTGGACTAAACAACTATTGATAAATCTTAACAAGCTTCTACATGACAATTAAGTAGGGACACGGTTGAATTAATATAAACTAATTAATCTTAGCAAGCTTCTACATGACAAATTAATGATTGAGACGAAAACTTGGTGTTATTCCTTGCATGATCACAAAATTAATATAAATTAATGCAAGTTGGTTTTTTATTTTTCATATCATATTTTTCTATATATATTAATTAATATAAATTAATGCAAGTTGGTGTCTCATATCTTATTTTTATATATATATATATTTCATATCTTATAGATTGGAAAATTTAACTAATAAGAAAGGATATTTTAGAAAACAAACAATTAAATTATAAAAATACAAAAATATTAGGATTTCAGCATGGATTAACTAATTAGTTGGCAAAAAATATGAGACAAAAAAAAAAAAAATAGTTTCCTCTTGTATTACCTTTTCTTTTCCCTCTCACATTATGTTTGTCAGATCTCACCAAAAAAAGTTTTTGAGCATGACACCCCAACAACTACTTTCAATCACACCACCAATTTGTTATCTGCTTTCCCTTTCTTCTGGGGCACTGACTTTTTATCTTTGCCCTATGCTTCTTAAGATTAGATTGGAGTTTCAGGCAAAAAAAGATTTGTCCTTTTTGCTAAATACATGGTTTCTAAAACAAATTTTGTCATAAAGAAAAAAAAAATCTTTTAGAAGCAACTACCTCTCTTTGTGCTAGTTGAAGCTGAGCCCATATAATTAATTTATATAGTTTTAAGAAATAAATAAATAATTTTTTTAAAAACTAATTATTTAATTTTAAAATTTTCTTACAACTTAATTTTTTTCGTTATTTTTTTCAGTTTATTTAATTTTTTTTAAAGAAAAAAAATAAAAAATATGGAAGGATTCAAAATAAAAGAAAAATATTTTTAAAATAAAGAAATTTAAAACAAAAAATTCAATTTAATTTATTTCTCAAAACTTAAGGATAGGTACGTAGTATTTTTCTTTTACAAAAAATAAACGATGTTTGGTCTCTCACGCAATGTTTAGGTTGTGGTTTTCTTAGAAAAAAAATTATTAATCTAAAACAACTGTATATTGGCTGCAAAGAAATTGCAATCTGCAAAAGTGAAGTCCATTTCAGCAGCAACCTCATTGAAAACAAAGGTTTCTGTTGTGTAATAATTTTCTGTTGTGTTGACCAGATGTGTGCCTTTTTTACCTCTGTAATCAAGTCAAATTCAGAATTTCATGTTTTTTCATTTTTAGTTCATGTCTTTTTCTGTGTCTTTAAAGACATTCGAATTCAAAAAATCTAACTTAACTCTCGTTCGTTATGTCACATCGACTGTGAAAGAGGCTACGTACTTGATCATAAACGTAAGAAAAAACTTTACTTTTTGAGCTAGTTTTTGGAATTAAAAAAAAAAAAAAAACCAATAACACCCTGTATTGATATCAAAAACCCATGTTAAATAATTTTTCACATGCTGACGTTATACAAATTAATGAAAAATAACAAAATTAGGATCCCATGTATGAAAGACAGGTTATTGAGTTATTTTACATTAGCTGTGGAAAGAGAGAAGAAGCTAGATGCTTGCTTATCTTTTGGGGGGTGAAATGCCCCAACAACTCTAAAATTCATATTTGATTAGTAAAATAATTCAAAGTAAATAGTTTCAAGATTATATTTTCAGTACCTTGTTGAAAGAATATAATCTCATCGTTTGTTGTTGTCGAATCTCAGATCTCAACAGCAAGAATAAGGCATCTCTGAAGGTAGTCCACAAGCATGGGCCATGCTCTGAGCTATATCAAGACAAGCCAAATGCTGCCCCAACACACACAGAGATACTTCTTCAAGACCAAACAAGGGTCAATTCAATTCATTCTAGGCTCTCAAATTCCAGGACCTCAGGCGGGAATGACATGAAGGTGACTGATTCAACCACCGTCCCAGCCAAGGACGGTAGCTCAGTTGGCGCAGGCAATTATGTTGTGACTGTTGGACTTGGCACACCCAAGAAGGAACTCTCACTAATTTTTGACACTGGCAGTGACATTACTTGGACGCAATGTCAACCCTGTGTAAAGTCTTGCTATAGGCAAAAAGAGCAGATATTTGATCCGACTAAATCAACATCATACGCCAACATTTCATGTTCCTCACCAGTCTGCAATTCACTCAACTCTGCAACAGGTAAATAGAAAAGAGCTTTTGATTTAAGGAGTTGCTGCAATGTCTTTCTCTTTTGGGCACAGGCACAATTCCTGTGTCCTCTAAGCCACCGGATTTGCTTTTGTATTCAAATCCTTGAAATTGGTTTTGAGAAATCTCATGTTGCATATATGTAGGCAATACTCCTGGCTGTGCTTCCTCAACATGTGTCTATGGCATCCAATATGGGGACTCCTCCTTTTCGGTAGGATTCTTCGGTACCGAAAAGCTAACCTTAACATCTGATGATGCTTTCGAAAAGGTGTACTTCGGTTGTGGCCAAAACAACCAAGGTCTCTTTGGTGGCTCGGCGGGACTACTTGGCCTAGGCCGTGACCAACTATCTATTGTGTCACAAACTGCTTCAAAATACAAAAAAATCTTCTCCTATTGTCTCCCATCCTCCTCTAGTTCAACCGGATTCCTAACCTTCGGTGGCTTGGCTTCAAAGAGTTCTAAATTCACACCGCTTGCGACTATATCAGCTGGCCCCTCCTTCTATGGCCTAGACTTTACAGGAATAAGTGTTGGCGGGCGAAAACTACCAATCTCTGCATCAGTTTTCTCAAATGCTGGCGCACTCATTGATTCAGGGACTGTCATTACAAGGTTGCCACCGGCAGCTTACTCTGCTCTTCGTGACTTGTTCAGGAAATCGATGTCCAAGTATCCGTTGACCAAGGCACTGTCGATACTTGACACTTGCTATGACTTCAGCAATTATCCCAACATCTCGGTGCCTAAGATTGGTTTTTTCTTTAGCAGTGGGATTGAGGTGGATATTGATGCAAGGGGGATTTTCTATGCGAATAGCAAATCCCAAGTCTGCCTGGCTTTTGCTGGAAATAGTGATGCAACTGATGTGCTCATTTTTGGAAATGTGCAGCAAAAAACACTGGAAGTTTTCTACGATGGCTCTGCAGGGAAGGTTGGATTTGCTCCAGGGGGTTGTACCTGATCAATCTTAAGCTAGCTCTCATGGTAGATATAGTACTAGGTGCAGATTTGAACCCGAAATACTGTTGGCATTGGCCGATGGAAATGCCTAAGGCATTGATTGTGAACAATAATTGATGATTAATGCATGTGTGAACCATGCAATGAAAGGATTCGAGTCAGATAGTAGTTTGTAATGGATAAAAGAAGTTTGCAAGTTTGCATACTTATAACATCTTTTTCAGATGGTATTAACCATAAAAAGACCCGTTAGCGAATGAATTTTGCAGATGCAAGAAAAAGACCCGAACCAAATTGATGGAAATTAACTGGCTAAAGATATTCTACACTGCAGCACACAGCAGAGACCTCCACACTGCAAACTCAAAACGTTAAAAAGTGAAAAATCATATCGGTCTTTTTTTGAAGCGAGTTTGGAAGATCAGAAGGCACAGTTCCTCTTTGATGAGTAGTCCAATGCTAATTATGCTAGAAATAATTGTTCCCAATAGCTAAAATAAATGAACTTGAAAAGTAGATGTGTGTCTCTCGATGCTATAACACAGCAAGTTCAAAAGATTTTATGCAACCAGAAACTTAATCAAGAACCCCTTTTATTGTTTCTAGTGCATGCACCAGAATTTGTAAAGAAACTTGATTGCCAAGCTTCTGGGACACCGATTTAAGAGAGAAATAAATACAACATGGAACTTCAAGTCCTCAAGAGTGCACACTATATAAACAAAGGGCTCTCTTATTTTGGAAGAAGCAAATAGATATCTGAAACAAAATCCTCATTATCGAACGTAGTTATTTCTGATGCTCTGTCTATTTCTTTCTGGACATTATCTCGATAAGGTCTCCAACATATCAATGGATTTTCAATAAATCATTGTTTGAGTTTCACTCAACAGAACGGTTAAGGAGTCATGTCAAACTCATTCTCTTTTTTCCATTAAAAAACCTATGAATTTACTTGTATATGCACAAAAACTGAAGAAAGAAAATGAAAACCACAAACCAGATTTCCTCAGCCTACCATATTCTTTGTATATCCATCCTCAGATATGATCCTTCAAACCTACTTTTTCTACCCTCTCCACAACATTTTGATAATATTGGAAGATATGATAATATTAAGAAACGAGAAGAGCCTTGTTCTGTTTAGTCCACTAAGCTTATTAACTAATACAAAAAGATAGGCCACCGGTTGCTACTATCTTGGGTTCTAACAATAAACTATAATCTTAACTATCAATTAAAGTAGATAACATTTTTTTCCAATCCCTCTTTTTGAAATATAATCTTATCATTTTTCTTAATGAATGAATGAATATCATTGATCAAGGAAAAGTTAGGAGCCACTCTCCCGACTACAAAGCAAAATTTTGTAGGTAAGATCAAACAAAAGGTGTTTCCTAACAATCTTATCATTTGCTAGTATCCAACCTCAGCAGTCAACATTTCATGTTCCTCATCACTCAACATTTCGTTAACGTTACCCCTGGAACAGGTAATGAAATTGGAGCATTTAATTTATTTTCCAAAATGATGAGATAGTTTGTATGATCTTGAAATAAATGTGAGAATTCTCCTGTTATGTGCATGTAGGCAACGTTTTTGGCTGCGATGAATGAACCTGGAAACCGGAAAGTCTTGCCTTTCAAGTTTCAACGCCATTATAATTCAGGAAGTCTAAAAGAATTTATATAACCAAAAACTTAATCAAGAACCAATTCTAGTGCCGTTTCGTTGTTTCCCGGGCAAATATGCACCGGAATCTGCAAAGAAACATGACTGTCAATCTTCTGGCACGCTAATTTAAGAGAGAAATAATAAATACAACATAAATTTCAAGTCCCAGAGTGCCCCATGTAAAGAAACAAGGGCTCTGTATTTTTGTTTTTTGGGAAGCAGCAGATAGGTACATGAAACCAAATCTTTCATTATTACATAAAGTTACTGGAGAAAAATATGTCTGGAAACAACAAATTAATCATCTGGAATAAGTAGTACTGGTGGTGCTGGTGTAGGGAAAGCTCCTGCTAGTGGTGGCCATGGTTTTGGTTCTTCTGGGCCAGGTGCAACTAAAGATGGGTCCATGAAAGCTCCTGAGCAAGATTATCACATATCCAGGGCTGGTTTTGAGAAAATCCCAGCTGGATATTTCCATGATTTGCACAAGGAGTAGAACATTGCAAGTTTTTTTGTAAGTAAAAAACATAAATAAAATATAGCTTTTGTTGTTCGGGTTTTTATATGCCAATGAAAATTAAAATTCTGCAGTAGCTAGCAGCTGTTATTAATGATGCCCTGTCTTTTTTCTTTTTTCATTTGTTAAGAAAACTTTGTAAGTCTTGTTGCAGCTATTATCATTTCGACATAGCTTGCTTAAAGAACTGATGATTGTGTTGTAATTGCATCAATGGGAATGAAATGAAACGTCAAATTTGAACCAAAGCATAATGGTTGTTTTTGGAAATTCTCAATAAAGAATAATAGCCTCGCCGATTTTTATATAATAAGTTAGATTTTCAATTTGTTTTAAATCCATAAATACCACCAATTTGTTCTTGTTATCTGAATTGGTTTCTAATATGTTAAAATTTTCGATCAAATTAAGCATGTGATTCGTTATGATTTGATAAAATATCTTTGCTTTTTAGTATAAGTGATCTATATTTGTAAATATAATTAATGCAATGCATGCAGCATATTTTTTTAAAATAAGGAAAAAGTGTATATATATATATATATATTATTTAATTGATTTTTCTTTTCTTTTCTTTTAGTTTTCGTAAAAAAAAACACTCATATATATTTTTTTTGTTGAAAATGTCCATTTTTTCTTGTAAAACAGTTTAAGGTATAATCTTTTTTTTATATATTAAATGATTATAAATCTTAAGTATATTCAAATGAAATTACGATTGTATGTGAAGTTTTTTCTAAGGAGAAAAAAATTCAAATGCATTGTTAGGATCTTATAGGAAAATATAATAAGACATAAAATTATCTGGAAGAAAAAGTTGAAAATTGCAGTTATTAATACAATGGATGTAGCATATATATATATATATATATATATATATGTTATTTAATTGATTTTTCTTTTCTTTTCTTTTAGTTTTCCTAAAAAAAAAAAAAACACTCATTTTTTTTTTAAATGTCCATTTTTCTCACTTGTAAAATAGTTAAGGTGTAATCTTTTTTTTTATATTAAATTATTATAAATCTTAATTATATTCAAATGAAATTACGATTGTACGTGAAGTTTTTTCTAAGGAAAAAAAAAATTCAAATGCGTTGTTAGGATCTTATAGGAAAATATAATTAGACATAAAATTATCTGGAAGAAAAATTTGAAAATTGCAGTTATTAATTAGTCTTAACTAATATTATATCTGGTCATATATTTATGTTAAAAAATAAACTTAGTCATACTTTTTTTTTCAAATTTTAAATGATATAGGATTTGGATAAAGATTGACAATTTAAAAATTCCATGTATTCATAAAATATAATTTGATCTTTTATTATATAAATGGAATATGGATTTTTTTTTTGGAAATAAATCTAGTTAGTTTTAGAAATATTTTGATATTCATTGAACGACTTATAATATAAAGATGCGAAGTTATACTAAACAACAATTCAAAAAAAGAAGAAAAAGATCTTTAAGAATTTCGAAATTCATCCAAAGACCGAAAAAACACATCTTTCTAGTCATGTCTGCAAGCAAAGCTTCGCCTTTTATTCAAAACTTCATGGGGATTTTATGCCTTGTTTTGCTATTAACTTCTTGTAAGATTCTCTCAAATTCTCCAATTACATGGCTATTATGGTTCTCAAAGCAATTTTCTTTTTAGTTTCATCGATAGGAATACTTTTAAGCCAACTTTTTCTTCGAGATTGAATTAATATCATAATTGCCACTTCTAAAGGGATATTATTATACTTTTTTGGCCCTTCATCTTGAGCCTAATTATCAAATTTGGATGGTTCGGTGACAGGGCAAGTAGCAGGACAAGGGAAAGAACCAAAACCACCAGCCTGCATAGGGATATGTTCAATGATGGATGACTGTCCTTTCGCCTGCGGCTATTTCGGATACAAGCCAGGCTCTTGCAGGAGGTTCGGTGGCGACCCATGTTGCTATTGTACCAACGAGGGCTGAAATAGCTTTATGAATATTGCTATTTTTTTTTTAATTCTTGTTATGCTGCGAATGAACCAGAACACATAAAATAATTTTTAAAAATTATTTTAGTTTAATATTACTTGTTGTATTGTGTATATACTAAAATATATTAAATTAAAATTAAATAAAAATTTATTTAATTTTATATTTGATTGATTATTCTTTATATTTTTTCATAAATTTTTATTAAAAACATTATTTATTTATCTCTATCCATGGACTAAAAAAATTATAATTGTATAAAAATATCAAAATCAATGAATTTTTAGCTAAAAACTTATTTTATAAATTATTTTTTAAACATTATTTTGCCTTAAAAATTTTTATAAAAAAAAAGAGAAAAAAGGACCAAAGTGACCAAAATAAAACAAAAAAGAGGGACCAAAATCAAACAAAAAATATTTATGAAATAAAAAATAATAATTAAAAAAGAGAAATCAAAGTATAATGTCATGAAAACTTTCATAATAAATGTCTTAAAAATATTTTATAACTATAAAAATATCACTGCATAGTGAAAAGAACAAGTACATTTGAATCTGGATAAATAATGCGAATAAGGTTAGGTGAATAGTATTTCAAATACTATAGTGAATAGTAACAATACGTTTTATTTTTATTTTATTTTTGAAATAATAACATGATAGATATCGTTGTTTCAAGGTTTTTATACTTCTATAGTATAATTTAATAACTCTGTATTTGATAATTTTTTTTGATAAAATGGATTTGAGTTTCAAAAATTTTAATTTATTTGATTATTATATAACGAGAGAATAATTTCTCATTATATTTATATATTATCCAACAAATGTTTTTGAAATCATGTTTTTATAATCATTTTTTGTCGAACCGGCCAACTCAAGTAATGAACCCAAACATTGGAAAATACAGAACTTTGGTCGGGTTGAGTTTTTGATTGGACCATCCAAGTCATAGATTCTTATCATGCTCGAAAGTTAGACACAAGATATGAGTTGACCTGGGCACAGCCGAAACCAAGTCCTGGGGTTGGAGAATTTGAGAGAGTTGAAATCTTTGGTTATCATCTGTACAAGGAGCCGGCAAGGGTATTTAAAAAAGAATAACAGATTTTATGTAAATTATTTTTACGATTTTTCAGTGTTTATTTCTGTAAAATATTTTAAAAAAAATTTGGTCAACAAAAAATATTTTATGATCAATTTTTAAACTTAACTTATTTGTTAGAAAATAATCTTCAACTCATTAAATTTTATAAAATCTTCATAGGTTTTTTATGCATTGTTTTGTTGTCGACTTCGTGTAAGATTCTCTCACTTTCCAGTAACACCGTTGTTGTAGTTTTTGGATTTAAGTCATTTCCCATCACAAATAAATTGATTTATTTTTAATTTCATTGATAAAAATATCTTTACGCCAATTTTGCATTTAGATAAAATTTCTCTAATTTATTTTTTAAAAAGACAATCTTATAGTTACCACTCCTAATATAGTTGTTAGGATTATTTTTCTTCTTCCAATCATCTTGAGCCTAATAATAAAAAATTGATGGTTCAGTGACGTGGCAAGTAGGGGCACTAAGACCAGTCCCAGCCTGCATAGGGCCGTGTCCACAGGATCATGAGCCCACTTGCGTCGCCAAAGGATATAAGGGAGGCGCTTGTATAGGAACGGGCGGCGCCCCACTAGCCTGCTGTTGTAACTCGGCCTGAAATGCCCTTATCGTCTTAACGAATAAATGAATATGACAAGAACGTCATGAATAACATTGTCGTTTCAAAGTAATTGCTTGTAGGGTGAAGATTTGATTTTTCAGTTTAAAAAACTGAAATTTTGGCTTTCCCATTCGAAAACCAATTTTTTAAAAATGTAAATAAATAAAAAAATAAAATTTTATGTTATAGACGATGGAGTCCTTCCTCTTGCATAACTAATCTAAATTAGCATATATAAAACATATTAAAAATATTTATTTAAATAAGTGATTAACTTCATGATTCATAATAGAAATACAATTTATTTAGCAAATAAAAATATAATAGTTGATAGTACAAAATAAAAAGGACATGGTATTAATTATTAAGATCTTTCAACCATAATAAACATACAAGCCAATGATCTATTAACTTTCAAGTCTTGGCATTCTCCTTTTTCTTAAAAATAATAATAAAAAAAACTCATTAAGCCAAATAATCTATCAAAATATTCAACTTTGAAAAATCCATATATCTTGCAAATAAAAATTAGAAACTTACCCATTATTTTATATTCACACTTTCTTAAAATATTTTTTTATTTAAATTGTTAGTTATCAAATTTAATCCTACATTATATGGAATCAATATTGATTTAAGGACAAAATCTATCCAAAATTAAAGAGGTAAAAAGAAAATCATTAAGTTAATTAGTGATCAATTTTAAAACAATTATGAAAAAGTAACATACCAATGAAAATATTTTACTCACAAAATTTTGGTATGAAGTAAAGTCCCTCCAATAATAAATATTTTTCATGTAATAACAAAATTTCTTTTGAAATTATGTTAAAAGTATTTGTATAAATAAGGAAACAATATAAAGAATATATATATATATATGACAAATGAAGAACATAAAATAGAAGAAAGAATTGAATTTTTTTATTTATCAATTAGAGCTATTTTAGAAAAGTGCATTATTTAAAATTTTAATTAGACAAACATTTTGGAATAAGTATAAAAAGAAAGAGAGAGCTCACTTTGGAAAAAAAAAAGAGTAAATAAGATTAAAACTACTTTTTCTTTCTTTCTTTCTTTTTTTTTTTGGTTAAATGATTGTAAAGTAGTTTAGGTTTGGGAGAAAAAGTCTAGTTTTTGGAGAAAAGATAAAATAAAAAACCCTTAAGATGTGGATAAGGATTGACCGGTTTAAAATTCATTCCTATTCGATTGATTTTTGAGCCATTTATTACGTTACATAAATTTGAATATGGATATATTCTGCAACTAAATCTGGATAATCCAGAAACGTTTGATATTCATTAATGACTTCTAATATAAATATGCCAAGGTTACACTAAAACCATTCAATAAAATAGAAGAACTAATCTTTGAGAAATTCGAAATTCATCTAAGTACAAAGAAAACACATCTGCGATCATGTCTGCAGGCAAAGCTTCGTTGTTTATTCAAAACTCCATGGTGTTTTTTAGCCTTGTTTTGCTATTGACTTCATGTAAGATTCTCTCGTATTCTGTAATTACTTTTTTTTTTTTAATTCATTCCCCATCTCAAAGCAATTGTTTTTTTCTTTAGTTTCATCAATAAAAACATTTTTAAATCAATTTTTACGTCGAGCTTAAATTGCTCGATTATATGCTCTTAATTAAATCTTTCACATACGTGTTAGTACATTTTTATATATATAAAAAAATCATTTTATAATTACCACTTATAAATAGATACCACAATCCTTTTAATTTTCCTAGTCATCTTGAGCCTCATAAATGAATAATTTTGATGATTCAGTGACAGGGGAAGTAGCGGCACTAGGACCAGTGACACCCTGCCTGGGGCCATGCCCAAAGTTCTCGAACTGCAGTCAGGCTTGCATTGCCAAAGGATACAAGGGAGGATCTTGTCTGGGATTTAGTGGCAGCTCACCAGCCTGCTGTTGTAACTAGGTTTTAAACGTCCTTATTGTCTTTAACCAATAAATGAATATGATAAGAACATCATGATTATTGTCGTTTCAAACAAATTGCTTTTTTTTTTGTTTTGAGAAAAACGAATAAATGAATATGATAAGACCGTCATGATTGTTGTCCGTAGCTGAATACAAGATCAAATGTTTACGAAGGTCAAAATAAATATTTATAAATTTATCATGCTTTACACAAATTTATATATATAACATACTAACACATATTTTCAAATAATTTCAAAATATAATCACTCAAAATAAAGATATTTATTTCAAATCACGAAAATTATCTATAAATGAATTTATACTAAAATTTTTATCAATTTCTTTTTCAATATACACTAACAAATAGTTGAAAAAAAAAGTTATTTTCTATCTTGTTATGAAGCTTAATCTTAACTATACTCATAGCTGAAAATGATTGTTTTGTAGTAGTGGTAGAAACTAAAAGAGTAAGAATGAATGTTATCATTCTATACACAAGTGGATAACTTTTAATTTTTTTTATCTTCATCGGCATTTGACACAAATCAGATATAGTAGTAATCGTAATCTTGGGTAAATTATAAGTTAGTCTATCTAGTTTTTTTTTTTTTAAAAAATGGATTAATTAGTTCTTCTTGTTCCAAAAACAAATTATTTAGTTCTTGTATTTTAAATTTTCTTGTAATTTAATATTTAAGGAATATATATATATATATATATATATATAAGAGTTAATGAAAAAAATAACATTTCTTGAAATAAAATAATGCAAATTAAATATGATCACTTGTCAAAAAAACTAAATAATTTTTGAAAAATATATGGACTATTTTATAATTTACTATATTAATCTTAAATCGAAATTATCAAATCGTTATATCTTAAAAAATATATATATATTATTATTATTATTATATATAGGAGAATTAATGAAAAAAATAACATTTTTTTGAAATAAAATAATGTAAATTAAATATAATCATTGGTCAAAAAAATAATTAATTTTTGAAAAATAGATAGACTATTTTATAATTTACTATAGTAATCTTAAATTGAAATTATTAAATCTTTATATCTTTAAAAAATAGCCCAAATAGAAACTCAAAATCAACTGGTTATACAATAATAAGATCGGTCCAAAATAAGAGCATAATACGCTGGGGAGGCCAAAAAGTTCACCTAATCCATTACTACCTTGTGCAAAATGTAACATTTTTCAAGTAGCTACGTAGAGGAGGGCAAAAATTGGAGGGGGGCCAGGGTCCCTGTACACTTGAACGTGGGTCCGCCCCTGATTGCTGTGGCTTCAAACTAATTGCATTTTTGTTGGGAAAAAAACACTAAGTATATGAAATATTAGAAATTTTTTTTCTTATTAAAATCAGTATTAACCAATCAATAATATACAATGAAGACAAAAGCAAATAAATATAACTATAAAACTCAACTAGAGGCCCTAAATTCAACTAGAAGATGCACACCACAACATCAAAGTCATTTTAAGAATGGATTTCAACAATAAAAATAAAAAATAAATAAAAAAAGGTTTTTAGAAAATGTGTAGCAAATATCTTCAATGGAAGCTTAGAAAATATCTAAAATAGAAGCTTTTCAATTATCACACTTTTCAAATTAAATAATTTATCATCAAAATTTTCTGTATTAATTAGATTTTGAAATCACCATCCGATCAAAACAATAGAGATTGAAGAGCACATTTTTTCGAAATAATAGTGATCGACACATAGCATTGTAAGAAATTTCAAAAAATTAAAAATAACATATTGATCACTCATTTATGACGTTATAACGGAATCTAAAGTAAAAAATATGAAAAAATATTAGATGGTCTCAAGCCAAAGGAAAAAAAAGAAAAAAGAGGGTTTGAATAAAAAACATTCTCAGAATACAAGATCCAAATGTGAAAAAAACCATTAAATCAAATATTTAATTTCTTTGATCTAATTTTATAATAATATTAGTATATAAATATAATATATTAGAGATACAAAAGATATAAATATAGCACTAGGTTGTGATTTAGAGAGAGAGAGAGAGAGAAAGACTTGGCTATATGATTTTTAAAAAATCATAATTTTTTTCTTGCAAAGAGGGAGTGTTTCTATCTTCTTTTAAAACATGGGGTGATTTGTAAATTTTTAAAATTTCAGACGAAAAGTTAACTATATTAATCTTAGGATAGAAATCATAATCTTCAGAATACAATTAAGGGGTAAAGTAAAATGATAAATAAAAAAAGAGTAGTGGAGATAATTAACTCATGTATATAGGATACAATATTAATTTATGATATGAATCTTTCAAGCAATTTAGTAATCGGATCAAATATAGATTTGGTTTGATCCAATGTTATAGTAATAATATTTAGATTCAATATTATATTAATAAATACAACATTTTAGAGATACAAAAAAAATATAAATATAGGACTAAGTTGTGGTTTGGAGTTTGTTTACTTTATATTATAAATAACCGTTTCATTATTGAAAAGCGACTGCCTTTTCAAACAATCACAAGTTTTTTCATTTTTTTTTATCAATTTTGTAGAAAAAACTTATAAAACTATGAAAAAAATAATAATTAATGAAAGAATACTGTTTTTATTATTTCCTTTACTTTTTTCTTTTCCTTGTTTAAGTTAATTTTTTTTTTCACTTGAAGACAATTTATTATTTAGATTGTTGTTTGATTTTGTACTTTTGAATATTATTTTGATTTTTTAATTAAAAATTAGATATCAAATATTATTATAAAATATTTTCTAGGGATAATTATCAGAAAAAGCTTATAAAAAAATCTTCTATCTAAAAAACCCATAAATTTATTTTTAAATCTTTGAAACCCAAAATAATATTTTTCTATTAACACTAGTGTTAACTATTTGTTGTTTTGATAAGAAAAATATTGTTTTAGGCTTGTGACATTTAAAAATATTATTTTGTGTTTGAGAAATTCAAAAATAAAACGAGTGAGTTTTTTAGATAGAAGATTTTTTTGGTAATCATTGTAATAACCCCGTCCAAAA